TAACATTAAACAATCAACAACAATCAACACAGTGCAAGAAATATGAACATATTAAAATGTACAATAGAATACAAAATAATATAAAATAAAGTGCACAACAAACAGATAACAGGACTGTAAACAAGTGAAATGTAAGTGAAATGTTAAAAGTGTCAAGAGTGTTTAAATAAAGAAACAGAGGGGAGTGACCGGTAAGAAATTGTCCTGGGGATGACAGAGTCAGTGGGGGTCCAGGGCTCTGTTAATGAGCCCGACTGCCGATGGGACAGGGTGATAGGGGCAGGTGGGGCTGCATTCTTCCGGAAATCCATAACAATCTCCACTGTCTTTAGAGCGTTGAGCTCTAAGTTGTTCAGACCGCACCAGATCACCAGATGGTCAATCTCCCACCTATAGGCGGACTCATCCCCACCAGAGACGAGTCCAATGAGGGTGGTGTCATCCGCAAACTTCAGGAGCTTGACGGACTGGTGACTGGAGGAGCAACTGTTGGTGTACAGGGAGAAGAGCAGAGGGGAAAGAACGCAGCCTTAGGGGGAACCGGTGCTGATGGTCCGGGAGGCTGAGATGTGTTTTCCCAGCTTCACGTGCTGCTTCCTGTCAGACAGAAAGTCTGTGATCCACTTGCAGGTGGAGTCGGGCACGTGCAGCTGGGAGAGCTTGTCATGCAGCAGAGACAGGATGATGGTGTTGAAAGCAGAGCTGAAGTCCACAAACAGGATCCTGGCTTAAGTTCCTGGGGAGTCCAGATGCTGGAGGATGAGGTGAAGGGCCATGTTGACAGCGTCATCTACAGCTGATCAGCACAATGCTTCAGGGTGGGTGGAGGAGTTTGGGGCGGCTGCTTTGCGGGGGTTCTGTTTTTTAAAAAGCCTATTGACGTCTCACTCCAGAATAGAGAGAGTCGTCACTGGGGAGGGGGGTGGGGCGCTGGGATCGGTGGTACAGAGGCATGAGCCCCTGCTGAGCTGGGGGAGGGGGGCCTGGTGGTCTGGTGCTGGTTGATGGAGCTGTGGGGGATGGAGTCAGGACTGTCCCATTGTCTTTGAAATCTACAGTAGAACTCTTTCAGCTTGTCTGCCAGGCGGAGGTCATTCATAGAGTGGGGGGCTTTAGGCTTGTAGTTGGTTATCTGTCTGAGGCTACATCCATACTAAAAAACTGAGTTTTAAAACAAATACGATCTCCGTCCACACTGCGTTTCAGCATCGTTTTCGAATTGATCTCCGTCCAGACTAAAACGCCTGAAAACGAATATCACGTGACTCTTCACGTACACTGGGCATGCGCGTGGGTGTCGATGTAAACAGGAAGTACCGTAGATTGGTTGCTTAGTTTAAAAAAAATATGACAGAGTTCGTGGAAAGTTTTAGAAGTTTTATTTTTCAGACGCTCCCGAGGACGGATAAGTTTGAAAATGCCGGGATTGCGTATTTGTGTGGATGGTCGAAAAGGGATAAGTTTGGAAACGATGACGCCCACACCCGTGTTCGCTACTTGATTGGTTCTTAGCAGTCATGACGTATCCTTCCCTGATTCGTCACTCTCCTATCACGTGACCCTTTCCCGGAAATCATAAACAACAACGTTGATTACCGATCGACTACCAGGTTAATGGACATGGACAAGTGTTGCTGACCTTGTTGTCTTTACTAGCAGCTGTTGTCCAGTTAAAGTCTGCATTATTACGGAGGAAGCAGATGTTATTGGAGCGATTAGCGAGCGGCGTGTCCAGCGGTGTTATCAGACCTACGGAGCGGCCGTCTGAAGTCACAGTTAGCGGCTTTAGGGAGGGTGGTGGACACAAAATGGAAGTCTTTCCTGTCCTTATTAATTCTTATTTTGTTCTCCACATCTATTGTGAAGTCCGCAGATAAAATGTAAAGGAACAAAGCAGTAATTGCTCTCCAGCAGGACAGATAGTTAAACCACCAGCAGAGCTACGAGTGAGAACAGACAACGAAACCGAGAGGAAACGAGTGAGACGTGTGTTGACCACATTTATGGACACATAATCTAGTAAACCTTTACGTGTAAGTGTTGATTTTAAAGTAAATTTGATATATGTGAGAGAGAGAGAGAGAGAAAGACCCGCAGTGCTGTAACTAACATTATGTCTGAAAAATAAAACTTTCCACGAAATGTGTCTTTTTGAGTTCATAGAGGAAGATTTTAGATCTTAAGTATCAAACACGACATTTCATTATTAAAGACTACTTTATTACTCTGTTGTTAACTAAGCAACCAATCTACTTCCTGTTTACATCGGCACCACCCGCATGCGCAGTGTACGTGAGGAGTCACGTGATATTCGTTTTCAGGCGTTTTAGTGTGGAACTACGCTGAAACGGAGTGTGGACATGGCCTCAGAGTGGTATGCTCCACCTCTCCCATTAAAGTGGTATGTTCCCTCTCTCCAGTATCATTCATGAAGGCCACAAGAGTTTTTCCTGAGTTCCAGTAGTTAGGCCAATTAAGCCCAAAACAGGTGTTACTACCTTTGTTTGACTGTTGCGTGCGTCCATTGAACTGGAAGTACATTAAGTTCCATATATCTATGGTGTATGTTCAGTATTCATCCTTGATTTGGAGTTTCATTTCTGTTACTGACCATGCTAATTAGGCTCACTTGAGTGTCTGCTGTGTTAGCTTCCACCTGTGTAGAGCCTGTGCTTATTGTTACTACATTCAATGCGCCTCTGTTTGGTCATTAATCGTTTGTAAATTCATTGTATTGCTGAATTCATATTAAGTCTGTAGGTTTAGTCAGGTACTATGTCCACAGGTTAGTATGTGTTATATTCACCTGTGGGTTATATAACTAAATGACTTGATGGTTAATTGCTGTTAACTGTTAGCTATTCCCATTTTAATGGGACGATTTGGTGTAGATAGCTGTCACCATTGTGGCCTCATGGTTCTACCTTGTGGCCGTGCTAAGCATAGCGGTGCATGCCATGCCCTTCTTTACAATGTTTAATAGTTTCCCTTTGTTTATTCTTCCTATTTCAGAAACCACACACACACCTACTTACAAATACAAACTAAAAAGGTATTTCAGCAATAAAGTTTTCTAACTGGAACTACTGGATTATTTGTGATTTGGGTTTGAGAGGAGCCACTGTCAGCCAACCTCTTTCTTTTAGTAAGAATTGTATTGAGTCTAACGGGGAGTGGCATGAGGGTCTGCTACTGTTTGCATTCACACAGTAGTTTCTTGGGTTAAGTCCGGCTGAGCTGTTTTTTGGGCACACTGCGTGACCCGTTAAGACTGCCTCAAGAGCTTACAGATGGGCTCCAACCTTCCATCAGCTGGTGACTTTGGTATCACCAACATACCAATTCCAAAATTCTGGAGAAAATAGAGGAGCACTTGTCTTATTTGTCTGAGCCAAAAGTGATATTTGTCACCTCATTCGTTGCCACGCATCAATATTTGGTGACAACAGTGCTAAGGCATGATTGGTAAAATAAATAAATAAAGCCCATCAAGCAGCATGCATACAATGTTCATCCAGTGAAGTGGGCTGCTCTGCAGAAGAGGTTGAGTAACTCCTGTAAAAGGGCTTTTCTGTACCATGCTCCAGTCCGTGGAGCTCACTCTCGCTTCTAGTCCCAAAATCTGACCAAACTCCTCGTTTTTGTGATGATTATTGCAAAGTGAACACCATTACTACGCCAGAATCGTCTCTCCTCCCACATATGGATATCTGGATCGGGTTGGGTCAGCCAGTTTCACAACGTTTATCTGGGGTCTTGCTCTTGTCACCTCTAACCACTTCCTTTAGTACAATATCAAGTCTTTTCGGCTCATAAACTTTCCAGAGGTTGATGAGTAAGGCTCGTTTTGGTGTGACAAACAGAGAGACTAGAAGATATTTAATCGTTTGGAGGGGACTTCTTTGTCTCTGATCATTTCTTAAATTCTGAGTTCAGGCTGTGGTCACAAATTTGGGAAAGCAAGTAGGGCAGGGACAAGTGTGGCCTCTGTCAGTCAAAGTCCAGGCCACTTTGGATTTCCTTGTGCCAGAAACGCAGTGGCAACTCTGCCATTTTCTGGGAATATGTGGTCATTATCGTGGGTTCTGTAAGAATTTTGATAGGTTTCCCATAGCCCTGGCGTAACATGCAATCCTGTAATAAGACTAAGTTATTAAATAATAGTCCAATAAAAAAAGGGTTTTGTGGAAAGTCCATTTTCTTTGCATATGTTCACGACTCTTTAGTAGTAACTTTAGTGGACTCCCGATTGGTATAATTATGTGTAACCGCCGATGTGCATGTGAATCTTACTTACGCTTATCTTTAGCTAGCAGTTTTAAATAGGATTCAATGTTGCCCGTCTTGCCCCAGGAATGAATGTGGTCATTTCGGAGACCGCACGGTCTTAGTCTTCGCGGTCCTCAAAGGACGCAGCCGACGTAGACCGCGAAGGCTGGGTTCCTCCGAAGGATGCAGCCCCTGAATTGAGACACATCTAGTGGCAACCAGAAATGAGACAGGCTTGCTGCTGTACGTCAGCACATCCACACAATGAAGACCAGTTCTCACGCGCTCTTCACTTATCTCCAGAATAGCTTTGGTTAGGAATGAGCCAGCACCGCTGTTTTCACTGGAATCAGGAAACCCCACGAAAACAAAATTGTTCGTGCAAGATCTCATCTCCAAATCATCTACAGTGCAGCTTATCCAACTCAGACGTGGTGGGTCTGTTTTTCATGACTTTTGGGTACCCTTGAGGAAGTCTACCTCTTGCCCCTGGGTTACAATAATGGGTCAATACAGCCCAGGCCGACTATTCTACTGCACAACAAATTATAAGGCTGAAGCTGTCTTCCAACTTCCAATTTGCAGTTTTGGATTTGGCCTTTTTGTTTTCACATATAGAAATCAAGGTTTCACAAATTTGAAACTTCATTTCAAAATAATGTCATGTCTACTTCACAGCCAACGTCAGCTGTGTGTACTGGAGGAAGATTTTTCAAACATCAGAATGAGAATCGGAATCAGAAACGGTTTATTGCCAAGTATGTTTGCAAAAACAAGGAATTTGACTTCTTGAAACATAACCCATATGTAGCAGGAAAGATGACCAAAATTAATTAACACAGACTTTATTTCATGAATAATTATGCAAATCAATGAATACACAAATGAATGTTGTTGTTTTTTATTCTCAAAACTTTGACTGAGATGACACTTGCCAGCTACTGAATCCAGTGTAGTTCTTCATACTGCTAATGGTTAGTTCTCTAGCTGGGACATCTGATGGAGAAATGGTGGGGAAGATGTTTCCACATGCTTCCTCTGCTACTGAGGTCTAACTGCAGACAGTGGACACTGCTGAGGAGTGCAGTGCACTACATGACAATACAAAATCAAATCGACTTGAGAATATAAACCCTAGATTCTAGTTAAGTACACTACAGAGAATGTGTTTCCCTTATGTAATAGCATGCTGAGGATGATTTCACACTGGAGAGATGAAATTACAGGCATGGTCTGACAACAAGCTTACTCTGTATTTCTCTAAGAAAGAGGGAAAGAGGGAGGGGAAAACATCCTAAACTGCAGCGTTGGCTTCATGAAGAAGTTCAGGTAATAGGTGTTGGTAGGCTACTTTGGTTTTTTGCTTCTCATCTACGGTCTAGCCTCCTGCTAGAACAGAACAGTCAGGAGGGTTAGACGAGGAGGTTGATGGAGGCATTGGATTAACTAGCCCCTGGACTCCAGAGATCTGCAGGAAGAGCGACAGAGAATTATGCTGCATGCTAGAAACTATACTACGACATGGCCACAAAAACATATCTTTTTTTGTGTCAGATGGCAAAAAATGTAATAAAGGTTACACTTGTTGCATGCTTTAGTATAAAAACGCTGTGAAACAATCAAAAAAACACCGCTTCACTGTCTCTCTCTTGCTTGCCCTCCCAGCTCTCTTTTTTTAAATGAGTCGGAAAGCCGACAGCAAACCCAACTTTCAATGTTTCAAAAACAAGAGATATGCTCTCCCTAGTCCTAAAAAGATCATAAATCAAAACTAGAGTACTTCTTTGTTTATGAATGAAGTGATGCACAAGTTGAAGCAGCAGCACCGCTGTTTGTGTTCAACCAATCAGCGACGATCCGCCCTGCAAACCCCACCCCCTAAGTTCTTACGTACTAACTCCGACCAGGACCTTTTTGGGGGGTTGAAATTTCCCCAGAACTTAATTTAGACCCTGGTACCTGCGGTCAAATGCAATGAGTTCCTTAAAAGGTTCCTAGTCCCAGGGGAAAGGGTTTTTAGTGGCCCCTCTGGATCATTCTGCCCAGCTTTCCTTGACATAAGAGACATATGCCAGCTACCCGCATTCATTTGCATATTGAGATCAGATCATAATGCAGGTGATCGGAAGAAAGCTTAGTAAGAGCATGTGTAATTTGATTTGGGACACGCTGACAGTGTGATATCAACAGTGGTGACTCACGAGTAGCTGGTGTGCTGCTGTCGTCTTCGGGCGCTCCTCATCTTCTCAAAGCGAGCCTCCATTTCCTCCAGGACCTTCGGGGTATAGCGGACCACCAACTTGACCGAACCCTGGGCGGCCTTCAGCAGCTCCACGGCCTTCTCATGGTGCTCCCCCTCAACGCTCTGCATGGACACCGACGCACAAGAGTCTCAGACCACATGCTATAAGGGTCCAAAGGTCTGCTGGACACCATTCCAACCTGGTCACTACAATGGCTCCTTATACTGATTAACACAGTATCCCCACAGAGGAGAACTTAGCTTAGCTGTAGCAGACTTCTAGACAGCACAGCTCTCCAAATGTTTGTTAGAAGGCCTGTAAGTTAAAGTTTGGTCCAAAGTGTGTCTTTGGACTATCCAAGAGAAAACATCTTTTGATCGACATCAAAGTGACCAAAAACAGACCTTTGGTGTGATAAACTGACAATTCTGAAATGATGCTATCATAAATACAGACCTCTATATATGTGGCCCCATTTACACTTGTAGATTATTAACACTCTTACAGTGTCTTGTATGTGGAGCTGCTGTTTCTTGTCTCTTCAATAGGTTTTTTAACTTAAGTTCATTTGGATGAACTGACCTTTAAATGCTACCTTTGCACTTTTTCAGGAATTGTCAATACATGTTGACATGGTTGGATATGTTATACAACAAGACACATTTAATGAATGATAGAGCCTTCTCCATATCTGCCCCCTCCCTCTGGAACTCTCTCCCCAAACACATCCGAGACTGCACTGACCTTTCCATATTCAAATCTCAAATCAAAACCCACCTGTTCAAAACTGCTTTTAGTGTGTGACCATTATTGTGTATTTTATGTATTTAGTGTATTGCTTTTATATATGATGATTTTAATGTAAAGTGTCTTTGAGTATTATGAAAAGCGCTATATAAATAAAATGTATTATTATTATTATTATTATTATTAATTGTTATTGCTCATCGCTCTCATGTCTAATTTCATATCCATCCTGGTGGGGTTTATTAGTAAATAGCTTTTTAATTGTCAGTTGTTCTATGTGCAGCTGCCAACAGCACAGAACTAGCAGAACCTGTATTAAAAGAAGGAAGCACATCTTATAACGTTCCCTTTCGCCAGGCTCTGCAGTTGTCAGCTTCCTATTTACATGACAGGGTTGCACAGTGAAGTGTAAGCTGTCGTCCTTCACACTACATGTTCTCACTCATAGAACATATGAACAATATAAACTCTCAGTGAGGGTCTACACTCTACGCAGACTGACCACACCAACAAATATGTGTGATTACATCCATGTATGCAGACATGCAATGAGGTATAAACCACTGTCAGAGTCCATTTTTGGCCCTTATAGGTGCCTCACGTCAGCTGAAGCTGGTGTTTGGCGACCTCTGGTGGCCGAGCTCTCACTTTCTGTAGTGACACAGAAGTGTCATTTACTGCTGGCTGTGGTTACACGTCCAACAGAATGGAAACTTGGAATCAGAAGAGTTGGGGAAACAGTGCATATCAGCTGTATAATTTTTCACTAATTATCAACATCTAGAGTAGACCCTCAAGTATTTGGAAGTGGATTTTTATTTGAGTTTATTTATAAAAGCTGTCATTAAAATAAACTTCTGTTGAACTTGAGTGTGTGTATCTCCTCTCAGTAGAGGAGACTAGTAGACTAGTGGCTCACAGCAGGCCTGAGCTTCTTACCACTCCGTTGACTGACAGCAGCTGGTCTCCTCTCTTCAGCCCTCCTTGGCGGTCGGCCACACCCCCAGGGATCACTCTGGAGATGTAGATGGGGGAGTTCTGCTCTTTGCCCCCCATGATGTTGAAGCCCAGACCCTCTTCTGTCTTGGGCAGCTCCACCACCCTTGGGTGGGCGTGGCCCTCGCTGGCTGCAAAGGCTGCCACTGTGGCCTGTTTCGGATGATCAGCATTAAAATTGACTATTTCACATAAAAATGGTAAAGAAAGGAGTTTTCGTTCCATTAATGTCCAGTTACATCACAGAATGTGAAAACACAACGATGTATTTTTGTGTCTGCACAACTACCATCACAAGCAGCACTTTTCTGACCTTCTACTTGCCCCTCTGTGTGGTGTTTGGTGCACAGGGTGGAGGAGAGGGACATGCAGGACAGAGGTTCATTCAAATGAGGCAATGCAAAGTGAGCTGTTAGTCAGACAAACGTCTGTTTCTGGCACAAAGTCCCTCTGCTCCCACTTTTGTCAACAGCAGCAAATTAAATACTTGCAGCAAATGCGTAACAATAATGTAATCGTGCTTCAGGGTTAAGTTCACATTTTTCAAGTCTGTCTTAAAACAATAGTCACACGCCCATATGGACGTTGAAATAGGTTTTGCCTCCTGTTCATACTGGCTATAAACAGATCCCTTCCTAACATGCTTCCAATGGAACAGACAGAAAGTAAATATGAAGCTTCAGTAGTTCAACAAATCAAGTGTCAATCTTCCGAAGTTACAGTCTGTTTAGTTCAGAATCCCCTGCATCCACGAGAGGAATGATTACACATTCATGCTTTAAGACAGCTAAATAAAAAAATGAGCATCAAAGAGTAACATTTGATGTTGTTTAAGCAGCAACTCCAGTAAAGCAGTGTGCATGAATGAGTGATTCTTACAGTATCTGTTATCCATGGACGCTTTCTGACAAGTTCCTCCTTCACCTCATTAAATCCCTGCAGCTATCTGAAGGCAGCAGCCTCCAACCATCCACTGTGTTTACCTTCATTAAATCACATCCACATGACAACAGGCTGCTACTGAACAACCACACACACCTCTATGAGAGTAAATTTATTAATCACCTATATTCCACTGCACCCAGCACTTTTGCCCTTTGTGCTCCTGGACCAAAATAGCAGGTGAGCTGGGAGACGCCCACTCAGTCCATGAACTACCACTTAGCGCTGGTTGCTGTGCTTGTGCAATTAAAATAGGGCCCAAATGTCTCTTATACAATGTATATTGTGCAATAGTGAAGTAATCTTTAGTTATTAGTTTGCATACCTTGGCAGTTGCCTGTGCTCGCACCTCCGGTCCTCCAACAATGTCTAGAGTGTCATACAGCTGCTCATAAACCTGAGGGGCAACAGGGCAGAGCAGAGAGTCCCAGCAACACATGAGCGTGAAATACACTGGACAATATTACAGACATGACAAAAAAGAAGCTTTTACAAACCAAGCCATATATTTGTGACCAAGAGGTCTCACTCTCACTACTTTGATATACGAGTCTTCCCGACAAACGTGGAGTCTAGAGGGGGCTTCCAATAGTGAGAGAAAGCAGTTAAAGAGATTTTGGTTTCTGAGAGTGAGATGAGAAGATGAAAATGAGTCTCATCTCAGTATGTTACAGAGCTGCAGTCAGGACATGGTTAGCCTGAGATAGCATAATGACTGGAGGACAAACTATACCGACCCAATCCCAACTCAAAGCTCACAAAATACTTAAATAATTGTTTATTTGAATAAATTGAATTCTGAAATGAATTTGAAGATCCTTTATTTAAAGGTGCAGTGTGTAGGATTTGGGGGCATTGAGCGGTGAGGCTGCAGATTGCAACCAACTGAAACTTGTCCCGTGTGCCAAGCGTGTGGCCAACACGAAAACATGAAAATGCAGATGACCCTTTCTAGAGCCAGTGTTAGGTTTGTCCGTTCTGGGCTACTGTAGAAACATGGCAGCCAGCTCTGTGGAGGACCCGCTCCATATTTAGATACAAACAGCTCATTCTAAGGTAACGAAAACACAATCATTCGTATTTTTAGGATACACGAAAGAACACATGCTTAATAATATTTTATTCCATTTCTGACATCAAATTCCCTTAAATGCTACACACTGTTCCTTTAAGTCTCAGTCAGAATGCCTTCTCTTGATATTGACATAATTCTTTTCTGCAGTTATATGTTCTACGGCATGGTGGTTTGGAGCGTCTGACGTATTTGGTTTTAATGACCTTGAACATGCTTTTAACTGACAACTGAAATGTGAAGTCATTGCGTGGGGGAGTAACCGTGGTGGCTGGATGAAGGCTGGCACAATGTTCAATACATTAGGGAGGAAATACTCCGAGTTATTTTTGCCCCAGACTTCCCAGAACTCTTTGCTGTACCTCTCTGATGGCAGCACAGAATTTGCTCTGTAGGACTCTCTGCAGGGCCTGCAGTTTGGGAGGAGGCAGCTCACCGCTCCGCTGCAGCCGGTCCAGCAGCTCAATCACCCTGCACACATCTAACACACACACACACACACACACACACACACACACACACATTCACACAAGGACGGATTATCAACAGGGCTAAGCAGGAACCACAGTCCAGTAGGCCACTGTGTGGCAATTATGAATACTATGGGCAATAAAGCACAACAAAAAATATAAGGTTATTAAATTTCCATTATATTTGTCACGTCCAATATCACAATTTGCCTCAGAGGGCTTTACATCTGTACAACATACATCCTCTGTCCTTGGACCCTCGCATCCTTTGAGGAGGCTGCTAACCATGTAGGAGCATTCAAGAAACGCGTCTGACAGTAAGCTCTGCTTCTTTCTGAGCCACCTTCATAGAACACTCCTCGTGAGTTTATTGCGTGGTTCTTACTCAGGCACGCGACCACACCTATATCTCCTGTCGGCCGCGCTGTGAGGTTATATAGACTCAAGAAATAGGAGTCAAATAAACAGTGTGCTGCTGTACATCAGAACGCAGTTCGCTCCTCCATTCAAACGAACAATGAGGGAGAAGACTCGACCGCACCTCAAACAGGCTTGCTGCGTCCACGCGACGGACACCATATTCGCGCGCGCGCGCTGCACGGTTTCGTTGTTTTTTTTAAGGCACGGTGACAACTCGACATTTCAGACCCAGCCGAGCTCAGATCAGTGAAATGATGAGATGCATATTGTCGGAGGCGCGTGCGATAATACGTCCTCCGTTATTCGATGTACAGATAATAAATGTAGAACAAGCCAAGCATGTTTAATCAAAAATGATGCCTTCAATTAAATGGGTTCTACGTTTACTACAAGAAAGAAACGTGCACGAGTCATAGCCCTTTATAAAGGCCCTTTTAAACGTTTGACACGTTCAACGAGCTGCGACATGAGGCTTCACTAACGTCAGCCTCCCTTATTTAAACAGCCGCCACATATTCAAATGAGGACAACGCCGTTATTTTCCCATCATTAGCTTCATTTTAGACAAAGTACCGCCTCTACATCCGCGAGGTTAAACAGGTGATGTTACTGAAAACCTGAACGAGGCTCCGTTAATGTTACCTCTCTCCAGGCACAGCGGCTCCGTCAGGGCCGCCATGTCTGCGTCCTTGGCAGGGTGGTAGTAAGAGGACATCATTGTGAGCCCTTCCGCGTCCAGGCCGACAGCCTACTTAACTCTGCTTAGACGAGCAAGGGGTCTGGCTCACAGCGATGCGTGGTCCATCTTGTATGATGACATGGTCAGCAGACTGTAGATGAGGAGCCGATACGGACGGTGAGCAGGACAGAGGATCGGGCAGTGTGCAGCCTGACGCACCGCAACTCGGCTTCAACGCGTGCTCACATAGAACGGGTGTTTATGTGCTCCTACTGCGCAGACTGAAAACAAAGATGCTAATTCACTCCGTCATTCTTACATACAAATTCCAATATCAGGTCTGTATTCCGAATAGGTGAAATTATTGCAACTATAAACTAAGGAATTATTTCTCACAATAATTTGATAAACTGTTCCAAACCAGTTTTTAGCCCATCATACTACATGTAACTTTACCTCGTTGCTGACCATTTCTCATTACATAATGCAGTAGATTGTTTCGTAAAACCAATCAAAGTACTGGTTTCCATTCACGCAGTATGAAAATCCGACTATGGGGAATTGATATGCTGTACATAAATTCTCTACCTATGTGGACCGCATGTCAAAGCAAGCTACTTCGCCGATGGGTCTCCACTATAACAGAATTACTACATTGTAAGAAAAATAATTTAAACACTCATGATAGATGTCCAGCTCTGTCTCTTTATACTGCAAGGTGGAGGATGGAATGGTTACATTTAAGGTCTGAAAATAGAATCAGAAGTTAAAGTCACAGGATGTTATGACAGGCATACAAATAGGATGAGCTCTGGCTTTAAGCCACATCTTTATTAAAATGACCATGCAAATCTAACAGAAACAGCAGACATAATAATAATAAAAAAAGAGAATTTTTTTTATTCCAGAATGAATAAACAGAACAGCCCTCAATAGTCACACAATACTACATCTCCATCAATTTCACATACATTGAGGGGAAATTTGTCACTTGGTTCCAAATGAGCATACAATCCAACTGTTTTATGAATCTGGAAATAAAAGACAACACAATCTACCCTTCTAAAACCGAATGGAGCTTGTGTTTCTACAGTTCATCCCAAGCCAAGTGGAAAAAGAAAAAAACATATCTAGAGTGAATCAAGTAAAAAGTAATCTGGTAACATTTAGTGGCACGGATTAGTCGGACAATGCAGGAAAGCTGCAACTTCTGTGAGACCAAATCAGTTATCAACTGTGCGTGCAACAGTATTAAGAGGAATATTTCAACAGATTATTGACAGACAGGAGGAAAGCTAGCTAGAAGCCTGGTGCTGAAGAGGCCCTGACATCATTTAGGCTTCCTGTGTCTTGGTAAAAAGTTAAGGGCAGAGTTAAAGTATAGTATGAAACAACTTATTTATGAGTGGGAGTCTGCTGGGTGAGGGGCTGTCTCAGTACTCCTCTCCCCCCGCTCCCTCCATCTTGTAGCCATTTTCACTGGAGCCGTAGCCGTCAGCCGATGGCACCGACTGCTGGTCCATCATGCCATCCTGACTGTACTCCTCCATGTGTGGCGGCGCTCCTCCCTCATCCTCATTGGCCATGTCATCTTGGGGGCCCGTGTCATCTCGTAGGGAGCCATGACGCTCCTCTCTGCGGTCCCCCCTGTCCCTCTCCCCCCGCTCCCTCTTATGTTCCCTGTCTCTGTCCCGGTCTCCCCTGCGCCTCTCTCTGTCCCTGTGGCTGCGTCTGCGGTCCCTGTCTCTGTCCCTGTCCCTACGCTCCTCCATGCCCTCACCCACTTCTCCTTCATTTTCCTCCAGCACCCGCTCACCACCTTCAGGGGCCCCGTCACCCTGGCTGACCTCCTCCCCATCTAGCCCCTTGCCTCTCTCCCTGTCTCTCTTGCGATCCCTGCTCCTGCTCCTTCTCTTCCGTTCTCGACTCCTCTCCCTACTCCTGCTGTCTCCTCCCGCTGCTGCCGCCACCGCCCCACGGTCCTTCTCCCGCTCTCGACGCCGGCTACCACTACTACCACCACCACCACCACCACCGCCGCCGCCGCCGCCGCCACTACCGCTGACCTCCTCTGCTCCTCCAATCGGTCTCTCTCTCTCTCGCTCCCGGGATCGAGTACGCCGACGGCGTTCGCGGGATCGGGACCTGCGGCGCTCTCCTCTGTCCTTGTCCCGGTCGCGCTCTCGGCTGCGCTCCCTCCGCTCTCGGGGTTCCCGATCACTATGAACAGTCAGGACAAAGTGAAGACTGTTATACACAGCAGTATTTTAAACCAAATCACATATCTTCCCTGAAAGTACTCACCCCACTATGGGGCGCTCTTCATAACGTGATGCATCATCTCGACCGGAGTGCTTAATGTTGACATCAGCTCCACCTCTTCTAGTGCCACCCAATCCACCACCTAGTTAAGAAAAACAAGCAAAACATAAGATGAAGTCAAGTATGGACCTTTAGACTTAAAAGTCAACACTGGTTACAGACTGTGTATAGAAAGACAACAGCATTGTGTCAAAAAGAACACATGGCTTCTTTGGTGTGGATGTGTTCCTACAGCTAAAAAAAAAAACACCAACCTGGATGTCAAATTTGAAGGATTATCAGACAAAGACAGCTGTTTATAACCTAACGGCAGGAGTTTACAACATCAATCTCAACACTTGCATAATGCTAAAAATGTATCAGCGTTGATCAGTCGTTTTCTCGAGCATCATTAAATCAGTTTCAACTGAGTACCATGTTCAAAAAAAGAAGCTAAAGATTGATTCAGGAAACAAACGTCCATATGTGTAGTACGGTCGCTACATCAAAAAACAACTGTCCACACTGAGCAGAGTATGTACAATTCACCCGAAGAGTGACAGATTTCTGAAAGAGTGCCTACTACTGTATATCTGTATGTGTGAACGCAGCATTAAGCTCACAAAACCTTTGCAATTACACAATCAGTGTGTGCCTCCACAATGTCAAACATTATTTTTTAAGTGAATAAAAACCGTTACAAAAAATAACAATCCACCCTCCAATTAACACAAGAGCTCTAAATTGAGCTTTTAGTGTGGAATTGCTGTTTTTTGTAAAAGGCGACCCCAAGCGTCCCTGTAACAAGCATCTGGCGCTCTCATTGGCTGTAGCTCCCTGACAGGTCAGATATTTAGCCTGCTAGGTGATGCTTCTTTTAACAGCGAGCACAGAGCTAACGCCACGTTGCCTCTAGCTTCTGTCGGGAGGCTCCAAACACTCGGGACTAAAGTCTTATAGTGTTAACTACACTAGCCGTCTCAGAGGGCCTCTTCCACTTGACGGTGTGTATGGGGCATACTTTTTTTTGGTTACAGTGCTGTGTGAAAAAAAAAAAAAAAAAAAGAAAGCTTACAACAGGCGGTAAATAATATTCATGTGCAAGGTGTTTAACAAAAAAACAAACATGAAATCTAATCAAGCCCAGCACAGAGCTCTGAAGTTTGAAATAAAAAGAGGCAGCTGACCCAGCCTGCGAGGATGCCATCCTTTCACAGTGCGTCCACGTTCCACGTCAACCAGTACTCTTCTACCGTCAATCTTCTTCCCATCGGCATGCTTGTAGGCGGCTGGAGAAGAGCAATGGGGAGAGGGAAGACAGAGGTGAGATAGGAATATGACTGCATCAATGTGGCCAAGGAAACAAACAATGCATTATTATACTGACCAGGAGCAGGCGAGGCCGAGATGGCTGCTCTCTGGGCATAAGCCGAAGGATAATGGGAGCAGACTTCCTTCCACCCGATGAGTGATTGATATGTCGCACTTTTAACGGCATCATTTAAATACCCAGCTTTCAGTTCTTGTCTGCATTAAATATCAGTATATTGTAGCCATCTTAAGTTGTCCTAAGTAGAATCATGCAGCCTTCGTACAATTACTACTTAATAAGCAAGTTTCTCTGTATTTTTTCATAAACGCTTAATCTGTCACGCAGGTTTGACTGTGACAAGTTAGACCACAGACAGCTGACATGGCATCTTAAATCAGCTCATTACACATTAATACTTAACCCAACCTGCTGAGATAACTGACATTGGAATTATCTAGAATTAAAATCACAGCTATTATCATAACTGTTATGTATTTGCCGGTGACAAATATCTGATTTTTCTTATTGGTGAAATGTCATTTCTTTGAAAAACAGAAAATCCTATCATGGCAGTAAAGCACACGTTTGACCTTAAATACTTTACAAATGCTTGAGAATGAACTGGTCAGGGAAATAAAGTTTACCTTGCACTATTAACAGCAAATATTTTGGTATGGCAGTAATATGTTTTGTTATAGAAGCTGAAACTTCTTACAAGCTTCATGGGAAAATCAACATGAGCTGGCATCAGCATGACGTCTAGCATTTGGCATATTTCCAACCTCTTTGTCCCACACCTCATTATACCACACAACAGTCTTTTGATCCATCTTGCATAATGACGTGGAGAGATGCAGGTGGCTCATCCTGGCTGCTACACTGGTCTGATGCCGTGATGATCGCTGAGGGCAAAACTTGCGTCCAAGAAGAGGGCCTTACCAAAACCCATCAGTGATAGCATACAGTCCGAGGGCCTTACCAAATCCTCACATACATTCTGAGGGCCTTACCAAACTCCCTCACTCATACTATACAGTCTTACCATAGTCCCTCACACATGGGCCTTATGAAAGTCTCTGCCCCAGTCTTAGAGTCTTACCAACATCCACCAGCACCAGTGCACATACTGTCGCAACACCTCTTATCTGGGGCCTTACCAGAACCCCTCCACTTCCTGTCACTTAGGATGACAACATCCTATCCAATGATAGGGCCTTACCAAACCCCCACCAGTCCTACCAAAACTGACCAACTGAAAGAAAATAAGCAAAGACAAAAAAACGGGGCTACCTTCCTTACAGGAGTTGCGTTATTACAACCCCAACCAACTAATGAGAAACAAACTTTTATTTTTTTTAAACCAAGAAAGTCATGTTCACCGACACACTGGCATGTCTTGGATCTAAAGTGGCCTGAAATATCAAGTCCAGTGTCTAAACGTATTAACTGACATGACATACACTGAAGCTTTTCTTTAAAATAACCTTACTATTGTTATGAATTAATATGTAGGGCTACATTAAACTAGTATCTACCTTAAGTTATGTAGTGAATAAATGTATGAATTGCTCATTTAGCAGAATTACCAAGAAAATTCCCCTCATCTGCCATTTCTATTAAAGCCAGCTCAGACCTATTTGATTGGACAGTATAATGCACCGACTTCTGTGAGATTTGAACATTTTAAATATTAAATGCCGTTATGAACTGTATTTAGGGCAGAGCGATATGGAGAAAATGACGATATCTTTTACCATATACTTTGATATTGCGATCTTTGGTGCTTTCACCAAATATTTACACGACATTTCTCAGTGATGTAGATATAATTTAAGTGGGTAAAGGCAAATAATGGAACAACTAGAACAGTCTGTTCAGTTTAGATATCACTTCAGCGTAATGCAGCCTTCAAAACCAGGAAAAGACAACACTAGTGCCATATCACGATATCCAAAATCTAAGACAATATCTAATCCCATATCACGTTATCAATATAATACCAATGTATTACACAGCCCGAACATTGTTACGCTAATTAGGCTCGACAACCTGCCAGCCTAACCAATGTTTGTAGAATGAAGTGTTAAATGGCATCAACAGTATGGGTCGATATGCAGCGAGTTAATGCCCAGCTTCTGTTATTTACATAACGCCTTATTTAATCTGCACCGATAGTTAGCAGAAAAACTTGACTCCATTTCTTTACCAAGTGCCTTCCCTGCTGAGCTGTTTACACGTTACTGACATGTACTGCTACGCAACCAGACAGACAAAACTGCATCACTAAGATTGTGAAAAGCGGCTACATATTCAGTCAATCTGCAGTGTTAATCATATCTAACTCCACACAGAGACAGCTGCTTAACACATTTGGATTTCTCCTTCTTGTTCACTGACCTTGTGCCCCCCCACACAGCAAAGCTATTGCGACGCATGAGCCCTAAGTAACTGAGGTGGCTTTGACAAAGGGCAGAATCATTGGGCAAACTTTAATACACTAGTGGTCAGGGGTGCGTTCAATGGTCAAAGCCTAAAATCCAAGTAGTAGTAATTGCACTGAAAGCTCTTTAAGGCTTGCAAAAAAATGACGCTTTACCCATTGAACGTAGCTCCTCTTCCCTATGTAGGAGATGGAGGGTGGAAAAAAATCTTACCCATCATACAAACCCATTATACCAACCATATACTGAGCTGTGGTAGTAGGGTGTAGATGTATCATAACCATCATCATCTGCCAGCCAGCTCTGGCCAATAGCCATCACAGATTGGCGGCTGCAGTGGCAATGAGAACAACACACAGTTAATATACTGTTTAGCCCCACATCCCCCCTCATTTCACCCACTGCTGTGACTACACGTTTGCTGTGATTCAGCAACTCTGGTCTTGAAGAGCCGATCACACTAATATCCCAGAATGGTGTCATTGTGTTAGATGGCACCATTCACTTGTCTAATAAGACGGTACACCATTACTCGCTGTGGCGTCACCACCGGCTTTAAATATCTCACTAGTGTGGTGTATTTAACTAATCTCACCATGACCAGGGTTGAAGACCACCAATAAAAACTTTGACAAACAAGCTACAATAGCTACGATCTACAAAAGATGGGTTTCCATAAAATCCCATTCAGTGCTTGGCGACCAGTGTGACCTTGTGCTTACCATCACAGTCCAACCAGGAGAGCTGCTCTTCCACAGAGCTACAATGCCTAACTGTTAAAAGACAATGTGCCCCTTGACAGGCAAAGATGTTCAGGTTCACAGATGAAAGACACAGTTCTACCTCTTGGTCGTCCCACTTTTCCCAGGATGCTACTGAATGAAGTGGTCCCCTCCTCTCCCAGACTATTAGTCAACTGATGACACGCATCAAACACAGACACACACATCACACAACCACCAGACTCTGATTCCAAAATTTAGAAGTACTCAGATATCTTTGATTCCACAAACATCTAATTTCTCATTAGGTAGTAGTCACCTTCCTAAAGTGTCACCCCAGTATCATTACCAGAATACCCACATAGAATAAAATGACAGGGGGGTTCAACTGAAGAACCACCCTGTATGTCTTCATGAACATGTGACCATATATACATTGGTACTCACAGTGCATGTCTCGTTCATGCTCATACTCAATGAATGCATAGCCGCGTGGCTTCCCCGTCCTCTTGTTGTAGACTATGTAAATCTGGAACAAACAGGAATGGAGACATGAGTTGGCTGTGGAATCATCACTACACAAAGACCTGACAATCCACAACAGGCCACATCAAGTGTGTGCATACTACATGTGTAACACAACCCAAAGCCACAAACTTATAGCTGAATCAAACTTATCTTCCCATGTTCAACAGAAATACAATATATGCTTCCTAAATGGGCCAGTCATTGCAGGCCAGTGGTGCTACACTGTACAAGCAGTTACATTTTATATTTCAAACATTTTTGTGAAATGACTAACAAATTAGAATTTCCAATACACTGACATAGCACAACAAAAATATGGTAAAATAAATTAAAAGTACAGTGTACAAAAGTTGGTGTGGCACTGACATCTTAATGTGTCAGGTGTCCCGAGATATCAGATAGTTTTGGCATGACATTGGCACAAATTGTGGTGTCTTAGCCTTTTTTGCCAGCAAACCATGTAACAAATTCAAATGAATGGATTTCTTGGTGTTAGGCTTGCAGGGATACATACTGTATATAGGATATATAGGATGTCATTTAAACAGTTTGTACACAGATCTCGACAAGTGAGAAACAGTAGCTAAACATACCCGTTTGATGGGGCCATAGACCTCAAACTCACGGCGAAGCTTGGACTCTGTCGTATCATAGTTCTACAGCAAAGAGAATACTATTAGGCATCAACAAAATAATAATTTGCTTAATCTACAGACGTGTTGCAAGAACGCCTAAAATCACACACTCACCACTCGTGCAACAAACAATGTCTTGAAGGCATCCCCTTGTGCATTGGGGTCATTATGGGGGTCCCCTGAAATAATGCAAATAGAAAAGCCGGTTAGTTTAAGCCAAGAAACCATATACAGTGAAAAGAGCTCGTAATGTATGTCACTGTGAAAACTTACAAAGCTTGAGTTCTGTCTCCACCACTGCTTGTCTCCTCTCGATCTTTTCTCGCCTCTGCAAATGCCAAAGATGAACAGGAAATGGTTAATCTGGATCACTCAGTGAAGGCTCACTGTGAATAGCAAAGCTCATGAAGATGCTAGGGCTGGCCTTTCATCACTGTCCCAGTCTATGTGCAGCGCCATCAACGACTGCAGAACTGCAGCCCCTTGTGCAAAATGGAGTGTATGCTCGGAAGTCATGATTTCACACACATTTATTGGCTACTTTATTAGTGTGACCGTGGCATTGGCATGAGAGGTTAAAAACTATCCTACATATTATATACATATTCATTTCAGAGACACTTGAATGAAGTTAGTTTAAAAAAAAGCAATGTTTCCCAGTTTAAAAAAAAGCAATGTTTCCCAGTAATATAAAGTAGTTATTAGAGAGGGAATTATTGTGATTTGACTTCCTAACAATAGCTCTAAGCAGCTTATAATACATAATTAAAACTGCTAATACCAACAATATTTTTATCAATACAATTACAATCTTTTATGTACTAATCATTTGAATTGTGTGATTTTATGTAAATAACCATTATAGATGACTATAATGCAGTGGTGGGCCATCAGGGCTAGCAAGGCTTTCTTTGCTGGCTTAGACAGAATCACAAAGTTATAGCTATTTTATCATTTTTCATAAATACACTACATGCATTCTAATTATTTTTCCTATTATCTTATTTTCTCATTGCATAGCTACTGTCTTCCTCTGTTGCAGCTTGTTTTAAGTAGAGTTTTTATCCAATCAGATTTCACCTCTGTGTCTCTAGGTAAGAACAGAGGCTCACAAGTGAATCCCTTTGCAGTTTAAGTGAATGGGGATGATATGGTTGATTGTCATAGTCTTCAACCAATCAGATCTTTAGTTTGACATGTTGGGCGTATTCTTTGACGTGTCAGAGCCTGCTAGCTGGCCTACAAGTACGTGATTGGTCAGTGGGCTAGCCTGACATGTTGGGCGGTGACAATCCCAATATCTGCTGCCTCTGTGGAGTAGACATTTTCAGCCCTCAAACGCATTCAAGAAATACAACTGGGGAGGCTCGACTGTCTTCCATGAATGGAGAAGGACTTCTTACTGGAACTAAAATGCACGGATGTACTGAACAACTGTGAGATTAAACTCTTTGTTGACAAAGAAAGACTGTCTTTAAATAGTGAACAGCAGCATTGGTAAGTGAACTGCGATTGTTTTTACATCTGCAGTAGCTTTAATATACTTGTTTAAATATTATTATTTGTACAACTTGTTCTTATGAAGATGGATTTTTATGTGATAGGAACTATTGTTACGTCCAATGTTGTCCCCAGTGTCAAAGTTAAGTTTGAGTTAAAGTGATCATCTTTGAAGATTCATGCGTTTTCAAGTAGACTCATTTTCCCTCTCGGTGTTGACAGACGAATAAATCCGTCAGTAACAAGAACTAAGGTGTCGTGTATTTCCTGGAGGGAGTGATCGTAGCGTTACTACTGTGTTAATTTGTCTATGGTGTCGTTTTTATATGGTTAATATTGTTCCCTCTGATGTGAATATTTGAATGGCCCGTGCTCTTCAGTGTGTGGATGAATACGTGTTTTAGCTCCGCAGTTTCTTTTAATGCATTGTCCGTTAATGACGCAGCATCCCATCATTCATGTATCTGCACTGCAGTTAGTGTATTTGTAGGTGTTGAGCTTCATTTTTACACAAAACAAATAACTGTAGCTGTGGCGTCATGAGGAGGTTCAACTGCAATAGGACAGTACTGAAGGCCCAAGTATAAAGTGCACGGACCGCTACTGCTATAATGATGATAAAAGACATCCTTTGTCCTCCATCTAACAATCTATATCGGCCAATGTAGATCAATTGGTAGCAGTGGCAAAAAAGACGTTATTGGGGCATCTCTAAAAGTTTGTTCCCTGTTCTTTTGTGCTGATTATCACCCGAGTATCAATAAGGTACGGAGTTAACGGGTCTGCGGTCTGTGTTTTAGAATTACGGAGTGAGATATCCACGAAAAATATCAGCGCCGTACACCTCCTCTGTGTCTGTCTTTGCATGAGGAGTGGAGTCGTGCTTTAATCCGACACACCGACTCCGGCTCAGTACAGCGCGAGACACACATCATGGCGGAGAACAAAAACATCTAACGTGTGGTTACATTTTACTCCAGTAGATGATGATATCTCTCGTTGTCACGAATGCAATAAACCCTCACAAGTATGGGAACAATTTATCAAAACATTTGGCCAACAAGCAGAACATAAATCTGTAGAAACACACGGTTTTGACTGGTTGGTGAGCAGCCGACCATCCCCGTCCACTGCAGGTACGTTAGCGATGCCATACACAGTTTGCTAATAAGATGTCTAATAAATGAAAGCTAATCACTTAACTTATTGTTTAGTCGCAAATGTATCTGAAAGATTTCTTAACTTCTTGTATTAATGCTCAAGAAAATATATTTGTACACATACAAGAACAATAAAGCAATTTGTGTCTCACAATATAATCAAAAATAACTGATAAGAGTCTTGATAAGGAAGCAAACTAATAAGCCGAATCATGAGTACTAATATTAATAAAATCCTAATTATCCCTGTCGGTGCCGAATAAAGTGGCCACTGAGCGTATATGGCATAACAAATTTATGTCCTATTTTGTTTATAGCACTGGGTACATGCTTGAGGAGCATCTCAAGACAGAAGTATCATCTTCACAGAAGGGCAAGAGTCTTAAAACGCTCCTTGTACTCAGCACACATCAAGGCTCTTCATTGCATGGTTCACCTTTCTCTCCAGCCGCTCATCGCGCGTCTCTGCCCTTGTTGGTGGTGGGGCATCTCTTGGATCCTGATCACAAAATGAAAAAAACATGACAAATATGGTATTGAGAAAGAATTTGAGCATAATTCAAAGTATACAATTATAGAAGATTAAATATTCACCTCGAAATGCCTGATGAACGGTGCAATGCCACTGTACGGTTGGTTGTGGTGTTTCTCGTGGGGCAGCTTCTCCAGCTGTGGCAGGAAAGGTATCGGGTCCCGCGGTGCGAATAGGGCCAGCAGATTCGGGGGTAAAAACTGCGTCATCTTTCACCTAAATTGACAATATCGTGTAGAATTATTACCATAAACATCTGGACACGTTGCAAAATTCTACCAGTAACGTCACTGGTAGAAAACGGAAGCTCGCAAGGCAGTCAACTGTTAGCTTCATGTGGCAATTGTTGTCTTCATTCAGAAGACTTCCCTAAAAGCACATGTAATTTGTACGTATTCAAATTTGGCCAAACCACATGCTCTGTAAAACGTTACACACCGCGTGAACAGTGTACATACTCTAGAAGTTACACGATAATAGTTTTCACACCGGCTATCATCTCAACAGTGTAGCCTTGAGACTTCAGTAATGCCCCTTGCGTTAGCCAGCAAGCTAACTATGCTAACAAGGAGCCTCGAGCATGGTTCTTACCTTCTCTCCTCCAATGTCTTGACAAAATGTCAGACCATGAACCAGAAGAAGCGTGCGATATATGCAGGTCTCCTGGACCAACTCACTCAAGCAAAAGTCGACAAACAATAAACTAAATGCGGTACGCTCAGGGTGCCAAGGCCGTATGGCGACAATTACTTGAATGTGTGCGAGCTGACTAGCTGCTTGTTTCTGAAAAATAAAATGGCGGGATGCCGTAAATCGACGTCATCTGACGTAAACTTCACCGGGAGCAAATCAATATACCACACATCACCATCAAAATGCTTCGATGTGGATTTGAACCAAAATTCAAGTGCAGCGCGCTTAATATGATATTCTGTCTGCACCATATAGCCTTGGTTATACGTGAATGAAAAGTAATTTAGCATTCAATGTTTTGTTCTCAATTAAAACTGCTATTCATAACGCTAATGACATTCAACCACGAGATGTCGCACTCGCCCTGCGCACTTCCATTGCATTCATTTAAGTCAGGGGTCCCTAATAGGCGGACGGCGATCAGGATCCGGACCCAGGACCTAAAACCGATAGATAATCGAGAATTATTACATTTTAACGTAGCGCTTCTATTTTAACCGGCGCAGTTACGGCACTTGTTCAGCAGTGTCTGACAAGTTTCCTGACTCGAGTGAGACGTACACACACAGTGACACACGGGGCTGAGACGAGGAAACAGAATGAAGAGCAGGTAAATTGCGGAAGTCAGAGAAGTTATTTCACATGACGTTCTCCAAAGAGAGAAAAGTAGTCAGAGAGACCAGAGTCTCTAACCAACAATGGACAGACTCTTATAGGTTAATTCTTCCCACCAACAGTTTAAAACCAGTATGTCTCACATGTTCAGAGACCGTGACGATTATTAAAAGTGGTAATATGATGCGACTCTACAGACAAAGCACAACTCTTTTTAGCAAAATCTCACATCTGAAATTAATTCACAGAAAATAACCCTAAGAGCCCAATATGATCAGAATCCTAACACATGAATTCACTGACCAATGATGTTAACAGAGAGAATAGAGCTGAAACAAGTGGTTTAATAACCACACATAAAGTCCATGCTCACAAAGTTCTCTTGTTAGAAGATGAGAAAAATATATCGTGGCTTTTGATTGACATCACTTCACACCTGAATGAACTGAATTTAAAGCTGCAGGGCAATTCAGTGGAATTGATTTTTCTAAAATGAAGTACTTCCTTTTTAAAGATGCACATTCTTCAAAAGCTTTCTGTTGTATCAGTTATTCTTTAATCCAGCCATTATTTTACTTGAACTGAGAAGAACATTTAATTATGTATTTCTATGTATTATTTATAATCCATCCAGTCAAATTTGAAAACTGAGAATAATAAGTGTTAAAATATAATTGATGTGTACTTTCTTTATTTGATTTGACAGTTGTTGACTGTCGTTACTACTACTAGACTTCTTGAATATATATATACATATGTATATATATATGGCACTAAATAGTGCAAGTTAGATATTATTGTAATATTTCGGACCTTTGCCCGAAGAGATTTTCTCATTCTGGACCTTTTGGAATTTTAGTTGAATACCCCTGACTTAAGTGGTTGCCAGTTCTGTCAAGGATGTATGTTGGAGTAATACGATTTTTTTACATTGAGGAAAATGTAAATTTTGGACTATTGTGGCTTTTTAAGTGACAAAAATACTATGAGTGTCTATAATATGACAAGGTGGAACACAATAGCATAGTAACTCTTGATTTTACAGCACCTGGTTTCCTGATGTCCCATGTTACTTAAAAAGCATTCGGGTAAAACAGGACAGTCACTCAAAACCCTTTCCCATAAAAAGTAGTTTATTTTGAAAAATATTTAGATTTTAAGTCAAACAGTTAATAAAATCATCCTACAACGTTTTTTTTGGGTGTTATACCTTTTTTGCTTTAGCTGCAGTACATATTTTTAGAATCTTCACCCGATCTCGTTATCTCAGACCATTAAAATGAATATTTTGTGTAAATGACATTTACAACAATGTAATGACATGCTTGGTGATTGGCTGCTAATATTGAAGAGCCCTTGATGCAAAACCCAACCTTATCTGTCCCATTTTTAACTGATGTCCCAAATGACCTGACTTCCCCCCAGAGTGACATGTAGGGCCCTCTTGTGCCTTGAGAAGCGGGGTAGTACCGTGAGTCATGCTCTTTGACCTCAATACCATTCAGACATGCTTTCTAAGGGAAAAGCTTTTGGCAATGAACGTTCCCCGACACTGGATCCTGGATCATGAACTAACTCGATGGCCGGCCAGGCGGCAGCGTGTCTGAAAGAAGTAACCTCAGGAAACGGTACTGCACCCTGCACGCTTTAATCTCGCACTTCTGCTTAAATTCCTCATTCCACCTTTAAGAGTTTTATGATGACGCCTTCATTGTTGGATGCATGCTAAAGGACAACAAGGAGTACAGATGATCGATAGTCACTTGGTGCAACCGCAATCACCTAAAGCTCAATTTCAGCAAGACCAAAAGCTGGTGGTGGACTAGCAGAAAAACAAGAGGCCACATGTCCTGGTTATCACCCAGGAGTAAATGGAGAGTGCAACGTTACGCTCGTACAAGGCTACCTTGGGGTCTAGATTAATAACAAAAACATGGATTGGACACAGCTCTTCAGGAAGGGGCAGAGCAAAGTGTTCTTCCTGAGTGTTTGCAACAGCTTCCTAAAATTCTTCCACAGAACTGTAGTAGTCAGCCCCTTCCTTTGCTGGGGTGGTGGCATCAAAGCTCGTAAAGAAGGTGTGTCTGGACAATCTGGAGGCAGTGGTGGAGAGGATGACTGCTCCAGTCAGGACGAGCCACAGTGGATCTACCGATCAGGTATGGAAATCTGATTTTATCATCCGCATATTTGATTTGATAGGTTTTACGCCGGATGCTCTTCATGAAGCAACCAACCCATTCACAGCGTTCGGGGGGGGGGGGTGCATGTTTCCGTGGTGAGAGTAAACCGGAAAACCCACGCCAACACGAGACCTTGTTGCTGTGAAGCGACAGTGCTATCCACTGCACGCCCAGCAGAGAAAGATGGACAAGACCAGAACATACTGGACAGCCCTCTCAACTCCTCTACAGCCAGCTGTGGCAGATGGGCAGCTCATTCATACACCAGATCATCCCACTCAGGTGCTAACACAGCACTCATTTGTGTCCACGGCCACCAGACTGAACACTAGCCGTAGAGACCACAGACTATGCCAATCCCTTTTGACTTTACCCCCAGCACAACACTGCATCAGTGTAAGCACAACACTGGTCATGGGTACTGTGTGTACTGCTTGACCTAACATTTTGAGTTGAATTGCTCTTATATAGTTTATATTTTCATTCTTATTTTATTTACTTCTTTTTTAATACTTGTTTCGATTTATCTGTACTTATTTCTGTTATGTGCTGTTGCAACACCTGACATTCCCCTCTGGAGATCAATAATCTCATCTTAGTCTATATGACGTTATGTTTAGTGTCAGCATTCTATACCAATGTTTGGGATTTACCAAGAAGTTTCATCCATGAAGTTCTCTAGAATATGGAATGAAAGTACAGACGACAGACTAAATGAATATGGTCATTCTATTGCAAACTGGTTTTCAAGCAACATTTATATTTTGTTGGGCAAGTCATTGGATAAAGAGATTTAGCAACTTTCTCAACCTCAGTATCACATGCACACAAAACAGCAGCAGAACCAAAGAGCATCAACAGAGAGGCTATATGAACCATCCTACTGTCTGCACAGAGATGGGAGGGAGGGGAAACGTGGTGTAGTGTTCTTACACTATTGTACAACATCTTTTGGTGTGTGCTAGAGGGTGTTACATCTCCCCTCGGCTTGGATTTTTATACACATAGTGATGGGGTAGACAAAGTAGCATGATTCAACTAGCTAATTCAATGCTATTGAAAAAAATGGCTCAGCAGTCAGTGCCGTCCATAGCGAAGCTTCTTATGGACACAGTCAACAAAATCTAAAAGGCAGTATTTATTGCAGGGTTGGTGTACTGGACTGTATTAGATCACACAGCTGTGCATGACAGCATCCACATCCTGGACATGTATACATAATACATTTTCTATGGGAAACATATTTACAGTGAGATCATAGAGATAAGGGGAAGGGGGCTTCCAGAAGATCACTTTAAGCATAGACACGGTGGGCTATGAAAACGATTAAAAAAAACAATAGATAAAAACAATCAGTGGATTGCCCAGGACTTGAGCAGAAGGCGGTGGGAGGACATGTTTTAAGTATCAGAAAGAGGAATGCAGCTCCCTGTCATCCCTCTCTTCCTCATCCATTCTGCGTCCATGTTTCCGGAAGTATTTGTAGCGCTGGACGTACAGCTTCACGAGGTTGCTGACTTTGACCGGGTTGATTTCTCCAGTGCGGCTGTGGCAGATCTGAGACATTGACACAGAGTGATTTATTAGCCTGTTGCAATCCAAAAGACATGCGTTTATACCTGTATTTTGTTGACGTATTTTAATTGTGGGAATAGATACTACTGTTGCTTTATCAGTCAGCTTGACTTGTTGTTTGTAAGCATTTCTCAAACTCCATGTAGTGACCTAACCCTAAGACCTAAGATGTGCATTGAGGTACACTCACTGATCTAACTAACCAGTGTGTTTCTCTGTCCCATGATGCGTGTGCTGAGGCTGACCTTATGCACTGCTTTCCTGAGGATGTCTTTGTAGTCGTCCTTGTTGATGTCTTTGCGCTGATAGTACGGTTTGATGGCGAGCTTCACCTCCTCCACGGCCCGCTCCTGGGTGTGCAGCTTCTTCAGGTACTGGGCAATTCAGGTAAGAGAAATGTTAAATTAATGGAATAAGAATAATAAGACATTTTTTCTTTATCACGCTTTTACAAACACAGTTAACCCTCTGAACCTCTGAATCGAAAAGTATGTTTTCTTTAATCATGTGTGACAAACGATTTCCCAAGAAAAAAGCAGCCAAAGAGAAGCTTCAAATTATGATATTTCATAAAAATCGTTATATTCAAAATCTTGCTCCAAATAAACCAGATTCTGTAAAAAAAACATTCAATTGTGCGCTCCTCCACGCAACTAGGAAGCCAAGATTGACAGAAATTCTGTGAAAGGGGACAGGAGAGACTAAGTAGAGGTTGTAAAAAACTATAGGGAAAATGTTGGATATACAGGTGCTGGTCATATAATTAGAATATCATCAAAAAGTTGATTTATTTCACTAATTCCATTCAAAAACTGAAACTTGTCTGTTATATTCATTCATTACACACAGACTGATATATTTCAAATGTTTATTTCTTTTAATTTTGATGATTATAACTGACAACTAAGGAAAATCCCAAATTCAGTATCTCAGAAAATTAGAATATTACTTAAGACCAATACAAAGAGAGGATTTTTAGAAATCTTGGCCAACTGAAAAGTATGAACATGAAAAGTATGAGCATGTACAGCACTCAATACTTAGTTGGGGCTCCTTTTGCCTGAATTTCTGCAGCAATGCGGCGTGGCATGGAGTCGATCAGTCTGTGGCGCTGCTCAGGTGTTATGAGAGCCCAGGTTGCTCTGATAGTGGCCTTCAGCTCTTCTGCATTGCTGGGTCTGGTATTTCGCATCATCCTCTTCACAATACCCCATAGATTTTCTATGGGGTTAAGGTCAGGCGAGTTTGCTGGCCAATTAAGAACAGGGATACCATGGTCCTTAGACCAGGTACTGGTTGCTTTGGCACTGTGTGCAGGTGCCAAGTCCTGTTGGAAAATGAAATCTGCATCTCCATAAAGTTGGTCAGCAGCAGGAAGCATGAAGTGCTCTAAAACTTCCTGGTATATGGCTGCGTTGACCTTGGACCTCAGAAAACACATTGGACCAACACCAGCAGATGACATGGCACCCCAAACCATCACTGACTGTGGAAACTTTACACTGGACCTCAAGCAACGTGGATTGTGTCTCTCCTCTCTTCCTCCAGACTCTGGGACCCTGATTTCCAAAGGAAATGCAAAATTTACTTTCATCAGAGAACATAACTTTGGACCACTCAGCAGCAGTCCAGTCCTTTTTGTGTTTAGCCCAGGCGAGACGCTTCTGACGCTGTCTGTTGTTCAAGAGTGGCTTGACACAAGGAATGCGACAGCTGAAACCCATGTCTCGCATACGTCTGTGCGTAGTGGTTCTTGAAGCACTGACTCCAGCTGCAGTCCACTCTTTCTGAATCTCCCCCACATTTTTGAATCGGTTTTGTTTCACAATCCTCTCCAGGGTGCGGTTATCCTTGTTGATTGTACACTTTTTTCTACCACATCTTTTCCTTCCCTTCGCCTCTCTATTAATGTGCTTGGACACAGAGCTCTGTGAACAGCCAGCCTCTTTTGCAATCACCTTTTGTGTCTTGCCCTCCTTGTGCAAGGTGTCAATGGTCGTCTTTTGGACAACTGTCAAGTCAGCAGTCTTCCCCATGATTGTGTAGCCTACAGAACTAGACTGAGAGACCATTTAAAGGCCTTTGCAGGTGTTTAGAGTTAATTAGCTGATTAGAGTGTGGCACCAGGTCTCTTCAATATTGAACCTTTTCACAATATTCTAATTTTCTGAGATACTGAATTTGGGATTTTCCTTAGTTGTCAGTTATAATCATCAAAATTAAAAGAAATAAACATTTGAAATATATCAGTCTGTGTGTAATGAATGAATATAATAGACAAGTTTCAGTTGAATGGAATTAGTGAAATAATCAACTTTTTGATGATATTCTAATTATATGACCAGCAGCTGTATAGATTCCATTGTTCTCCAATTTTTATAAAATAAATTATCAAAGAAATTCAACTTGCGTTTTTTTCTAGCATGGTAACTGCTCATACTCATACCTGCAAACGTGTCGCTTTTCGGCGAAATTCGCCCTTTTGAAACAAAATAAGTCATCCACGTGAATTGTGTAAATCCGTAGTTTTTTTTTTTGGGGGGGGGGGGGTCAACTGGCCAGCCAGCGTTTCTCAGATTAGAGTGAGACAAAAAAGGTGATGTAGTGATCTTCACAATAAAACATCTTTCATGTGACATGTTGAGTCTTGGCCAGTCAGCGTTAAGATGTCTACATGGAAAGCTAGTCAGCTTGATATCACGTTAGTGCATTGTGTATTGGCGTTTAAAGTTTAAGTTACGTTATGTTCCGTTACCATTCAGACTTGCTGGGTTAAGTTGACGTCCACTGCATGCGGAACTTTGTGGACTGTTAACGTTCGTCATTATCGTGATTTAGGATGAAAAAGATGTAACGTGATGAAACATGCAGCCCCCACGTGTTCCGGTTCAGTTCACGCGGTCACTCATTAAACCGTTAATATGAAGCCGTACAGTAACAGTAGAAGTTAATATTAAGCCATACAGTAACAGGGTTCAATGAAAACTAATCACTTTATTTTGTATAGGCGATGGTTCTCGCTACTCTTGCTATCTTTGTTTTTGAAAATGAGACCTCGGTCTCAATGGATTTTGTCCAAATAAAGGTTAATAATAGTAATATTGATAGAAAAAATAATAAAAAGCTAACTAGCCAGCTGTTCAACTAGAGTTGAAATACTGATTAATAACTGAATATTAAATTAGTTTTTTTGCTTAAAGTAAATATTGTCCTATCACTTCATTTTATTCTCAGAGTACACCAGAATGCTACATTTTAAAGCTCATATTTAAAGTAAGATTCTCCCGGGGGGGCATAGGTTAACCTATTGTCTTTAGAGGTTTAGCGCAATGTACATTTTTCCACAGCACTAATTCCATCAATCTGCTGCCAGAGAGAAATGCTATTGTAATTCACTTATTGTTACATTATGAACAATTTATCATGTCAGCCACAGCGTTGGAAATACACGACGGCAAAGGGCAAAACTGCCCCTAAGAAATTTAATTTTGCCCCCGATATCACTAGGAGAGGGGCAAAAAATGCCCCCGAACTTTCTAAACAAATAAATAAATGGAGCGCTTCTTAATCAGACCTGTGACTGCGAGACTGCGGTCAACTCAGCAGACACTTACATGTTAGTGCACCTATATGCTGAAATTCACGGTAAACTCATTCAAACGGCGCAGATCGGGAGCGAGCGAAGGACTTCGAAAGTTAACGGAAAGGTTAGAGTTCAATACCGCTCCCTTTTTACTTTACAGTTAGGTTGACAGATATGGAATTTTGACTCAAGACTAGGTTTATAAACTTTGACCAGCCATGCTAATATCCGGTGTTACTGTTTTTTGTTCATGAACAAACTGGGTCTACATTATTTGTCCCATATTTTTTTTTTTTTTTTTTACTTCTTATCCAAATGCTAAATCAGTAAAATACTTTAATATACAAATGGTTTCAGTTATAGCTTCTGTAATGAATGTATGAAACTATATGAATATTTTCACGTTATTCAAGAAAGTAACAATGATAACATTGCAGACTGAAATCATTTTGGCTGAGACAGAAATATTGGGTAGACGTTGACAAGAAGCAGCAAGAGTTGATGTGTCACTGAGTAAAATTAGCCTAAAACGCCAATCCAAGGCATACCCAAAGTAAATTGAAAGCTGTTCTTGAACCATTTGGAGTACATGCACGGTTTTGGTCTCTTTTGAAAGGTAACACTCTGAAGTTTTTCCCACAATAGTGCGAATCACTGTAAGTGCTACTGGCATTGAGTAATACAAGTTTGAACACACTGAAGTAGAAGGTTTTTATTTCCGCCTGAATATTATTTTGCAAACAGATGCCTGCAGATGACTATAGCTGGGACTTATTAGCTGGAAAACACAATGGGACCACAGCATGAAGCCTGACCTAGTCCAAGTTCAAATTTGATAACAATACCACAGAAAATGAATATTCTACACATGTTTTACTAAGGGTATGTCTAGGCGCTTTCCAAAAAAGGACATTTGGAGACCCATGGTAATACCTAGGCTGTGTAAAAATGTGCATTCATAATTCAAACTAAAGCTTTTTTATGTCGATATACAGTTATCTATAAGTTATTTTACCATTATTTACTTTCCTAAAGTCTCCAAAACCACACTTTGCATTTAACGCATTGACGTAGGTACCTGACTCCCTGTTACGCAGTTACTTCCACGTTCTGCCTATAAATCTAACCCCTGAAGCTGTATAAATCGTTATTTTTGAAATTTCATTGGCTATATGAAGTGTCAGTCATCGGACGATCGGTTGCTATTGGCTCGAGCTTTACACGAAAGAAGAGGGGCAGATACTTTCCTTCAACGCGGACTCTCGTTGGCTATTGTACGCTGTGGATCGGACAGGGAAGCTCCTAATAGGTCAAATGAGGTGTCAATCGAAACGTCAGACTGCAGCCGCCATTTTGAGACACAGAGAGCTTCAATGTTTACATGCAAACTGAAGTTACGTTCGAAGATACATAGAGAGTTAGGCATATCTGCCGGCTAATTTGAAATGATGCAACAGCAGTCCGTGGGTATTTATGGACGTAATAATGTGTTTTGGACTAAATATTTTACTGGATTGGATCGTCTGGACCTCTGGCAATGTAACAAGACAGTTTTTGTCAGAATATTATCGAGGGGTGGATTTTTATGAAGCTTCATCGGAGAGTTGCCTCGATTTTGTAACTGCTTGTTTGTTGGTTGGTGGTCTGACAGAGGCGTTGAGTGTACCTGCTGTTGTGATTGTATCTTGAAATGGTTTGCATAAATCAAATCACAAGAATCTTAGCTTTCCAAAGACATGTCGCACCAGTATCTACCTATAAATAGCAGTTGTGTACATGACACAGATGTACAGTTACCACTCTGACGTAATGTTAACAGGATAACAGAGAGCAAACTGTCCTGATCATGCATGAACCTGAACTGACCTTATCAGGGTCTTTGCTCTCATTGTCCCATCCAGTGTCACCAGAGCTCCCAGTAAGTCCTGACAGCCCCACGGGCATGATGAAGGGTGGGGTCTGTGCACATCCACCACCTATGGAGGGGTGTAGGAGAGAGGGAGGGGTTTTGGTGCAGCCAACCAATGGAAGAGAGCTGTGGAGGATGAACTGGGCTGGGCTCAGACCGGGAGGCGGAGGGAGAGAGGGAGGGGGAGGGATCTGTGAGGAGGAGGCTGAGGAGGGAGGAGCCAGCTGCTGGGACTGGCTTTGATTGGCCTGTGAGAGAATCTGCATGAGAGACATGAGACAAAGTAAAGGCACAGTCAGACCAGATTTCATCCCCATTCATCACCCGCCTCCTTCAATAGGACTGAGCTCTGACAAACAAAATCACAAGGGTCTCATGTTCTCTTCATGTCCAGTTTGGCCACAGAGGGACAGCGTCTCTGACCTGGCTGGTTGCTTGAATGAACTCTTGTGCTTTGGCTCTGCTGGCGATATTGGCCTCCTCCATTTTGAAGAGCAGAGCGGTCACTGAAAGGAAGAATGATGAAGACCATTTGTTTCAGAACAGGAATTGATAAACATAACATACATGACAAGGCAACATGTAATATGTTATTTATCTCTATGAGCCAATCAACTCCGAATACAAAACTTTCCTGCTTTATTTTTCACAAGCATTGCATGCATAGCATTGTAGCAAAGGTGGCTATTTATTACTTTTTTCATTGCAATATTTCCAAAATACTTGGCCAGTTTAAACAAAAAGCCGATATAAAAGAGGGTATCATGAAGTCATATATCACTGTAAAGCTAATGCTGCATTCGCACCAAATGCAAAGCTAATTTTCTCCTCTCATTACTTACGGGATCATTTGTGGTTGTTCACATCATTCGCGCTAGACGAATGACGCGAGGAGTGGCTTATCTCCATGGAAACAGTTATCAACTATGTTATGTTTATTTTATTTGATACGCAACAGTGGCATTAGAATTGTAATATACATTTATGCACAAGGACCAGGTGCACTGTGTTTGTAGCGAAACGCTCATTTACAACACCTGTCCACAGGAGGCTTTTTACTTCCGCCATCAACCATAAAAGAAATAACCTCTATTTCTGCTTATACTTGTTACAGTTGTTGTGGAAGTCCCAGATATCCCGGGAAACTAAAGGCCGTCTGGGTTCATCTGGAGGCGATCGGTGGATTTCATCGAGGTGTATTCACTGTGTCGAGATGGTTTACTACAGCTGTATGAACACCAAATAAACAGATTTTGCTGTGATTTAACTGCAATAAACGGACAGCAAGGGTTGACGAAATAACTACGTAATGATGCAGATTTGTAAAAAGTCTGAATTCATGTTTTGTTAGCTCTCTCCGCAAGACGACAAACAAATCACTTTTAAAACACTTGTTTTCTCAATGGAGCTCGGATCGATTGGTGCTATGCTAAGCTAACATTGTAGCAGCTCCATCAACACTCAAAATAACATCATCTTGGCGTAAAAACGTCGGCGTCTTTTTCATTGTTAGTACCATATGGTTTACACACAGTTTGGTCTCTAATAATATGAGGTATCGTAGCGCTGTGGGTGAACACAGACGGATACAGTATTTGTTTGCTGATTCAACAACGGCAGGACGTCAGTGATGGAGGAGGAGCATCTCAACGCTGAACAAAATAATACACTTAAGGAACCAATTCGCTTCCAGGTTTATCCATTATTTTATATTTTCCCACTCAAAACCCATTGTCAATATAAACATAAACACAAGTGATGAGGCCCCTATTCAGTAGCTGTGGGTTATAGACCAGGTGAAATGGGAAATTGATATTCACTTTTTCATAAAAGCTTGAATCGTGCCGTCCTTGTACAGCTTCGGGTCCATCACAAAAATGCATCATGGTGGCCATTTCACTTTCTGTATTTTAAATATACCAAATATGATAACAGATAAAAGGGGATGTCTACCCTATGTTTTGGTGGTCAAGGATTACTGTATGATAAATTCAGGTATGTTGTTAAGACCAATGTCTGAGAACCTAAGCTTGATTTCATTATATCATGTCTGTCACATGCATGCATGTCGTGTAATGTTTTTAAAGCTTAATCCTTTTGTTCATTGACCCTGACAATATAGTTACTGTAAAGAGATCCCGGATCAAGCTGCACTTGACGGGCAGACATCAGGACAGAGAGCAGGACTCTGGTGGACCAGAGGAGGACTCTGTGTTCACATCCTGATGCTTGGTGCTCAAACAGTCAGAGTTGATGGACAATGTTTCCAGCATGTTGAATTCTTAATGTGAAGATGTCGGCCATATTATCTGCCCAGAGAATTGTTTTTGTTGCTGCAGTTTAAATTCCTTATGATGCAAATCCCAAAAATGCAGCACAGGAATGTAAAACTGTTTTGGTTTTGTCTGTTGTGTGTTTATTGTGTTGTGCATCCCTGTGTTGCATAATGACAATAAATGATCCTTGAATAGAACAATATTCAAAAGGACGTAAACATGTCAGAAACAGGTTTGTTGAACTGTTGTGGTTGAGCCTATTCTTCATGGTCTCCTCCACATTGATACAGAGCTGTGCACGGAGGTGGTTTTTTGCATTTACGATGTACCTGGCAGCAGGATCAGAGTGGTAGAGGTGTCTTTAGAGGAAGGCACCTGTCTTCGTCCCGCTGCCAAACTCATCATGCTGCAAGAAATGCCATCAAAGGCTGAGGACAACCCCTCATCATAGCACAGGGATTTTCATTGGATTCTAATGTACACACATAAGGGCCCCCTTATGTGTGTACATTAGAATAAAAAATAATAATAAAAAAAAAAAAAAACAGTTTCTGCCATTATTTGGGCCGTTCCACATCAACCCTAGCAGTTGCAGTAATGAACTGAGCCATCTTAAGCCTGATCAGTACAGTGGTGTACAGTAACGAAGTAGAAATACTTCGTTACTGTACTTAAGTCGTTTTTTTTGGATATCTGTACTTTACTATTTATATTTCTGTTGACTTTTACTTTTACTTCACTACATTTTGCAAAGAAAACTGATACTTTTACTCCGATAGATTTCCCCTGAAACCTTCGTTACTCGCTACAAAATCAAATCTATCTTTAGAAAAAAATGAATCATGAGATCAGTGTCGGGGACTGTGGTGGAACAGAGACTGCAAGCAAGCAGGTTTGGTGAATCAGTGGTCCTAGCTTGCAAGTTAAATCATTGGTTAATCACGTTAATGCGCAATTGCAAACAAGTGCTCTCAAAGCCGCGGTGTTTTGATTCCCAGTGATGCCCAGGATGCTATAGCTAGCAAGCGACTACATTAATATAATTCCACTCTACGATGACTGATTTCATGACGGAAGCACCTGCTACTCCCGCAACAAACGACGGTGGTGACGAAGACCAACACCCGTGGATCGCTAGCGAGTTAGTGAGCTGAGGAAGTGTTGACAGTTGTGAGATTTTGTTGATTTGAGTCATCTTAGCTATAATCATTGCAGCACTAGTTGGCTAACGTTAGCTAACTTAACGTTAGCTAGCCACCACACCATAGGGTTGACAGGAGCCGCGAGCATTAGGGGAATCCTTCCCAGCTGTGCGCAAGCTGTGTGTGAAGCTGAACACACCTCTACCTGCCTCAGCGGCCTGTGAAAGGCTGGTTAGCATCGCAGGACTAGTCTTCAGCCCAAGAAGAGCGAGGCTGAATTCTCGCAATTTTGAAAACCAACTTCTTTTGAAGATGAACAGGACATTTTTCAGTTTCCAGTAATGACTGGGTTGTTACTTTCGGTGCTGCTTTAGTATTGATCATGTTTTGATATTTGAGTCATTTTGTGGATGATCAGATGGAGTTATGATGGTAGTAGTCGCCCAATTGCAGATTCAGCTTGAGCAAAACCTTTGCCTATTGTGTTCAAATCAGGCCCACAGGAGTTTACAAGGCAGGTGTCCTTTCTCACAACACTGACCTGATGCATCAAGTGGATATGTTTTGCTGAACACAATATGATGCATTTGCCCTCTACATCCTCTAGTCGGAATGAGCATACTTATAAACGCACTGTTACAACTCCTTCATAGTGTCATATTGCTTTTCGGAGAATTATGATAAGTTCATAGTAGATGCAAAAGTATACTTATGTACAATATATTATGTTGAACATTGTTGCTCCTGGATGGATCACAGCCAACCCAATTATGTTCAACACAACTCCATGTCCTTGGTCCTGGTGCCACAGCACTTAAAATAATAAACTTCATAATTCTGACCCTTTGCTTTTTTATTAACAGCATTTACTTGTACTTTTACTTTCAATACTTAAGTACATTTAATATCAGAAAATTACTTTTGATACTCAAGTACAGTAAATATCAGATACTTTAAGACTTTTACTCAAGTAGTATTCTAATAGGTGACTTTTACTGGAGTCATTTTCCAGTATCTTTTCAAAAGTATCTTTACTTTTACTCAAGTATGGCTTTTGGGTACTTTATACATCACTGGATCAGTAAGACAGGATGGGTCCTATTGATCCACAGTAACAGATTGAGGACTAGAGGTGCTTGTCTTGTGGACATGTTTTTGCGTACATGAACATGTACCCTTCCACATGTTCAGTTTACATGTTCCGTTGAAGGAGGATTAAAGTCTGGAGAGTTTTCCTGCACATTATATCATATTGAGTATATGATGCGCAGTACATATTATGGCAGAAAGTTAAATGGCTCCATGTTTAAAAACGTTCACGGTACATCAAATTTCATGCTTTTATGAAAAAGCGAAAATTTTCAGGTTTACAGAATAGTTCTAACATGTTTATATTGACAATGGGGTATAAATATAAAGCTGGTAGAGAATACATTTCTGAGGACAGTTTTTTGAGTTTTGTACTATTTTGTGCCTCTGCTGCTTACAAAGCTATTTACAACTAATAACAGAATCCAATGCAAAGTTGTAAACATTGGATCAGAGTTAAGTTTGTTCTGATAAGAAATGTTATTCATGTAATGTATCATTTTGAAGCTTTATGGCAGGTAGGCACATCAGATTAATATGAAGCTAGTTATAAGGGCATTTGCCTTATTATAGTGTTAGAGGTCAAAGATCAAATTCTGTTCTCCTCAGTGTCATGAAAATGTGACTGGTAGATAAATTATAGTCTAAGCTTTATGATTATGTATGGCTTCATGATATTCTGTGTAGGATACCCTCTTTTCAACTGGCATTATGTTTAAAATAATCAAAAAATATGGGGAAGTTGTAATTATGGAGATAAAAAAAAAAAAAAAAAAAGAGTGACAGCACATAGAAAGCTACCTTTGCTTACATTTCCAACACTAGGGACATAGACCTTTAAAAAAACCTATGAGACATGATCCCTCCAATTCCCTGGTTCGGACTCTAACCCTTTGTATGCCCCTTCAAGGTGTGACTATTTGGTAACAACATGGCAGACTGTACATCTATGGAGGGTACTCACACGCTAGGACTCCTCCAGTTGTGCAGTCCACCCCTGTCTGCAGACTCCAGGGAAGGGCAGGTGCTGCTGGAGGGGGGGGGGGAGGAGGCTTACTAGCAGACGAGGAGGACACAGAGGAGGAGGACGGGTCTGACGAAGACAGAGGCAGAGAAAGGGAAGTGAAACCGCAGCCTGCCGAAGAGGACGAGCATGGAGGTGAGGCCAGGGATTTGGGAGCATCATCTGGAAGAGGGGGCTTGGCAGTGGGTGTAGACAAGGCAATGCTGAGGCCAGCTCCCTGGGGGGTGGACAGGCTGGACGGACTGGATGCTGGGAGCGTGGGGCTGGTCTGGGTTGGACAGTCCTCAGCTAGGAAAGAAGGGTCTGGAGTCTTACAGCTGCTGTCCACAGTCTGAGAGTCTGGCGAAGACTCCCTGGTGTCCCGCAAAGGAGCCATGGAGGGTGGAGGCGTGTGGGGGGGCGAGGAGGGTGGTGGGAGCACACTGGTAGAGGAGGAAGAGGAGGAGGAGGAGGAAGAGGAGGAAGAACAGGGTAAAGGGCCAGCTTGGCTAGTATGCGGACTGACTGACTTGCTCCCATCTCCGATGGCAGACTGAACATCTAAGGAGGCTCCCCCCCAGCCCTCAGACTGGGCTTTTGTTTGGCCGTCGTCTCCAGCCGTCAGCCCGACAGCTCCACCTTTTTCTCTTGACTTCTTGGCCAGGCGACGGCGGTGCTTGGTTGCCAGAGATGATGAGGGGGAGGAGGCAGAGGAGGAGGTGGATGTGATGGAGCTTGGTTTTGTTTTCTTAGATTTCAGTCCTGCAGGACTGGTTAGGGAGGATGGTGGTGCAACAAGGCTGCTACGCTTCCCCATACTGGCCAGATCTTTACTACGGTTGCCCAGTGACAGCGGCTCTGAGCAAGGTTTGAGGAACGGAGACCTGCTCTCATTGTCCCTGCAGAAGACTACTGCAATTGAGCCACCCACCACAGAGCCCCCAGCACCCCCTCCTGTACCCCCTGGCCCTAATAGGTCCATGCCCAGCTTTCCAGAGCCAACTGAAGTCCCTGTGGTGCTGCTCACGCCCTCACGCACCAGCACAGACACTTTCGACTGAAGCTTGCCTTTCCGACTGCCGCCGCTCTCTTTCTTGGATTTGCCAGAGTGACCCAAATCCTTTCTGCTTCCTTTGTTCCGGTCTTTGTCCTTTCCCATCTTCCTGGCTCGCTTTGCTGGGGGGAGGCCCGATGAGGCGGCAGCAGAGCCCGAGGTGACTGTCAGTGAGGAGAGACATTTGCCTTTAGAGGAGGAGGAGGAGGAGGATTGGTCAATTTTCTTTAATGCGTGAGATTTCTTTTTCGGGTGATGTCTTCCAGTCTTGGGGGTAGTTTTAGTTTTGGGGCTGGGGACTGGTGGTTCTGGAGGCAGGGCAGCAGGGGGTGTATCCTCAAGGGATGGGTAGTCTGAGTCTAAAGCCTCACCATCCAAAGACAACACGTCAATCTCCAGTTTGTCTGAATAGCGGTCTGACTCGTAGCTGTGATACCTTGGTGGTGAGATCGACTGTGATTGGCTGTGACAACTTCCCCGGTCATCCATTTCTCCAGCGGAGTGCCATTTTCTCTTCTTCTTCCTCTTATGGGGCTTGTCAGAGTCCTGAGTGGGCCGACAGGGAGAGGTCGGCGTGAGTCTTGGGGAGCCGGGTACGGTAGTGGTGGTTGTGGTGGTGGTGACTGTGATAGTTCTCTTAATTGCAAATAGGTCAGACCCATTGAGATCTTGGATAGATGGCGGGACAACAGGACGGCCGTCCCGACGGCGTTCCCTCTCACGCTGCCTGTTTCTATCGCCTCCTCTGTTTTCACTGCTTTCTTTGGACCTCTTTGAAATGCCCCGCTCTCTGCTGCTTGAATGTTGTCTTCCCTTCCTTTCCTTCTCCGCCTTTCTGGAGCTAGAGTCTCGATCTCTTTCATCTCTTCTATGGCTACTCGTCCGATTTTGCTCTCTATCCCTGTCTCTCTCTCTTCCTCTGTCACTCTCCTTCTCCCTTTCCTTCTCTCTGGGTCTTTCTTCAGGTAGGCTTGAAAAAGGCTGTCTAGTGTGGCCCCCTCTTCCTGAAGAGTTGCAGGATCTTGAGGCCTCTGGGCTGCTGTGATGTCTTTTCTTCCTCTTCCGGCTACTACTCCTGCTGCTCCTCCTTCCTTTAACTTCCTTCCCGGTCTTGTGCCCTCGCTCCTTTTCTTTGCTCCTCTCCCGACCTCCCTCTTTGTCCTTTCTACTCTTTTTTCTTCTCTCCTCCTTCTCCCCAGCCTTTCTATCCTTGCTTTTCTGTCGATCGGAGTCCTTGGAATTCTTGGAGGACTTGCTGCGGTTCTTGGTGCCTTGTTCTATCGGAGGTGTGAGAGGGGAAGAGGGTGTAGAAGCTGGAGGATGGGAGGGAGGTGGTGGCTGAGGAGAGAGAGGAGAGGAAGCAGGAAAGGAGAGATATCTTTCCTTCCGCCTGCTGACCAACTTCCTTCTCAGATCCTCCACTCCTACCACGGGCTCATCCTCAGGCTCCCTGTCCACCTCCCAGTTGCTCTCTGTGCGCACAGACACAAGGCCATCCCCGTCCAGCACCCGGAGGATGCGCTCTGGCTTTGATCCAAAGAAGGAAACGCTGGGAGAATTTATGGGGAGGGTTTCTCCTGCTAGTCTCTTATTGCCTCCATCTCTGTCAGCAGCCCCAACAATCTCCCCTTCCTCTATCTCAGAGTGATCAGAGTCAGCACACCTCTGCTCCCTGGCTCTGGCAGAGCTACATTCTACTCTCCGTCTCAGAGGGAGCTGGGTGGACAGAGAGGGGCTGGGCAGGTCAGTCAAGGCCTCAGTGGAATCTGGAGGTTCTTCCTCCTTCTCCTCATCATCTCCTCTCTCAGCATTTCTCTTCACCCCCCTCACTTTGCCACTTCCATCATCATCATCATCATCTGATGCTGGGGAACCAGTGGGGTCGAAGGGGTCATATTTCTCCCCTTCCTCCCCCTTCACTCCCTCAGTAGGATGGAAAGGATCATACATCTCCCTTTTCCTGCTTGCTTCTTCACAATCAACACGTGGCTGCACTGAATTGTGAGGGAAGAGTTTTGAGGAGATGGTGTTGGGTGCAAGTGTGGAGAAAGACTGCGTTGCTAGAGAGGCAGAAGTGGAGGACACCCTGGCCACCTCTGTCCCCTGGGTCGGACCTTTTACATGGTTCTGATAAACTGAGGAGTTGCCGCAGACAGAGGAGGATGTAGACAGGGGTGAAGACGGATCGGATGACGGCGATGACGGAGACAAAGACGGCGAGCAGGGAGGAGGGCTCCTGGCAGTCTCTCTAACTCCACTTGGGGAAGAGGAGGCAGCAGGCCTCCGTTTGAAGCCTGATGCTGGAGTCAATTCCATGGGCCAGGAAAACTGGAGTCAGACAGTGGGTCCTGGAGGATGGTCGCCACGCTGGAAAAATGGAATCCAGGAATAAACCTTTAGAAAGGACAGGACACATGCAGTCTTTATCTTACCATCAAAATCTACTGGAAATGTTGAGAACACTGAGGCAAAATCAGCCTGTGGTCTTTGTGATCACTTTAAAAAGGTGTGAGAATGATTTTGCTGGGATATAGCTGGTTAATTTGGATAAATTACAACTAGTGGTGTAACGGACCCACTGTTGATCCGTGATCCGTACGGATCCCCCTCACAGTAGCACGCATGTGAACCGTGGATTAATTACACAGTTTATCTTAACCATCAGTGTGAAACAAAGTTTTACTGACATTGTTATCCACCAACATTCAGTAAAATATGTGATCAGGACATCATGTATGCTTTTCTAGTCTCTGATCATGTTACATTGTAAACAACCAATCAGTCTAAATTGACAGGAGACTGAAGGTTCTGTTCAGTTTCATTATGATGCGTTCAGGCTCTGTTCAGTGAAAATGAGTATTGGGCAAAGATAAATGATGATGTTATCATGTGTTCAAATGTAATCTTGTAAAATGTAGTGTTGGTGAGAAACTTGAATAAATCCAGTTGTTTAAAGGAACAATGATGGTCATAAATAGATATTAGAGGGAATTATGACCTGTTTACAACAGCCATAAACAGTTTAGATTACATCATTAAAACTACTGACATTTTTTTAAACCATAAAATTACAATCTTTTAGTTCTTTATCATCTGAATTGTTTGTTTTAAGAAAAAAACACTATATGACTATAACAAAGTAAAATAATAACTTTTAGAATTTGTATTTAAAGTACAAATCTATTTTGTAAGTGTACCGTTCACTGTCTGTGCCTGTGTATTTTGTTCCTGTTGATGGAGAAGACAGAAGGAACGTTAGGCCTACCGTTACACATTTTGCTGTAACGTTAACGATGTGTACTCACTAGCCAACTGTGGAGGCTTCAGGGTTAACGTACCGCTCCTGGCTGTTACATTGAACATCTTTGTTTTGTCGATGCTCATAGATACATAGGATTTAGTTTATAAAAGACGTAGCTAACGTACACCCTCTGTGAGGTTATGTCAGCAGCAGGTATCAGTGAGCGTTAGCTAGCTAGCTTCACTGATGTTTCCGCACAGTAGCCAACGTTAGCTGAAGGCAGAGACGGGTTGTGTAATGCTTTACCTGTAGTCCGGTGATTTGCAGTCTCTGATCAAAGCCACCTTCTTGCATTACATTTGACCAACCGCTAACATACAGCAATAACTGCTTTTTTTTGTAGATTTAGAAAGGCACCCGTATCTCCATTCCACCAACCGCCGCCATCTTCCTTCCTTCCCCTCACACCGGACGACAAAGACTGCTGGGAAACATAGTTCAGTGCGCAGTCACGGCACCGCCGTGTCTTCCGCTGATTTCTCCGCAAAATCTGATTTATACCTTATTATCAAAAGACATATGTCTACAATATTACAAAGACAGGCAATTCAAATGAATAAAACAAATATGATTTTTCAATGCATCATCTTTAGATTTTAAGCATTCAAAATACAATTAAAGAGGCCCTTGCATTAAAATTGGCCATATCATGTTGCTAACGCATAATTATAGAGCATGCCTGGAATGTATCATCTGAATGTGACTTGACCATGTTTAATTATAATTAATTAATATGTATTCAAAATATGCATAACCAAACTCAAAGTGAAAAAAATATATTTATTTTCAAGACTAAACTAGTTTAGTTAATATGTTTGCCATAACAAAACATAAAATTATTATTAATAAATATGTAATAAAAATATGCTTTATTTAATCTCAAAATGCTTTACATTGTGTTGTGACACAGCCAAAGCATGTTTCATCCAATTTGTACAAGATCACTAAAAGCACAACTTAAGACATCACCCAAAGAATGACTATCTGCTTTCCAACAGAGAGGAGCCTCTATCTAGCCCTAAATGTCCCACAGCAACATGTGTGTACAGATGTTAACAGTGAGACACAATGATGACTTGGTAACAGAGGTCCTCCCATCCAGTAGCCTCACACTAACCAACCCGTCTGAGCAGGAGGGCCACACGGAATCTAGCAGGAGCTGAATTCACACACATGACACTAAGTTTCTAGGAGAGGATTGTGGTGATGTGAAAAACAAGAGTTAATAGAGATGACTGATTATTTTAAATAAATTGAATAAAATACCTGCAGAGCTCCTGAAGTTACATGCACATCATATGTCCACAAAGATTGTAGACATATTCTCATTAGTAAAAATGTGAACTAAAACTTTGTGGTGAGACCTTTAAACCAGTTACTTGTGCACCTTAAATGGTTTCTTGTATGTGCAGGTTAACTTAGCCACAAGAAAGAAAAATAATGATGCTTGTGTAGTATTCGAAATGGAAGCAGAACGTGATGAATGGCTTCACAAGATAAAGTGATGATGGCAATGCAAAGCAGTGATTTATACTGAGGTCCATAATGACAATATAGTTTCCTCCGTCTATAACCAAGTTATCATTTATTTTGTATTCTTCGAAACACGCATTTCATTTCTGCAGTTCTGTTTTTTTCAAGACAAATACATTATTTATTTTGACATTAATTATCTATGGGCATGAAACTGTTCCTAGTGCACACTAGAAAATGAGATTTCTTTCTTAATGTCATTTCAAGAGCTCTGTTTACACAGTACCTTTATAAATGGTCATTCAAGTGAATATATTCACTAAAATAACTCACAAACAAATACAACAATGCAAAGAAATAAACCAGTGTCAAATTAATTGAAAAGCTGCTTTGAGAGCTTAAGTCAGACTTTGACAACATATGTTTTATTTTTTAACTTGTTGGCATGCATCTATTTGTTTGAGGCGTGACATGCCAACTGTAAACATTTTAAATATATTTAATGTGTACATAAAAACAAAATGAACGTAAAAAGAGTATAATGTCTATTTGGTGTACATTCAGCACATTGTGACCTCATTAGAGTTCCACTCAAATAAAACTCAGAACAACAGAGTGTTGTTTTGTATCAACAAAATACAAATATGTAATAGTAAGCATGTATTACATGAGTAGAGCCTCTAACCTAATCAACAGTTTGCATGAATAAATGTAAAGCTTTTGCTGAAGGAACACAATAAATAAACAGTCAGTGCTGGACGAAAAGTAACAGTCAAGTGGAATCTATCCAACAGTTTGTGCATTTGTAGTTTTGTTGAGATTTATGTGTTGATGTTACCAACCACCACTGCTTGAGTTTGTGACATCCTCAGTGGAACTGCCGTTTCTGACCAATCAGCTGGCATACCTGCATCCTCCTAATGACGCTCTGAAAGGAAGGCTCAAACACTCCTGATGATCTTACATTCAACTGAGCAAACCAAGTGGAATGCTCTCTATCCTTTTAGCTAGCTTTGTTTGGTCAAAGCATTAGCGGTGTCCCAGTTCCATACTGCTTACTAATTGTAAATCACTTGCTTAAAAGATAAGCCTGGAGATATTTTATATCCATCTATCCGGGGGGGGAGCCAATCCCAGCTGACAGTGGGCGAAGGCAGGGTTCATCCTGGACAGGTCGCCAGGGCTGACACAAAGATACAGACAACCATTCACGCCTACGGGCAATTTAGAGTCATCGATTAACCTAAGCTGCATGTCTTTGGCACGTGGGAGGAAGCCGGCGAACCCGGAGGGAACCCAAGCTGACAGGAGGAGAACATGCAAACTCCGCATAGAAGGGCTGCCACACCACTGTGCAGCCCAGATATTTAATATGTTCCTTAGAATGAGAAGATATACTGTACGACAGTGGCGTATCAATTAAACTGAGTGTAGGCTGCAGATTGTGTCATTTCCTGTTGGCATTATTTCCTGTTAGTATAAAACTGAAGTGTGTTGATTTCTTAATTACCAACTAAAAAAAACATACAAAAGATTAGTATACAGAATACACTTTGGATGAGGTATAGAATTTGGACGAAGCATTTGTGAGGCAGGAATTTCTCACTTAGTCTTAACTGCAACTTGTTTGGTCAAACAATAATTACATCCAAAAGTCCATTTGAATGCGTTGTGTATGTACCTGCTTCTCAAATCAGCGCTCATGTTTCAAATCTGCATCTCAAAAATAACAGATGTTTGAGGGCAGTCTTTGGCACTATAGGATTTTGTACTTGCAGGACAACAGCCTCTTTATCCTCTACTGACCTCAGCACTGGTTACCACAACCAGAAGAGAACTGTTTATACGACAGACTGCAGGGAATTCTGTCTGTATAGAAGTAAAACTCCCCTTCCTTGCTCCAGCACAGATATAATGCTCTAGCAAAATAAAAGCCAAATTCAGTATGTCCCTTGTTAGAACTTGTCCCCTGGTTCATGGCAGAAATGGCAGTAAAAGTACATGAAAGGGGCAGGAATATGTAATAAAGGGCGATATGACCTGGGCTAACAGAAAGAATCAGGTTTGTTTGGGACAGGCAGAATAGAATTGTGTAGTAAAACTGAAGTGTGTGGTGGAGCAGCTCAGACCAAACCCGTTGTTCTCAACAACGCCCTTGCTTAAATAGTCAAACACTCTAAATCGTAACAATCCCCCAATTTATCTCAGGAACTCCACACCGTTGGGATGACCTGGGAGATGACCTGGGAGGAGCTCAGAAGAGCAGCTGAACAAGAAGAGGCACCTCCTGCTTCAGACCAGCCCGGCATCCTTGGCCATCTTGTAAAAGGCTCCTCTTTGAGCGAGGAGATTGGAGGGGGAGTCAAACTCTGCCATCTCTCCCTTGTCCAACACCAGGATCCTAGGGGAGCCAGATTACCGATGAAATGAATTATGTACGAATAGCAAAAGAAGTACCAGTAGTACTACAGCTGCTTCTTGTACTTCTACAATAGCTATCTCTACATTTGTTAGTACTAAAGCCTCAAATCTGCCTCATACACCCGTGTGTTAACATCTGGTCTGCAGGCATGCACACATCTAATGATAATGACAAACTAATATGTGACATCTCCAGAGGACGTCATCATTATCTTTACATGACAAATTGTAAACACAAATAACTATTTATCTTCTGACAATGAGATGACCATGCAATGCTCATAAGATATAGGATCAATGGAGACAATGAACACTGCTTTCTGTATAAACTAGTACACACACAAAAACAATAGGTATTAACATATGAAAGCATTCTGTAATGGAAACTGTTTACGTGTGGTATACATTACCTGGTGTAGTCCATGATAGTGTTAAGGCGATGAGCTATTGTCAGGACGGTGCAGTCTTCAAACTGAGAACGGATGGTGGACTGGATCAAGTTGTCTGTCTCCATGTCCACGGCTGCTGTGGCCTCATCCAGAACCAGGATCTTGGTCTTCCTCAGCAGAGCTCTGGCCAAGCACACCAGCTGCCGCTGACCAACACTGGAGGGAAAACAGACGTAAACGATCTATAAACAGAGCGCCTCTCCTTCCTAAGGTGATTTTTGTCCTCAGATCAGGGTCTGGTTAGATAGCCCCTGGTCCTCTTTGGGTTGTGTATGCTTTTTTTACATGTTGATGGAGGCTTGCAGTGTGTCTGAACTAATGCTATAGAGCAGGATATGCATTGCTCAGCTTCTGCGATGGAGATATTAACTATGTAGTTGTATACTGCTTTCTTTAGATATACAATATGGATCATGCATTCAGGGTATGTGAGGCTTTCTGGAAGGGTTTACTGATGGTTTGTGAAGCCAGTCTTCCACTAATGGCCATTTTTCGCATTAAAAAATAAAAGCCATTTCCTAATAAAGGTCAGGCAAATTAATTCTAATTGCTTCTACTGCTTCCCTAATGACACTCTATACTTCCGGCAGATGTGTACCAGTAAAAAAGGAAGAAGACTGTTACTATGAAATATCTGTGTAGGATGTGTTGACTGTCACTGACAGTAGCTTAACACTGTATGAAAAGAGAAAAAGCAGAAGCAGCTGGTATAAATTGGTGAGTGAAAACAGTGTTTGTGTTAAAAAGAGAAAGTAGAGCAGCAGAGTGGTGAGTATGAGATGACTGTTGTAAACGAAGAAAGGAAGCATTAAGTTAGCTAAATAAAATGGAAGCAATATAGATACGTATGTCTCTTATACACATACCTGCAAACTCATAAGAGGTGGAAAAGGTGACAAGTACCGAAGCCCGAAACCCTGTCGGGGGGGGGGGGGGGGGCATGCTCCCCCAGGAGAATTTTATTTTAAATATGAGCTTTAAAATGTAGCATTCTGCTGTACTCTGAGAAGAAAATTAAGTGATAAGACATTTACTTTAAGCAAAAAAAATAATTTATTATTCAGTTATTAATCAGTATTTCAGCTCTATTATTATTAACCTTTATTTAGACAAAATCCATTGAGACCGAGGTCTCACTTTCAAAAGTTTTAGTCAAATAAAAACAAAGACAGCAAGAGTAGCGAGAACCATCGCCTGTACAAAGAAAGTGATTCGTTTTCATTGAACCCTGTTACTGTATGGCTTCATATTAACTTCCACTGTTACTGTACAGCTGTTAGAATTGTGGCCTATCTTCTATTTGCAATTAATATGCATTCAATCCAGTTCAATTATTTAAATTAAAATTGGTAATCTACTCTGGCTAAAGTACCTTATCAAGAGTAAAATAATAGCTGTGATTTAACTGCACGTGGGACTGTTGGTACACTGGCTGTGGTCATCACAGTGAACAGTGTGATGAGAGGGCACGTGAGCCCTTGTTGGTGTAGTTCATCTCCTTGGAGCAGAGGCTGCATGTAGCATACCCTGCTTTATCAATGTATTTAAAACACTGTGACAGCAGGAAGCTGTACTCACGTCTGTTTAGACCTCCACCTTTATCCAGGCCCAGCTCCACCTTTATCCAGGCCCAGCTCCACCTTCATCCAGGCCCAGCTCCACCTTCATCCAGGCCCAGCTCCACTCACATCTCAGCCCTGCGTCAAGCTGCGCTACACAAACAGCCTCCTCTCCCTGAAGCTCTTTGACCTCATCATCTCATCAGTATCTGGGCCTCATGTTTCGTGGTCATAAAAGTTATTCTGACCACGAAATCGCCTCATTCTACTTTGAGTTAAAACAAACAACCTGCAACCAGATGCGCCGGTGTTCCGGTTTAACGTGAACGAGCGAACTGAACCGGAACACGGGGGGGGGGGTTGCATGTTTCATCACGTTACGTGTTTTCCTCCTAAATTGCGATAATGACGAACGTTAACAGTCGACAAAGTTTCGTATGCAGTGGACGTTAACTTAACCCAGCAAGTCTGAACGGTAACGGTACATAACGTAACTTAAACTTTAACGGAGGGAAATGAAGACGCTGTAGACATCTGAACGCTGATTGGCCAAGACTCGACACGTCACATGAAAGATGTTTTATTGCGAAGATCACTATATAACCTGTCTCCTTGTCTCACTCCAATCTGAGAAACGCTGCCCCCCCCCCAAAAAAAAACCTCTACGGATCTACACGATTCACGTGGATGATATATTTTGATTAAAAACGGCAAATTTCGCTGAAAAGCGACTAGTTTGCAGGTATGTATACAAGCCTGATTTAAAGAAAAGCCTGGTTCTCTCTGCGGTTGAGGTAAAATAGGTTTTTGGTAGTTATCAAGGGTGTATATAAAGCAGTATTACCTGAGGTTCTCTCCTCCTTCACTACACTCATGGCTGAGTTTGTTTGGCAGGCCTGACACAAAGCTCTTGAGATGGGAATACTCCAGAGCCCTCCAGACTTCCTCATCAGAGTAGCTGTCGAAAGGATCCAGGTTCATCCTCAGAGAGCCTGAAAACAGCACTGGGTCCTGAGGAGAGGGGAAAACAACTGTCATCTGGATTTCTCAGACGATGGGCAAGCTGAGCCCCATTTCTAGGTCTCTTCTTTAAAAAGGGTGCTACGAAGCCCTCAGGAGGGATTGAAGCTGCACCTCCTCACCAAATGACATGCTTTACAGACCCACCAAAGCATCATTGTGAGTTCTGCTATTTGTGACTAATGCACGTCATCTGTGGGTGTCTTGCAAATTGAACCAAATAAGGCCACAATCAGAATGGATACAATGAGGCCATATGCTGTCTCAGGGTCACCTTTCAATTGGGACACAGCTGTTGTTTCCTTAGCTTGGCCTTATAATTTTTCAGTTTAACTGGGCATAGCGTTCATTTCCATTCAGATGCCGATTAACTCCACGGCCTTTTGTGTCATCTCTGCACTGACCTGTGGTATGATGGTAATTCTGGAACGAAGCTCATGGAGGCCCAACTGAGCAATGTCCACCCCGTCAATGAAGATGTGGCCCTCAGATGCCTCGATGATCCGGAACAGCGCCAGCGTTAGGGATGATTTTCCTGCTCCAGTGTGCCCCACAATCCCCACCTTATGGGTAGAAGCAGGAAATGTTACGGGCCACAGACACTGTACACATACATACATCAACACAGATGTAATGCAATACACAGTCACAAACAATCACACTCATCAATTCAAGCACAATCAAAAAGACCACTGTAAGCAGACCTTCTCTCCTCGGTTTATGTTGATGGTAATGTTGCGAATGGCGAGATCCAGATCGTGGCGGTAGCGCAGGCCGAGGCCTCTGATGTCTATGCAACCATCAGTGGGCCACCCTGTGGGGAGGCTGGAGGGTTCCTGTTTCCACTCTGCCTGGTGGTCAGAGGATACTCATTTAAATAAGTATATCTTCCAAATCTTACTAAAGCAAAAGTATAATCAGCTAAAAGTAGTTATGTCTCAAAATGTTTTCCTGTCAGTTATATTATATATTCATAAGTTCACCTTATGTTTCAGCTGATCAAGGTGAAGCGAATTTCAGCTACTTTCTACAAATCTAGTATCTTTAAGTGGGGAACTTACTCAAACTCTGGGAAAAAGTAAACATCATAACATTTTCTGAAGTTTACACACATCACCACTTTCAAAATAGAAATTGTTGGAGTACCATATAACTTTACAGAGAACAGCTAGAATGGCACATAACCTGTGGTTCAAACAAATAATCAGCCAACATGAATATCAATACACCAGATTATTAGTAACCCGATTATCAGGTGTTTTGATATTCAAATTATTGGTACTCTGGTGTATCGATTTTCATCACGGTCTCCAGCTCCACTCACTCTACTCTATAGAGACTATAGTTGGCAAATATATGTGTTCTAATCAAAGGGCAACAAGCTATTCTGTTTATTTAGAAAAAAATGCCTTTCCCACTTTGAAATTAAACACGATTTCATCGAAAGCCCAAAACCCAGTTTTCCACCAGCGCTTAAACGCATCATGCATTTGTAGACCCCAGTGGAGCTGGAGACATTGAAAATAGTCTCAAAACTCCACACACAAATGTAACCTGATCAGTGCGAACACATTTAACAATCTGTAAATAAATATCTTGTATAGACCTACATATAGATTTGGAAAAAAACAAATCCTAAATTCAGTTTGCAGTACTTTTAATCCTAAATGCTGGTCGCAATCCAGCACCAGGTCAAGTAAAGCCTCCCTCTAAAACCACAAAAAACGGATCCCAGAATTTGTTCTTTGTTTGTCGTTGTACCTCTTTCTCTGTGTCACTGTACTGTTTCACTCTCTCCACAGCCACTATGTTGGTCTCCACTTCAGAAGACATCCTCACCAGCCAGGTCAGAGAGGCAGTCAACTGCACATGGGACAGAGGAACAGGACAGAGGACAGCTTGTGAGATGTCTGTCTCAGATCTGTGCATCAACCCAAATACATGAAGGTGAAAGTCATTTAGATTGTAGATAGATTGCAACATTAAAAAAATACTTTAGGACTCAACTCGAAAGCTACAGAAGCGTAATGCATTCTATTGAAAAACAAAAAACGAAAACAGGATATAGTCCCTAAAAATCTCGAGAGAAGTTCTGATTTACTTGAGAGCTGGATTTCATGGAAGCAAACATGTCCCGCCTATTTAGTTGAATCCAGCATGGAGAAACTATGAATGACGCAATGTCCAGCAGATCAGCATGGGCTTTATGTCTGAACAACTGCAAAGTTCTGAGGTGCCTGCGTAAAGTCGACAAACTAAGCAATGCTTCAAAGCCAAGCCAAAATAAAACTGGATGAAACTAAATGGAATCGTTCAAATCAAGTTCAAATTGAAAGATATGGAAGAAATTATGACATTTTTAGCATTTTGCATGGTGTAGATTATTTTCTTTTTTACCTAGCTTTGTTTTTTGTGAGATTAAACTCTTTGTCAACAAAGAAAGGAGGATGGAGTTTGTCTTTAACTGAACAGCATTTGGTAAGTCAACTGTTTGTTTTTTTACATCTAATATCTGAATGGCCCTTGAGTGTGTAGCAGAATGCGTGTTGCTGCAGGTCTGCTGGGTTGATTTGTTGCTTTGTTGTCATATGAATATACTGTATGTGACTGGTTCTTGTGAGTTTGTTGTTGTCATTGTGTTAATTATATAGATTTGGACTGTATGCATTGTCCGTTAATTACGAAGCATACCGTCATGCGCGGAGTTATTGTCTGGACAATTGAATCTGTTTGGGCTGTTTTCTTTTACAAAGTAAGAATTATGGTCTGGAGAAATGGGGATTGTGTGGCGATTGCTTTAGCCCTGTTTGAATCAGTAGGGAACAGCTACCTAAACGCTATGGGGAGAGTTCGTAGCTTGTGTGCTGCTGTTGTTTTCCTGCTAAACTAGTTTAGTGTAGCCTCCCAGAACACACGTGCGGTGCCTCAGCTGTGTTTTTTTTTTTGTGTTCCGGGTTCAGAGGTCACACAGCCCGTTGTCTCCTACGTGAGCGCAGTCCACCGAAAACATTATATTTCCCACAAGTTAAGCTTCTGCATTTTCCAAATGCACTAGTATTATTCAAACGTATTGTTCAGTTAGTAAGCCTCGTACCGAATGGTTTAATACGAATATGTGTAGTTACACCCCTAGAAACAAATAATAACCGTAGCTGTGGCGTCATAATGAGGTTATTAGGAGGTGGTTCAACTGTAGTAGGACAACACAGAAGGCCCAGGTATAAAATGCACTGTCACTGAATTATATACATTTAAAAATACATGCAAAGAATCTTACAGGATAGAGGGGTTTCTAATCTGTCACTTCTCCGGGGCCCTGAAGAAGATGCGACCTGGTCAGATGTGAGTATGAGTATTTACCTGGAGGGCATAGGAGATAGCCAGCCCCATGATGCCTGGACTGAGGCTCTCTCTAGCCATGACGGCAAACAAAGCAGCAAATGACACGATGCAGTTTCCTACAAACTCCAGGCGAACAGCTAGCCACCTACACAAACACAGATTCATTGACACAATAAGGATAGAAGACCATTGTAAGAACAAAGTGGCATATCCCACTAAAGAAGAAATACTATTTGAAAAGATCAAAAGAATTCTCAAGAATCTGTTAATTTTGTCTTTTTCCTTACTAAGGACGACGCATACTGCTGTAGCAGGTAGTATGTTTAGTTAGTGAGCTGTAACCGTGTCCTTAACCTGTTTGCTACTATGCTGGGGTAGTAAGCCTTCTGGTTGTGGTCCACGCGCTGGTCACTCTCCCGGATGAAGCGCTCCTGTTCACCAAAGGCTCGAATAACGGAGGTGCCCAGCAGTGTTTCATTGAAGTGGGTGTAGATGGGTGAACGGCTGACTGACTCCAGACGCTTCAGCTGGCGAGACGACGCCACATAAAACCTCTGGACACAGGAAGGACAGAGACTTCTGACAACTTCAAGTAACCAGTCAGAATGAAATACAGTGCAGCCAGAAGTGGTTGGACAGTTATACTTATTTTTCAGATGAAGAGTGTAGGAACATAGACCTTTTCATAAATAGTACCCCATATTTAGGGCATCAAAATGGATTGAAAATGTATGAAAGGAAGAGGAAAAAGTTGTTTTGCCATCTGAAAATTTCCAACTAACCTGGACAAAAAAGTAGAGCAGACCGAGAAAAGGAATGATGATAGCTACCAGTGGTGTTGCGATCAGGATGATAACGCAAGAACCCATCACATTAAACATGGAGCCCATGAACATTTTAATAATGCTGGGGATCACTGAGTCAATGGTGTCTATCTCCTTGGCAAAGCGGTTGACCAGGTTGCCGCTGGGGGTTCGCTCAAAGAAGGACATAGGTGAGCGCAGGACATCATACAGCATGGACTGGTGGAGGCAGCGGGACGCCAGGATGCCCCCAATGGACGTGGTGAGGGAGTAACCAAAGACAGCCACACCTACAAAAAGCACATCAAGTTGATTTGTACATGCAAACGCTAAGGTAAAAAAACATACCCTACTGCACCTGAAAAGAGTTCCACAAGTTTCACTTGAATTGCTGTGTTTGAAAAAGAGTCACCTGAACTGATACCAAATGAGCAACGCTTTCAGATCCAAGTCAGGAACAAGTTTTGTGTTTCAAGTCCTAAACAAGTCATTATATCTTTCTTGTCTTCTGGACTGCACTGCCAATCATACTTTCCCTCTTGCTTGTGCAATGTGACTGGCTCATCCAAAGTATCTGTTGTCAGAAGTCAGATCAAAGTCCAAGTGTCGTCAAATGCCATTGGTGCTAAAGTCAACTTTAAGTCTTTACTTAACTTAACAACTCAGGTGAAATATCATTCTATAGATGTTGCTCCATGATTCAGTATCTCGTTGGCTGTGTATGTGTAGCAGGTGTGAATGACAAAGAAACTACAAACACAACTTTGATATTCTTGTCAGAATGATCGGAATCGCTCTCCCTTAACCTTCTTAGATCGGTTTGTTCTTGTGTTATTTCTAAATTGTGTATCTGCATCTCCCTCCCCTCACCCCTCCTCACCCTGGGACAAACCGAGAGCACCGTACACCCCGAGCCTCATCTGTCTGTTGGGCTGAGTGCCATTAACCACGGGGTCGTCGGTCCACAGGCTCAGCCAGTAGTTGGAGAACAGGGAGACCAGGTGGTGGGCGAAAAACAGCAGCAGACTGATGCAGGACAGAAGCACTCCGATGGCTTTCAGATAAGACCCGAACACAGACAGCTTGACCTGGGGAGGGAGAGGAGACCAGCTGGGGTCAGGCAGTGGTTGGGACCATCACATACTGCACTGATACATGATGATGATGAATTATTAGCTCTGATGCTGTTGAGCATGTCAAGCTTCTACCTACCCGTCCAGTGCTGGCCTTGTCAGCCTCCGTCAGCTTGCCCACCTCGGGTTGCTTGGCTTTCTTGCCCAGCACCTTGTCCTGCTCACCCGTCTGGCACAGTTTGGTCACACTGCTGACTCCCGGACTGCTGCTTACACATGTAGCAATAAAAATAAATGTGATATATTATATACAGGCGCTTCAACAAGATGAACAGCTAGTATATGTCATGCTGATATGTGTGGATACTGGAGGTGGCTGCCTCAGGGTCTTTATCCAATATCATCCACGGTTATAACACCTGAGAGTGTAACATCACCTGTGTGTGAGCAAATTATCTCGTCTCACATTATGTGTTAAAGTTTTCTTTTTTTACTTTTTGGTAACATTTTCGTAAATGAAAATTTCACACAACCACAACGGGCAGCCTCATATCAATTTTAGGGCCATTATTATGCTAATTAATCAAATCTCAAGAATGTTCACCTCCTTTGAACAGGCTGAAACGAGTAATTTACCACAAGTTTGTGACATTAACATTTGGAATACAAAAAGTCAAGAGAAGATCAGGATGAAAATACAATTATGTAATATTCTTGTTCCCAAAATCCATGTGCAGAGCCAAATGAACAATGACTTTTTCTCACACCAACAGGTATTGTGTGTGTATCCAAAGTCTGTTATACTTCTTTTCTTTGTGCCACAGTGCTCCATTGTTGTCCACTTTTACTCACCCAACAAGAGCAGTTGTGCTGCCGTTCTCTGTTGCTTTGGTTCCACTCTTTGGCACAGTTTCTAAATGTAGTTTTTGGAAAAATGTTTTTGTGACAAAAGGATTGATCCATAAACATTACCTGCATCCACTGCACCAAACAACTACTATTATCCCAAAAACTCCAAAACACTGTTTATGTTCATGGAGCAGATTTCTTCATTATCAGCATTGCAATTAATAACTTTAGTAAAGTGCATTGTGCAGAACGTCTCACCATCGTCGGCAGTGTGGTCGACAGCAGCGTATGTTCGCTGAAACTCAGCGAAGGCTCCCTCTGTGGCCATGAGATGCTGGTAGGAGCCCATCTCTGTGATCTCTCCCTCCACCATGACCAGGATCAGGTCGGCCTGAGGCAGGTAGCTCAGTCCATGGGTCACCAGCACACGAGTCTGCACACATCCACACAAATATTACATGTCTGTGTGTAAAAGTGATACCTGTTCCATTTTTTATTAAATCTTTACTGCTCACTTTCATAATCATTGACGAACCTTCAAAACTACTGTACAGTATTATCATAAACGGATGTCAAAAAACAAAATTCTCAACCAGTCTGACACAATCTGTCTCAATCAATTAGTTTTGCCCTTGATCCTTGTCAGAGTCCTTTAAAGCCGGTGTAGGCCATTCATTCTTGCCATCGTTGGAAAAAACAACAACATAAAAACCTTTCAGCATATTGTACTGTCATCCAATGCAACGTCGTGAAAGTCTGATTCAACGGCAGAATATCCTGCAGGAAAAGTTACAGCATTGGTAACAACAAAGATTACTGAACATATTGGTGGAGCGTTTCAGAGATGAAGAGAAATGTTGCTAAAATTTTAGCCTTCGGCTAACTGTAGTTGGCTGTGGCTGGCTCACAGCTATGGTTATCAGAAAGTAACTAACAACACTTACTAACAACATTTACTCTCCATCTCTCCAATAGTTAAGCCTTCTGCGTGAACTCACTGCTATAATGCAGCCTCTGAAGAGCTTCGCCGATATTGTAGCTCGCTAGAGCCAGAAAAAGCAAACGGAACGGTACTACTCATAGAATTGCTGCAAAAAAAAAAAAAAAAGCGATGGCCAAATTTATGGCAACTAATTTAATTATCCATTATAGTTTTACATGTTCGTTTGCTATAGTAACCTGTTTGGTCTACCACAGGACTTGATTTCAGTTGAACATTCTGTTGTATCAGCAGGAAAGTTGATTGAAGTATTCATCTTTATTGTTAGTTAGCACATGCCGAAAACAAGTTGAATTTAAAAGCTCATAGCTAATTAAGATAATCAAAATGGTAGTAAGTTGCAGCCCTACTATATAACGGCAACAGGATCACAGTCATGATCGGGGCGATGTATGAAATGAATGACTAGTACTAGTACAGGTTACTGTATGAAGGATGATGTATGTAATGAATGACTAGTACTAGTACAGGTTACTGTATGAAGGATGATGTATGTAATGAATGACTAGTACTAGTACAGGTTACTGAATGAAGGATGATGTATGTAATGAATGACTAGTACTGGTTACTGAATGAAGGATGATGTATGTAATTAATGACTAGTACTAGTACAGGTTACTGTATGAAGGATGATGTTTGAATGAATGACTAGTACTAGTACAGGTTACTGTATGAAGGATGATGTATGTAATGACTGACTAGTACTAGTACAGGTTACTGTATGAAGGATGATGTTTGAAATGAATGACTAGTACAGGTTACTGAATGAAGGATGGTGTATGAATTGAATGACTAGTAAAGGTTACTATTACTGTACAGCATCTGACAGGTAGATACTTTACCTTTTCCTCAAACCTGAAACCTTACAAACAAAGTTTCAGCAGTCACAATACATCAATGATTTTCTGTGATGTTGGATTACGATGAGTTTTCTACAGGTTGTTTTATTCCATATCTCTCATTTTGCAGGTATCTATATTTAATCTTTAGGCTCACTTAGTTCTCTTTACGTCTTGTAGTTTTCAAGTTGTGCATTTTCATTTGGCAGAGCGTTTCCCACTGTGTTGTTTTATCGGTCTATGTTCATATTATTCCTGCCTATAACAACAACATAAATCAGTATGAATAATTGGCAACAAGCAAAATGAAAATATGAGCTGTTCATACAATGAACCCTTATATGGTGCTTTAGGTTGGTTAAGCTTGAGATCATACACACCTTGTCCTTCAGCAGTCCCTGTGGGCCGACAACTTGATCAAAGATATGTTTTCCTACGTGAGCATCGACAGCAGACAGCGGGTCATCCAACAGGTAGACAGCACGGTCACAGTAGACAGCCCTGGCCAGGCTCACCCTCTGCTTCTGACCTCCAGACAGATTCACTCCCTATACAGAAGAGAGATGGAGATAAAGCCAGAGACAAAAGTAAGGGTACTTCATCATTTAATGACTGTTCTGTTCTTTCTGCCTTCTTTAATGTATGTGCGTTTTAAAACTGTATTGAGACAGCATTTCATAAAATTGTCTCTGAAGTCTGTTCGCCGCGAAACCTCTTGCTTTGTATTTGGCTCCCATATTAACAGATGCACAGCTCAGGCGTGGCGAGAGATCTAAGATTTACAAATGTACACAGTGAAAATGATCTTTTGGCAGTATATTGATATCATAACAGAAACACTGGTATTACAGTTTTGATGTCTTTATCTGCAGATATATATGTCATAGACATAAAAGAAAGCTAAAATGAATTTCTGTCTGTGTGGACATCAGACGCAAGAGAGCTACAGCAGTTCAGTGAGGTAGCCATCACGCACTGCTCACACAGGCAGAGGAGCCCACACGGGATTCAAGTGAGGATTGCAGACAACTTCGACAGATACCCTACATTTTGTACCACTCTGCATGAGTTGATACCTTCTCTCCAATCTCTGTCTCGTCTCCAGCTGGAAGGATCTCAAGGTCAGGCTGAAGCGCACACGCCTCCACCACACGCTGGTACCAGGCCTCTCTCCTCTCCTGACCAAACATTATGTTGTCTTTCAGCGTGGCATTCTGGATCCAGGCCTGCTGGGGAACGTAGGCCACTGAACCCTGCAGGGAGACAAACGCATTGGAAGATGTCATGGCATTCTGTAGTTGATGGTGAGCAGTCAGACAGAGCACATTCCTGCTTCCAGAGGATGAACCACTCTGTTTTAATGTCGCCACACCCCATCGGTGTGCAATATTGTGAACAGCTTTTAGACTGAAATGATCCTAGCCACTCACATCAATGGAAAAGCAGAATGATGTCATTAAATAGTTTGTTTCTCTGAACACCCCCTAACTCTGACTGCCTTCTGCCACCACTTAAATCCTGTGAGCTGGCCAGACTTAAAGTGAACTTCTTGGCTGCTGTCCAGTTAGGAACAGAGTTAGTTTCAACAAAAAAATATTGTAGAACGAGACAAAAAATAAACTAAAAATATTGTGCATATGTGCAGAATCAGTGTCATACCTACAGTTGTGTCTAACTCCTATCTGTGAACATGTTGCTACGGTGTGTGTATATGCAAAATACCGCCGTAATGTGTGGTTATAAACTGGTATTGCTCATAATAGCGGACCTGGCTAGAGCATGGCCCATTACGTTTTAAGACTTGTTGTCCTGGCACGTGACATCATTCCCAATTCCTAATTTCCATTTCCAAGTAAATATAATTGTGTGCACTGCTGCTGCGAGTGTGTTTGTCTGAGAGAGCCAGAGCAGCCACCTTGACAGACACAGTTCCTTCCAGCTTGTCCATCTCTCCGAGCAGGGCCGACAGCAGCGAGGACTTTCCCGAACCCACGAGTCCCACCACAGCCACCAAAGAGCCTTCTGGGATACACACATTCAGCCTGCAGAAACACAGGGAGATTCAACCCAATTCACTTCCATTTAAGAAATAATCAGGTTCATTTCTTAATCAAGAAACAATTACATACTTATAAAGTAACATGTATTGCAGGTGTGACCCCTAATAGTGGACTATCTACCTGGTTAGACTGCCAATCTTAGAGTTCAATCGTCACAGTGGCGGAAAAATGCAGTAATGAAACAAAGAATCATTCCATTCGGGCTATAAGGGGGTGTTGTCTGACTTTACATTGAAGTGCATGGTTACTCCCAATAAATCATGACAATAGGCTGATAAAATAAAATAACTTTCAACTTTCCCCCCCACGTTTCTTGTATTGAAATCTCTTTAGAAAGGGATGTCGGTATGGATAAGAGGAACAGCAACTATTTCATTGTACCTTTGGGCATAAGAGTAATGTTTTAAAATGGACACAAACTAATTGAATGAAGTAGTGTGCACAAGTTGGTATTTTGAACATTACATTTTTGTTTTTATTTTTTCATTTACATGAATGCGCTGAAGCATCCTGAGGAAAGATGACACCAACCTCTTGAGTGTCGGTGATTCAGCTCTGGACCAGCTGAAAACTCCATCCACTATGGCGATACTGTGTGAGGCTGGGGTGAAGAGAGAGGAGGTATATTAGTTAACTGTATGTGATACCTCCATATATATACACACAAATGGTAAATGGACTTGTACTTGTATAGCGCTTTTCTAGTCTTTCCGACCACTCAAAGCTCTTTCACACTACTTGTCATTAATCCCCCATTCATACACTGATGGTAGGGGCTACCATGCCCACCATCAGGACCAACTAACATTCACACACCGTAGGCACAGCTACGGGAGCAATTTTGGGGTTAAGTGTCTTGCCCAAGGACACATCGACATGCGACCTGCAGAGCCGGGTATCGAACTGCCGATCCTTTAAATGATGGATGACCCTGCTCTCCACTAAGCCACAGTCACCCAAGAAAAAGGATCTACACATGTGGAAATGTCAAATTCTGAGGGAAGAGGGAGGACACAACAGACAAAGCAATAGACAGAAAAGCAGTAGATAAGAACTCACAGCCTGCTACTGCTTTGTGCTCGACGCTGTCCTCCTGAAGCTCCTCGTGTGAAAGAAACACTCTCAGCCGCTTCAAGGACACACTAGCCTGAAGATTGACACAGAGGGAGGGAAACCCACTAAGACCAGTGGCAAGATGCACACAAATCTGAGTAGATTCACACATAAAACTGTGTAGGCACAAAGGCAGAAATGTACATACGCATTATTTTCATCAGATTTATAAGTGTAATAGATCTGAATCATTGTGGAACTGGGCACTAAACTAATAACATCAAATTAGTGTTTTTGACAGGTCAGTACAAAAATAGAGTTATATTCTTTTTTTGTCTTAGAAAGAACAAACTTTTTTACTAAATTGAGCAATTGACATTAGTAAAGGTGAATCAACAATGTGCCGGTTAGTACGGAAGAGCATTCAGAAAAGAAAAAAAAAAAAAAGTATTCACCTTACCTCGCATACAAGAAAAGACCTTATAATTCTGCGAATTGTTTAAGGTAGCCTAGTTCGGTAAAGGTGGAAAGCTATTCACAGATTCAGAATTCCAGGATCAATAAGTTGTGCGCAAAACGTTGCGAAATCACAAACGATGCCTCGTTTCAACTGTAGTAAGGTAAACAACGAGCTACACAGTGTATGTGAAGTGAGGAACCTGCAGATTTCCATAGTCGGAGGATTCACAATGAATATATTGCTCGGTTATGTTGCCTTTTGTTGTTGATTCTGCTTTAATTCATTTTCAGGAACATAGGAGACTACATCAACTGCTTCTGGTTCATGTTTTGATTGTCATCCGTCATCCATCCCTAATAATCTTGCTTTTGAGTCTTGGAACTGTTGTCCCCATTATAGCGTCCCGTTCTAATTTACAGAAGAATTTGAAGGTCCAAACCACCTAAAACTCCTACAGCAAAGAGTCGGGGACATAGATAAGGAGAGTAAAAAAAGACCAAACTGGTATACCTGCTGAATTAGTCGCTAAACAGGCAGGAGAATTCCTCGTTTTGACTTTTACCTTTGAAAGGAGTGTGCGGACTGGTGCGTTGTAATAAACATGGTTAGTAAGAGCTACTGAGGCTCATTGCATACGTTCTATTTTTCATCAAAAGACACAAGCTCCACTCCCACAGCTAGATGTATAAATGCCATGTGCAAAGTTCTCAATCAACCTAATTAAACGTCAGGATGATTCATCTTATAGAGCTCATGTTGCAACAGACTTAATGAAATGCTTTACAATTGAGAATAAAATGAAAAGATCAATCATTTGGAAATAACATCTGAAATGTAAATAAAAAGATTATACAAATTATATTATTTGTATAATTCTATTACACCATCATTTTAATTTATTTAAAATTAGGTTTAAAAATGCGCCTCCAAAGAATATCCTACAGAACGCTGGGCAGACTGCTTAAAAATAACAATCACTGAAACAACAAACCTAAGAACCTAACAAACTGTTTTACCATAAGACCACATCTCTCCCTTATATTTGATGTCCACCTCATCATTTCACCAACAGCTCTAGAAAACTGAGTGTACATCTGGTCTGAAGTGAGCGTGAGGGGCTACCAGTTCATGTGTGTGTAAAGCCGTACAGATGTTTATTGTGCGCACACATCATTTACTTCACAAATTAGTAAAACATATTTCCTCACTACCCTCTTGTGATATCTGTCCATGCACATAGTTTTGGTTTCATTGAGTGTCATTTTGACTGATGGAGTTGGTAGTGCTCACAGCAGACAAATTACATTCAATAAAACACAACTCAAGAGCAATGTATCTTTTCACAAAATGTTCCCTTAGTTCCTCTGAACAATTGAGCTGTGAATAGCTAGGGCTCCAAGCTAGAGGTAGTACTTTAGTATTATTAATCATTATTATTAATGTACAATGTCCAAGAACAAACAGTGTTAAAAGAAATCCATAGAATTCTTCCAAAACACCAAAAGTGTTAGCTTTAGTAAATATCTTGTGAAATTAGAACAGAAGACGTTCGCTCTCTGTGAAGTCTGTTTTTCCTCACTGCTGACACCTCTCAGTGTGTCCGTCTGAGTCTGTGACTACGTCAAGATTTCTGGCTTTGTTTGCCTTAATCGTTAGCGACTGCAGCTGGTTTTATTGCTACGTAGATCTGTGTGTCATCTGCATTATAATGGCAAGATATTGTGTTGATTTGTATAATCTGCTTTAGTGGTGGCGTGTAGACGTTGAACAGATGAGACCAAAGAAAGGAACCTTGAGGAAACTTGTTTGTATGCTCAGGTGTGTAATTACTTTCGACACAATGGGATTTAAACCGGTTTAGAACTGTGCCAGAAAGTCCAACCCAGTTTTCCATTCTGTCTAGTAATATAAAACCAAGACCCCATGTTTCCACTGTCTGTCTAAGTGGATGTCATTCAAGACCTCAAAAGGACCAGTGTGTAGGATTAGGGGGATCTATTTGCAGAAATGGAATGTAATAGTCACAATTAGGTTTTCATTAGTGAATAATCACCTGGAACCTTAAAATTGAATATTTGCAGTTCGCATAATAAATAATGAACTTCATATACTTTTTCTGCTCTTGAAGCATAGATCATCCCAGAGAACCAATAAAAACAAATGGAATTGTCAAGTTGTCATATTGACATTTAAGGTGTGTTGATTGATTCACAATGTCAACTCATGCTTTGAGTAACATGCAAGAAAACATTCCACCTAAAATTTGCCGGAAGCTGCCGGTAGCCTTTGAGCTGCACAATGAATTGATTTATTTTTTCTCAGTCTATAGCTAGCTAGCTGCTTCATTTGCTCAAGTTAATAATAATACTAATAGCAATCTCAGAGACATGTATATCAACGCCTGGACAAATACAACCAAAACTATCTGCATGAGGAGATACCAGTAGAGGGAATTAAGTTGTTTTTTGTTTCGTCATTCAGGTGAATGAGCCCTTTAAAACATTCTGAGTTCGGCCCTGGATTCAGGAGTCCTCTCTGTGTTATTTCACCTGCAAAGCCTTCCATTCCAGTAATGGTTAACCAGGAAATGTTTTTATAAGACTGGGAATGTTATTTGTGCAGATCCAGATGTGATTATCAATATCTCTCCTGATGTTGCTCAGAGGGAATGTGAGGTGAAGGCTTTTTATCTTGACAGCTGAGTTCTATGACCAAAGTCAAACACTGGACCTGTTCCATTCCCCATTTTCGTACTCATTGAAAATCAAACATGAAAGGTCATGTTCCACAGTGGAGACAACCATGGAGGCTCACTAACCTGCACCATACTACTGATGACCATTGGCAGCATGTTAAGAGGGAAACGCAGGATGTTGAAGAGAGCCAGTGACACAAAGGCCTTCTGGGCATCGAGCACGTTATGCTCATCAATCAGCACATACACAGTGAAGGTCGACAGGGCAACCTGTACAGTGACACAGCAGGAGGGAGAGAGAAAGACATGAAAATGATATTATAGTCCTTTTCAATTGATTGGGATGTTTCCATTTGCAGAAAATGAGATAAGCAAAGTCCTTTTCCCTACAAAAGATTTGAATTTTAGACACTTGATATTTGTGATCTTGTCACTCCGTCACCCAAGCTGCTGCCTGCTTAGGTGTCTGTACCAGCTGAACTACATGACGCCATGTCCACATGATGAGATGAAATGATCTATGCACTTTTCTTTCTTCATTGTGGTGCATGTCTGACCTTCTGTGTTGGACTCACCAGGAAAGGTGCACAGATCCAGGTGAAAGTGGACATGGCACCCAGGTAGGCGGTCTTCTTCAGGACTTGCAGCTCACTCTCACGGATCTCTGACACCTTGTCTTTGAAGGCCAGCTCCCAGGCATACAGCTTCAGAACCTTGATGCCATTCAGCATCTCATTCATCAGCTTGATGCGATTGTCTTTACTCTTCATCTGAGCAACCTGCTCAATAGACACAAAAAATGTCAAGAAACAAACACAAGTCAGACAATGCTACAAACTGACACAAGCCCGACTGTGATCCTTGATCCTCAGTGCTAGCAACCTGGTTGAATAGGACCTCTGTGTGTGTTCCATCTGTGTATGAATGAAAATAATAAGTGCTCGGTTGGATATGCCCCGACTGTCACTGAACACACCATCCACAGGTCTTTGAGCCATCTGAACACTAGAAAGGCTGCAGAGGGAATAAGTGGAAGTAACCAGTTTTGTATGGCTTTAAAAGGAAAGATTTGTGGGAAAATGTGTGTCCGTGGAAAAGTCCCACCTGGTAGGTTTTGGTTTTCATGGCGATGACAGCATTAATGGGAACCATGAGAACCATCACAGCCACTCCAGCCAGCACGGACGGACCTAGGTTCTGCACAGCAACAGATCAAAACTAGAATTACCGCCTTATGGTTGTATGCCTCCGTCAACCAGTCATGTTGTAGTTTACATCCATCTCTGTACAAAGCATAATGCTTCCATCTACAGCTGTTCAACCAATAAAAACAAATAAAGAAAGCATTTTTTCTAACATCAGCACTATGACTTACACTGGAGGAACCCCTCATGTTCACTGGAAGCATTTCAGAAGCGTCATCCAGTACACATTCATTTGTTTTGATAACATTTTTGTTTCTTTACAGCAGATTGCTGCTTCATTGATGTGGTACCAGATACTTTGCTCTGTTACCTCGTCATACATGTTGTACATCGTACATACAGACTGTACCTACGTACAGACCAAAAAGCTGCGACAGAGGCAGAACATGACGTTTTAACAGTTTTATATGTTTGCAGCTTCAAGTTTTCCATTAGCTGTCCATAAAGTCAATCATAAAAATGGCCAATTTCATGATATTATTAGCAAGGTTCTTGGATGGCTGCTGGTGCTAATCTGCTGTGTTCGAGATGTTTGGCTTGTTTTGTTCAATAAACAAAAAAGAGAAAAATGAAAAAAAGACAAAAGCTTATACATAAAATAAAAATAAAAACACGCTTACAATATATTACTCTTACTTAGCAAAGTATCAAAAAAAGTTTTGTTTTAATCTCTGTATTGTTTGGAACTCACCACCATCTCACAACTACACTGCTGAACCATTGTGTCTTTAAGTATTGAGCTGTACAAATTGGTTTCATGTAGTTCTGTTTATTTCTTTGTTCCCCTGCATAATGTCCCACCACAGCAGATGTTTATTGCTCGTCCACCAGAAGTCACTGCAGGCTGCCGTTCAAGTGTTTACGTTGGCAGTCCAAAATCTGCCCACGTGAGACTACTTCTGCATGGAACTGTTGGTGATGTTAGTAAACTTGGACCAGTGTGCTACAGTGTCTACAGTTGCTCTGTAACCCTACCTGCCAGAGAAAGTAGAGGGCGAGCACCACCTGCAAAGGGGCGGACCATATCATGTTGATGTAAGTGATGAGGTCCATGAAGCGCTGAGCGTCCACCGACATCAGGTTGACGATCTCTCCCACCGTGGAGGTGCGGCGTGCTGCGCTGCTTATAACCAAGGCCTGAAAGAGCAGAGTCCAACTGTAGATTCAAAGCCAACGCATGCAACTGACCAGGAGAATAATTAAGCCATTCAATAGAGAATAGTTTAGGTTACTGAAAGTTTTAATTAACTTTGAATTTTTGTTTGTTCTAAAAATATCATGATGGCTTCATCCGCCAAGTAAAAACCTATTTAAACAGAGGAAGAAGTGAGTACCACCTGGAATTAAACACTTCCTTGCTTGTTATGTAGTCTGTGCTTTCATATTGTTTCCGTTAGTCTTTATTGTATTTCTATGGTCTCTACCAAAGACATTTAAAAAATGACAGTTATTCTTTCCTGTACCTTCCTGTAGACAGCTCCTATGATGGCAGTACGCAGACGCATGCCTGACACAAAGCAGACATGAAAGTACTTCTGGAGGATGAGCGACTGCACACAGGTACATATGAAGAGGAGAGCTGTGTAGAAGTAACCATGCCAGTAGGGGGCACTGGAGTTGTTGACGAAGCGTATCAGCAGCCTGGACATATCGAGTGAAGAAAATGAGCACATTAACACTTAGTCATAATGAAATCACCAACAAAATGTTGTCCATTTGATCTTCACAACCCTTTCAGAGATTAGTGAGCTTTGTCTCAGGTAAAGGAAACCATTGCTGCTGATTATGGGACTGTCCATTCTGGGCTAAAATGTCGGTGTATTTAGAAACTACAATAGCTGAATTAAAAAAAAAAAAAGGTCTTTGCCTCTTTCACAGACCCCGATGTGTCCTAGGAGGTCTAGGTCTGTGTCTCCGCAGCCGATCAGGCAGTCTACAGAGGAGTCACCCTGTGTCTAGCCTCACAAAGACTAAACCTAAGGGGGTGTTCAGGCAGGCCTCAACCGTCTTCGTCTTTCTTATCTCTAGGAAATGTCCCATGGATGGGAGACAGAGCACCAGTGGAACAATTCATGTTATAAAGAATGAGTATGAAAAGTAAAATTTTACTCCAGGACAACGGACAAAAAAGTGCCTCGACAAAGAGTCTTCTCAGTCGAAAACAGATTAATGCCTTGACTAACATCACATTACTTACATCATATTAGGGTTGTCAAGGAATATTCGAAATTTGAATATGTATCTGAATAGTAAAATAAACAAACACATAATCGATATGGAAATTAATATTAAATTGTGAAAAAAACCTGCCTCGCACGCCCTGAATGTGCTGCATGACGGGAGTCAAATGTCACTTTCATTATTGAAAATTAAATGTAATGTTTTACTGGGAATCTTCACTGGAAGTGAGACGTGAGCGGAGTAAGCGTTCTGTCATCCAATCCACTGACTTCTTCGGTGAACGTCTCCACCTGTTAAATAATTTTATTTGCCCGGCCACCGTAGCGAATGAGGGGAGTGCCAGTATTGAGACAGACGGGCTCATAGACAGACTGTGCGCCTAAAGCAATCAATATAGATATTAGGGGTGGGAATCACCAGAGGTCCCGCGATACGATATTATCACGATACTGCGATATTATCACGATACTGCGATATTCTGAGTATTGCGATTACTTTTTTCAATTTCAAATTATGTTCCCAAAGGAAAACTGTGTCAACATGTTTTATCTAATAAGATAAAGTTTTCAGTCTGTTCATGTCACTTCAATCATTTTTATTGCAGCAAAATAGGATTGTCAAGCAGACAGACTGACCAACAATGTCATAAATGTTGCATGAACCTGACAAACTGAACTGTTTGTATTACTACATAGTCCAACTTAACTGAATGCAAACGTGTAGACTCAGTATATGAACTATAACTTATATAAGTAAGATATAAGAGTTATATAACTCAGTATAACTTGCGATGCGTGGACGTCGAGGGCAGAGAGACAGTTATGCGCTGCACTCTCCACATGAGCCTGGCTACTGTTGGCAGATTTAACCCCGTTGTGAGGCCAGATGTCTCCATCTTTGTTTTGACCAACTTCCTACCAATCACACTGACCCGGGACCTTTGCTGACCTCACCAGAAAATAACTCGGCACCATCTAGTGGACTGAAAAAGCAATTGATTTGATTTTTCTAGTCCATTTTTTAAATTTTTTTGTAGTTTATATAATAAAAGATCGATACTTGGCGTCCGTGTATCGATACAATATCGCCACGCAAAATATCGCAATACTATGCTGTATTGATTTTTCCCCCACCCCTAATAGATATGGTTATTAAGTACAAAACACAAATACAGCTACACGATATTTGTATGATCTAAACAGCTGTCTATGCACATTATGCTTCACTAAAAGTGTAATAAATGGGTTCATCGTCACACGCACACACACAGTGTGGATTTACCCATTTAATATAAAGGAAGCACATCTGCTCTGTGCTGTCCTGAAAGAATATAGAGCACCAGTCTGCATTAAGCTTGGGACATCTCCAGGACATGAGTGTGTGGGTGGAAGGTTCCTTTTAGTACCGGTTACAGGTAAAGTCCAGGTCAGTGGAGCCGTGAGGCGGTTTTCTTGGTCCAGAATTATATAGTCTCCATGGCCCTGACTTGGGGCCCAGCCTTTGCCTGTCCCAAACTTTTCTATTTGACCCATATAATGTAAGTTCTTGTGTATGAAAGGTGCATGTATGAACCCCAGATGCATCAATGATTAATTTTCATTTCATATGAAACAGATAATGCTACAAGGCAATGTCATTCCTTTTGAAAGTGTCTGTATGTTTGAGAAAAACGTTCTCACCGGAGGATCTCAGGCCCAACGAACATGAGGACGTCCTGGATGATCTTATAGAGGCAGGAGATGAGGAAGTATGGCCCGAAGGTTAGGCACAGGGCCCAGAACAGGGAGGGCTCCTTTGTTTTCTGGGCTTTTACAATCAAGATTTCAGACTCCTCCACAGCTCGGCCCTCTTTGCCCTCGCTGTTCGTGGCTTTCTTGGGGGAGTACAACGTTTTCTGCTCCGTCCTGAAAGGAGACAATTGAAGGCATGGCAGACTGCTTTAATACTATATTCTAAATAAAATAGTTTTTCGATAGGAGAGTCATCTATGATTTGTGTGTTCTTTTTCTCCATTCAGTGGACCTGTAGTCCAAGATGAGATCGCCACACAAGATTGTGTTATTGTGAAAATAAATGAAACGTGAAAGTGAGGAATTTTAGGTTGAGTAAGTTGAGACTTCAGACCGAAGCTGCTTGTCAAAACATCTTATCAACACCTTTGTGTACCAAAGGAAAGCAAAATATTCCTCTTCCTATGTACATCAAATCTAGCAGGTGTAGTTTTACCAGGGTAACAATGTTGAACACTTTCGGTAGATTTCTTTGAAGTGGTCGTGCTCTGCTGTACTGAGCTCCTGACCTTTTGACCTTTTGGCACTCTGTGTTCCAGCGGCCCACCAGCTGTGGGACCACTCTATGGGAGCGGTCCTCAGAGTTCAAAGACCACAGGTCCTTTTCCTCCAGTGGGCGCTTGTAGCCCGTCACCATCATCCTGGTGGAGATGAGAGGGGCAAGAGGAGGAGCAGAGAACCATTTAAATCAAGTGACTCAGATTAACACCGTGTATATCATGTTCCATATGTCTTGCAGGTGAAAGCATGACACAGTTCTGCCAGGCTGGATTGGTCAACTGACCTTTACTGTTTTTGTTTTGATTTTTCCCACTGAAGAATAAGACACAGCTTGATTTTCACTTTAAACAGTTTGTGAAGATACAATAAAGCCAAAATTTGCTAAATATAGACCAATCCAGGGAGTTAGCAGTAAATAGTAACAGTACCTGTGCAACAATGTTCCAGTTTATGTAAAAGCTTTCCAAGGTATTTTGTACCACTTTCAACAAAGAAAGAAATATACAGACTGTTGACATCTGTTTCAATAGCAGACACAACATTATACCGTGGGGAAGAAAAATGATTTACAACCCAGAAGCCTCAGCTCCTCCATGAGAAATGCTTATGACTGAGACCACATTTTATTCAATTGTACTGTTCAACCATTAACAATGAAAGAAACCATGACCTGCAACTTGTTCTTGAATGATAATCAAATGCTAGAGAATATCATTTTCCCACCATTACTACCATGATCAGATTTTTGACCAATCTTTTAAGACTTTGGCCAGAAATCTGACGGAGGATGGGTTCACAACTGATCAAGTCTGTCTTTAAACAATACTTGCATGCCCATGTGAACATTGAAACATGTTTTGATGTCGTAATCATTCCTCATGTTCCTGTTCTAATCTTCCCAATAATCTCATCTAATAAGAGAAAGACAGCTGGAGAATGGACACAGCAGGTCATTAGACTGCACTGTCTGTAAATACACACAACAATCCACTCCACTGGGATATTAACTGTCTGCTTACCTGGTGATCCACCAGAAGGATATTCTGGAGAGAAAATTAGCTCCAGGTTCAGGGCAGGGATTCTGTAGACACAAATATTACCAAAACATTTTTTCAAAAGCCGATTTATTGATCACAGAATGAGGTTTTTATTAACATCTAAATCCCGCTCACCAATATGGACCCAGATTGTAAATAACACTTTTTCTCAGAGTCATCAAATCTTATAACTCAGACACAAAACACATATTTTTAGATTCAGTTTGACTTACATTTACCGAGAATATCATTAACTCCGAACAAAAGTCCATCAATCTGCTTAGAGATCATAGAAAAAAAAAAGGTTTAGGAGGACTTTTGATTTTGTCTGAGGGGGGCCAATTGTGTCGGACTTCGGAAGCCTCTACTCTTCGATATATATGAGCGATAGAGTGACAGACAGGAGACAGATTTACAGCTTGATGTAGTCTCACCGAGTCTTTGATGGCTTCGGAGAAGAGAGGCAGCTGGTCCGTCAGGCAGGACAGGAACAGAGAAACCAGCAGCAGAGCATAGTAGATATAGAAGGTGGTGAACCTCCACACACACACCGTCGACGGCTAAAATAAAAAACAAAAACGTGTTTAACCCGTGCGTGATATTTTTTGAGGTATGTTTGCTTTAATCAATGTCTCCCCTGAAGGTAACCGTTTTTTACGGTCTTTTACTACTTACTAATTACATGTGCCACACCAAACCAGTTACATATCTATAGGTTTATTATTAACTCTATTAATCCAAATGTAGTTCAGCCCTGCTCGTTCAAGACTGACCTGGTCCAGGGCCTGGAAGATCTTGGACCTGAAGGTGACTGTGGCACACAGCAGTGCCAGCAGCCAGTAGATCAGCATCACTCCAGACGACTGAACCCCTTTCATCCGTTCGTACTGGATTAACAGGGTGGCCAGCAACTGGAGCACAAACGCATTCAAACACCATACAAATCTTACTTGAAACAAACAAAAAATCTTTTACTTTTGCAGCTCTACCACATTCTTCTCAAGCTCAAAATGTGTTTAATGGTTCCCTTTCTTTTTGCTAAAAGGCTGCAACCTTCTCTTACACACACTGGATGGACTACATATCCCATCAGGCCTTGGAACGCTCTGGAATTCCATTGGAGGAAATGGATTACTGAGCTACAAAGGAGTAGAAATTTTCTGATAACATCTTTTCCTTCCCGACACTGAATACTGATTACAATACATGAACTTTGGTATCTGTCGATACAGATTACTGATCCCAAACCAGAGAGTTCAAATCTATAAATATATTATTTTTTTCAAAAAGCTGTACACTATTGACTTAGTAGTACTTGTTTTATGGCCTGCATGCATACAGAGAATGAATGCCATAGAACTTTCTTTTATTATCTGGACAGTCATGACTGGCTAACGTTAGCCTCCCTGCTAACACTGGCATTTCTGATACTGGTATCTGAGCAACTCATAGAAAAGGATGTCTGGATCATTTGATTTGATCTGATCTGCCGCTATAGATCTGGACTGGATAAGTGAACTGTAACCTTTTAAACAGTCCTACTGTCCCACTGCAATCAACAGAATTTCTATGGTTGGTCAAAACTTAGCTTCAAAGCCTTTTGCATTGTTAAGGTGCAGACAAAGAGAACTGTAGCCTATAATTCCCTGTTTGAGTGTATGATGCATTTGTTTTGAGCTACACACCAGAACCATGTACTGCTCTTTAATTTGTGCAAATAAACTATACTTATATAGAAAACATGCAGTTTGAATTTTTCTTTAACACATTTAATCTTCACAACAATACAAAAAAAAATGTAAACTAAAACAAAATAACATCTGAACTGAAATATTCCAGAATATATAACCACGTAAAAAAAGATTTACTTAAAAAACAAAAACTACACTAAAAACATCTAAGATCCAAAACATCAATATTGTGATAAATCCAAACAAATATTTGCTCTACTTCAAATATCGGGTGAACCCTTTCTATATAAATGACAAAGAAAAACTCTCACCATGGTAAAGCCCAGTAAGGTAGGACTGACTAGGTGGACGGGTGCAGGGACAGTGCTGCCATAACTTCTTTCCCAGAAAGAAAAGAAAACATCTGACCAGCAGATGATCCACAGTAGAAGGCCAACAGCCTGTGGAAAGAAGAACAACTTACAGCTTTCTGTTTGATGGAAAACCTGTGGCTTTTACTAACATTATACTAATGATGTATTATTGTTAGAGTGAGTGCTCTTTTCCCACTTAGCAAGGTTAGACACTAAGAAAAAGTCATGTTTGCATTATGTTAGTGATTATAGTATGCGATTATGTGATAAATTATGTAATTATTCGGAGTATACTGGAGCCCTTATTCAGCAATGTTTCTATACACAGACATGAGACAGAACTAGAGCTGTCTCATGAGAGAGAGTGACCACAACCTGGCAATCGAAATAGGAAGATGCAAAAAAAAAATCATGACACCCAAAATCAAACTGAATGTGTGGTCACCGTTCAAATGGCAAAGCTAGGACAGAAATGCACTTCCTCCTACAATGCAAAATATTAAATGCAATAAGGAACATTTACTTTGACAAGTTCAACTCTATGATTTCAGACTTCAAAAAGCTTTTTGTTTTGTGCGTCCTCAATCATGCATTTGTCACACTTTTCACTCTTCCAGTGTGGCCGTTCAGTACAACTACAAACACTTTCCATTGCCGACATGGTCAGACAACACCAGACAAACCACTTTTCTATTATAAGCTGAGCTTTATACACACACATCTCATGTATGACATATTTATTAGTGCTTGAGCTTTTGCTCTGCTCCAATTACAAATAAGATAACACAGAGAGGGCAGATTGGCATGGAGAGCAGGAATAATAAAACAAATGACATTCTCACAATTGGAAAAAATACCTCCCAAAATAATCACATCACTCACAGTTTTAGCTTTGTTAATGTGACTCATACATATGTAGCCATGATCGTGGCTACGGAGGTAGATGAGGTAGATGGGGGCACATATCCAGAGGTAAAGGCATGGCAGCCACACTAGGACAGTGTTCTGGAAGCACTGGGTGAAGTCTGGGTTGGCAGTGTACCAGGTACGGTTCCAATCCTGGTAGAGGAAAGAAGAAAGAAAATGTCTTACTTAAACTGCCTGATTAACTGAACACCAGCTGGAAAATGTCCTCATTGCTCGCTGACATTAATTTCACATGTAGTTTCAGGTACAAAAAAAAAAAAAAAAAAAAAAAAAAAAAAAGTCTACCGATTACTACACATGAACTTTTCATCCAGAATAGGATACAGAAACAAGGCTTTTCTGTTTGATCTGAAGTTCCCTTTCAGAACTGCAATGTTCTATTTTGGCCACTAGGAGCAGAGTAACAGCCAAACACCGACAGATACACAACATCATTTTACCCGCTTATAAAAACTGGTGACACAGGAAGTGTAGGGCCATGCTGTTGTAAAACCAAAACAAAGAGCTTTGAAAATGTTCAAAGACGAGAGCCAAGAGGGTTGCATTTCAGTTTAGTTTAGTAATGGATCCGCAATAGCTGTGCTCTAAAGCACAGTTAGTCTTCCTGGGGTCCACAGACCATGGATGTATGAAGAGAACTGGATACAGCGGTGGAGTTCGGGGCCCCGTTCATTCATATAAATGTTGCTTAGTGGCACATGAAGCAAGACAAGTTTGACTTCAAAGTATAAAATTAAATTCCGGCAATCTTTCGCATCACTGGGCCCATAGAGCTTGTGTGCTAGAGTTCAAATGGCATTCAAACGATTGACAGTAGGCTGTTAGCTGATCTGTTTCCATAAAGTTAGGCTGAAAAACTGTTTCATTCCTTCACGACTGCCAGTGGCAGTCAAAGTGATCAAGGTCACGATCTTATGCAAACAAAGTCCCGTGCATGACGTGTAGGCTACCTGCCTGTTCCAGTTATAACCACCAGGCGGTAGCCTACACCGGCCTCTTTGATCTTCTTGCCGTTAGTCTGGCGTTTACCGCAGCTTCATCGCTCCATTAGATCTGTGTTTCGGTTCTATATTTTGCAGGTCTAAGGGAGGTAAGCACATTATGTGTTGTTTGGCTTATGATACTATGACTTGTATGGCTCATATTGGAAACACCCTCTCTGTTCTCCTCCTCGCCCAATCAGCAATGGAGTAGCCAAAGCGTGAAGTGGCAGATTGGCTGACACAAACAATGTGGCACTTCATGCCTTCGGGTTGATGACCAGAGAACTATGTCGATTGATGTCCACCCTCGTCGTGACTCGACGTCAGGTGTTGTTTGCATTAGTGACTGTCTGACATTCACAGGCAAACCCTACGAAAGCTCCCTGGTGTGCCGGGCCAGAGGCTGAGAGGGCATTAGAGCGCAGGAAGCTATATAGCCAGGCTTCAGAAGCCTGAGGTCATCGGGGTATAGGCATGGGAGCCCCAGTTCAGCGCTCCAGGAATCGTTGGTGCATGGGAGCACCTCAATCCTGCACCACAGCCCTGGCAACACAGCCAGGTTGCTGCAGGCAGTTGGCTTCAGCCCAGGGATGACCAACCTCCACTATGCCAACCCCAGCGGTGGCAAGGGTGTGACTGGTATCTGAAGGTCCTCAGATCCAGAGCAGTCATTTGTCTGCTACAGTGGGAAAAACAGGGGATGTGCGCTGTCTAAACAGAGGCTCTCCACATGAGTCACCCACTTTGTTTGCTGCCAATTCAGGTCTCTGAATTCCGGAATGACTGCCAGTCATGCTGGTGACTCTGAACCTTTTTTTGGGGGCGAGAGGATTCTGAGAGGCTGGGTGTAGGCTACCACTTGGTATCTATAGCTGGGAGACGCTGGTACCCTGATAGCCCCGGAGTCGCCACGTCACGCACAATACTTTAAAATAACATCTGGACAGCACAGAGACATATCCCATTTGTGTACTGCCTCCAGGAAATCACAGAACCAGTTACATTCGTAACTCACGTTCGTGCCAGAGTGCGCTCCGGTGCCTAGAGTTACTTTTTACGAACGTAATGCGAACAATGGGATATATATATATATATATATATATATATATATATTTCTCTTTTTCGTAAGTGTCTGTTATGTAGTGCTCACTTACAATGATATTCGCCGCAGCACATTTAAGATGCGGCTTGAAAATCGTCGATAATGTTGAATGTGTGACGACAGAAGCACACGACTGCTGCTGTTCGGTGAACACACCGGTACGGCGGACAGCGGGTATAGTTTGAGAAGCTGTCGGGACGTAACAGCGGGTAGTTTGAGAACCTTACCACGCTGGGACTCCTGATGCACACCGGCCTCAAACCCTTTCTGCTTTTCTCCAACAACGACATGATGTGAGCTCCATGACAGAAGACGTAGGCTACAAGTGTCCCGGTGAGGTCGACAGTGCGTTCTGAAACATTTGGATATAGACTTGGAGACAACACGCTGCTGTGCGTGCTCGGTATTAACGTTAAACATGGAGACACCGGCGGCTCGTGCTTAAGCCGGTTATTCAACCAGGTTACCGTTACATAGAATAGCTGCGTTGTAGTGTTATTTGGCATCGGCAGGTGAATAACCAACAGGGTTGAGTGGGGTATATTAGCATGTGCCGGGTAGCTAATAAGAACTGGACAGAGTTGTAATATGAAGGAAAAGAAATACAGGTCGTGAAAATAAACTTACCCAAAATGGATCGGAACTGTCCAGACTGCAGAACTTGTCAGGCCCCATTCGCAGCGACGCAATAGAAGTTTAAGCCGCGGCTGTTCGGAGTGTTTTGGACGCAAAGCTTTCGTTTTGTAACCTGAGGTTAAAGCGGAAGGTTGCTTCCTCGTCTTCTTCTTTGGTAGTTTATAAATCCACGTGAAAGGTATATACTGCCACCTGCTGTGCAGTGTGTATCGCCGCGTGTAACGCCGTGGCTCCCAGTGAGCATTTTTCCATGTTCTTTCACGACAACTTGGAGACGTTGATTGAACGTTCACATTTAGTCTAAATCCCGATGAAATATGGTCTAAATTATATTTCACCAACCATTTTTGCAATGGTTCATTTTCGTGTTAATAGCATATCATTATTTTAGAGGCAATCTAAGAAACCACATCTCTGCTGAGTCAACACACATGTAGGCACCATTTGCTCTTCCTTCCTCTCATGTGTCTTTAACCTCTTTAAATGGGCACGTGGCACTAATTCACCTCGATGCTACATTAATTCAGTTGATAGGATTATTAACATACATTAATAATAAAGGGGTAACCACTCTGGGATCAGGGACCAATAACTAAACTGTTGATTAAGTCTCAAAAGGGGTGTTGAATCAAAATTTTAGTAGTTAAGGAACTATTCCATATATATTGAGTAAACTGAAGGTTTGAATGCGAGCACTGGCTATAACAACCAGCAATGACTACAACACATATGCACAAAATAATCACAGAAAACCGTTTCTTAAAATATAACAGATTTTATTTACATAATACTGATTAAATATCCATAATACAAATCAACAAACAACTATTATAAAATTACAAGCATACTACCTAAAAGCAACAAACAACATGGTGGGAGGAGTGTGTGTGTGTAGGAGGGAGAGGAGAGAGAAAAGAGAGCAAGATGGCGGACGTAGTCACGTAAAGTGGTCTCGTCACGCGAGACTCCACATGACGGCTCCACATGGCGGCGTAGAGGGGGGAATGCAACACACAATGGAGGCCGCGCTAAACACACCGCGTTGGTATGAATGACCGTAATGGCGTATGTGTGATATGCGTGTGTGGGTTAGTTTAGAAAAGAAGAAGAAAGAACTCAAAGCAAGGCAGATCCTCACCGCAGCAGTAAAGAACATAACTTTAACTTTATTGAGCAGAAGCCCAACTGGAGAACTCAGGTTCGGCAGCCACAGCACTGGTCCTTTAACTAATAAAATATAGTTGACCAACTTTACTAGCGGTGGTTGATCTAAACACAGCAACGCTTAGTAGTGGGGAACAGCACTATCACAGCAGCAACAACCACAACAGTTATATTACACAGCACTGAACGGTACTCTGCGGTCCATCAAACACGTAATAACTCGGTAACAGTACAGTTAAACTTAAAGAAAAAACACACTATGGCCTATCTCTGCCCAGACAATAGCCGCTTATTTGAGATTGCTTCGTTTCAATTGGCGTGTGGTTCTTCGGAATTGTTCGGCGGAGTTTCTCCAGCCTATGACCGGGGACCATAAAACCCTCTGTCGGCAGGTTAAGTGGCACGCTGATCCTCCGTATGGCAGCGGGGAAATGGCGAGTGTCGACTTGAGTAGGAACAAAGCGGGGCGTAGAAGTTATCCTTCCATTTCTGTAAAGACTGCGGAAATTCAGTAATCTTCCTTCTGCAGGTTAAAGTGGGAGTACACTGGACAAGTTATCCGTTTCTCCTTCAGGATCCAAGTGTGTTTGTGAACACAAAAACAGTCTGTTGCTCGTTCAGCGAGACTAGGACGGACTTAGATTTTTTTGGGTACTAAAATTGTTTTTATCTCTTTTTGGCAACGTGACGTCAGACACACAGGGACTCCCTGGGGATCCAGTGGGGCTCGTCCAATGAAGCACCAGTGTTGTGGTTTCAACAAATCTCACAATCAGGTGAAATTTTAACGCCTTATGGGCTTGGCGCGGCTTAAACCAGTTTAGGCTTCTACTTTTACATGTAGGCCTCTCTTTGTTCCCCCCCATGTTGAGAAGTTCAAATCAAATAACATTTAATAATTGCATTGTGTCATCAATCCACCTATTTTCTTCCGCTTCTGGGCTGCAGGGGCAGCAGACTTAGGAGGGCATTCCAGACGTCCCACTCCCCAACAAAGCTTTCCAGCTCTTCCTGGGAAACCAAGAGGCGTTCCCAGGAAGAGATATATATAATCTCTCCAGCGTGTTCTGGGTCTACGCTTGGGGCCTCCTACCAGTTGGACATGCCCGGAAAACCTTTAAAGGGAGGTTTCCCGGAGGCATCCTGATCAGATACCCGAACCACCTCCGCAGACCATTTTGACGCTAAGGTGCAGTGCAAAAAGTTGTACCCTTATTTGGCAGCCTTAATGTAATCTGTTTTAATCAACAGGCCATGTACCACAGTCCTTCAAAGTAGCTGAAATTAAACCTCTTCGTAAAAAACCCCCACTCTTGATCCAGTGGTGTTGATGTTGGTTAACTTATAACCTTCCCTTCCGCTCTAAGATCCTTGAGAAAGCAGTCCCAAATCAGTTGTCCGACTTTCTACATAACAATAGTTTATTTGAGGAACGCTAGAGGAGAACCTATTGTGTCAATCCCCGATGCCAATGAGCACTGACCAAGCATCGGTATTTGACAAGTTCGGATTGAGAATGTGTCGGGTCAGAGCTGGCTGAAGCTATGCCACGATTGTCCAGTCTGTGTTTGGGGGCGGGACTTAAGACTAAAGAGTAGAACAATATTCAATATACAGTAAACATACCATACATTAAACAGAACATATTATACACAAAGCGGGCCATGAGCATACTTCTTTTCACTCGTCACCCACAAAAAGGGATATAAGGATGCTACACCCTGCAGAGGATGTTGAAACAAAAGGCTTTAAAAAGATTACCTGACACACTGGACACAGATGTTATGGTCTTAGCCAATGTCCATGTGTCAGAGCTGGACATTGAGGAGCTGTGTGGCATTTGGGACTGACAAGAACTTCAGATACATACCTGCCCATGAGATTGCCAAGTCTCCGGGTCCTGACAAATTCAAAGTGCCATCACTGCCTGTGACACAGTACCTGCATTTGCATCCAGGGGCAAGAAGACAGCTTGGGTTACCTGTATGCCTATGACATGGCAAAAGTGTCAAAGAGTTAGTGAAACTGCTCTAAAAAGCATTCCAAGAGAGTTAATTTCCATTGTGGAGTGCAGCGGTGGACTCTGAGGGATAGGGGGGAACCCTAGGTCGCTTCATCACATTTTACCTATGCAGGTGTTAAAGTGGGCAGAAACAATCCAGAACAGCCTTCCAGCACCTGCAATTAAGTAAATACATCTGAATAGCACTTTCATACACAATAATGTCAAGAGGGTTCAAATTAAATTTGCTGCAGGCTGGTGTTCTTTCCAGCGTTCTGTCAACAATAAATGGTTCAATCCTACTTTCATCATCTCAGAAACATTTCAAGGATTAGACCATTTCTGTCTCCCAAAAATCTGCAAATCATTATCCACTCATTCATAACTAGTCGATTAGACTGCTGTAACTCCTTGCTCTCCAGCTCATCCAAAACTCTGCTGCTAGGATTTTGACTCGAACTAGGAAACCAGACCACATTTCACCGATTCTTTTAGAATTGATCTTAAGATATTATTGTCACGACTTCCCCTTCATATTAGTTTGTTTTCATCCTGTCTGCTTATTTTACTAACTCTCCTGTCATTTCAGATCCTACCATTCACACCCGATCATCTCTCATTCCCCTCACCTGGTCCTCTACACCCATCTCACCTGCAGCCCATCCCCTCATTAGCCCTCACTATTTAGGTCCCCTCTCTTGCACTTGTTCCCTGCCAGATTGTCTTGTGTGTCTCTGCCAAGCTCTCCAGTGTTATATATATCGTACTATTCTGATCTGCCTGTTCCGACCCTGTTTTCTCGACTTTGGATTTTTGCCTGCCCCTTGTTGGATTTGTTTGCCTTTTGGACTGACCTCCCAGTGTTGACCCTGCCTTTACCAAGTAAAGAAATCTATACCTGAATCTTGTCTCCGAGTTGTGCTTTTGGGTTCTAGTATCTGTAATCCTTACAACTATTGATCACAGGCAAAGACCTGACAGGTCTCGCCCCAAGTTATCTATCAGATGTCTTATTGTCTCACAAAGGTGATAGAGCCTTTGCAGTCATGACCTGCCTGAGGAGAAAACGGCTACCAACTCTTTCTGAGAGTGAAATTGTTTTTTTATGACATTTTAGTTCATTTCATTCTCTGTGATGTAAATGTTTCTGTTTTTAATATAACTTTACAGTGTTTTGAGAGGTGCTATCGAAATGTCAGTATCCTGTAGCCGACCATCCTTCTGGCAAAAGACTGAGATGCTGTATCACACCATGACAAATTCCTTGTAGGTGCAAACTTCCTTGGCAATAAACGATTCTGATTCTGATTCTAAGTAGATTAGCATGGACAATTGGACTGTGCCATTCTACTACAGCCAGAGGGGTGTTCTCAGGAACACCTACATCTGCACCACGGAGGAGGAATGTCTTCTCCCCCCTGCAATCAACTATGAACTGGCATGCATTGTATATATCATGCAGTTAGGAGATGGGGAGGCAGTGTCTCTTGTTCAGAAGAGCACTCACTATGTTGTATTAAACTGTACTAAAAGATCTGTTTAGTTAAGTTGTGCTTGGACTTTAGAGTAATTATGTTAAGTTTATATAGTTATTATGATTTGTCACTTTGGCTTGATTTTGTTACCCTTCTAAATTACCACTTTACCTGCTCTCCTACGTTTACCCTGGTCCCTCACAAGTTGAAAGTATGCAAATGTAAAACAATCGCACCAATGCTTTCAAGATCAGACAGGGACCCAATCTGAATACGAGTTTCTTGCCCATGATCTGGGAAGAGCCACTCAGATATGAGCCATTTTGTGCTGTTCATAAATTGTGTGCAAGTGGAATAAAGGAGAGACCAGCCCAGACCCACTGTCAGAAGAAGACTCTGCAGCCTTTTTCTGTTTAAATGAATGCTTCTTGCTGCAACCACTGCTATATGTTGCCATGTAGGCCGAGCTTAAGTCATTTTCTGGTGGAAAAAGAAGAAAATTGACCTTGCATTCATTCAAATAGATGTTGCATTTCACAAAGCATTTTCATGATTTTAAAAATATATGCAAATTAATTTCCTTAAACATTACACCCAGCGTGAAAGAGCCTTAAGATTTGCAACTGACATCGTTGTAACTGATTATGATGATTATGAAGCATAACTGTGTAGCTTGCCTCTGTACAAATACTATCATATATGTGACTTTGTTTAATTTATTACCAATGCATTTGTATGTTATATGTTTTGTATTTCAGGTCAGGTATTTAAAGTACATTAATTTACTCCTCTATTCCTTGATGTTGTTAATCGAAATCAGATTTTGGTTCTCTTATTACAAACACAAAGGAAGTTACAACTTCAAGGACAATGTATTGAAAGTACTGGCTGCATAACTATGTCCAAAGGTAGAGCTCAAATTGTAATCTAGCTCCACCAGAATGTCCATGTCATTGATGTAAAACTCTAAGTCGATTTTGATGATGTCAAGTCATCAGATTCAAGACTCTTGTCTTACTCAAGTCTCAAGTCTGTCTTTTACTATGTTGGACAAAATTGCCTGTTTTTCCAGAAAAATTGTCTTTCACTGTCTTTTATTGTTAAACAGCATTTCATTCATTCAGTCTAGTAAGAACTCTCAAATCAATAAATCAATTAGTGAAAATGTCCTCTCTTTTTATTTAACATATTCCAAATATGTCTTCAAATAATTCAGTTTCCTAAAAGTACAGTACGACTTGTCAGTTCACAACAGTACACAAATATATTTAGTTATTCCTTTAACAACTTCTATTCAGTCATTGGTGAGCACATGTTAAATGTTCTCAAGGAAAAAGACAAAAATAACAATGAAAATCAGAAGTGAAGGTGAAACATATTAGTTTGGCCACATGGTGGCAACATATACGGGCTCAGTTGTCATCATTGCCATCATCAAAGACATCAGCTACAGTCCTGTGGATAGAGAGACAAATAGGTCACAGACTGTAGTTTATTAATGTTTGAACAGGTTTCAAACAGTGTAAATATGACTTACTTGTAGATAGATCCAGTCACTTCATCAAGAAAACCCCCTGAAGAAAAAAGACAAAGTAAGTGTGAGCTGGAGCCTCTGTCAACAAACAGCAAAATCCAACCTTTTTCATCAAAGGTTGGCCTGCATTTTTGTAATATAACACAATTGTTTGTCATATAACACTACTGCTGTAGAAATCGAACTATTGTAATTTGATTTAAGTTGAGCTTCCTTTTAGGATTAAAAATGTTGCGTCAAAATTAGACTGTGATTAGTTTACACATACTACATCGCTAGATAAGTCTCCACACCCTGCACGACTCCCAGCAGCTGTTCGAATCGGATTCAATACACCGGTACGCTCTATGCTCTGCTGCTGCTAACCGGCTTTCTACTCCAACTGTTTGCTGTCCTGCCTCCGCGATGGTGGAACGAGCTCCCCATTGACATCAGGAAAGCAGACACTCGACACATCTTCCGTCACAGACGGACAACTCATCTGTTCAGAATGCACCTTGGCCCATAAAATAAAATAGGAAACATAAATCCCGTTCTCTTATTTTCTTTAAATGTCTTAATGTTGCACTTGAAGAAGTACGTCATATTTGATGAAGTTTATACACCCTGCGTGATTCTCGCAATTTTTGGGGTTGTATCCCAGTGGTTGAACGCACTTATTGTTACTTTGGATAAAACCGACGGCAAAATAAATGTAATGTCTTCCGATGCTGTATGGGAAAGAAAACTCTCCACTTTTTTTATCAGTTGAAATGAGCAACAAGACTTTCCTTTACTGATGTGATACTGTGGCAGCTCTGCATTTACTCACCGGGCTGGCAAAGAGTTTGGCAAGCAGGACACACATGGCAGTAACTGCACATCTGTGAACAAGAAAGAAAGTAATAAATACAGAAAACAGAAATTAAAATAGTATGCATTTGTATGATGGCTGAAGATGTAATGATAGTGAATGCTTGTGTCTGACTCGGGACAGAGTGCTTGCAGAAAGCCTTTAGAGCAGGGACCCAGACACCGTTGTATCTGGACCCTGGACCTACAACCCATAGATAATTGAGAATTATAACATTTTGACGGAGCGCTTCTATTTAACTGCCTTAGCTTTTCTAGCCTTTATGGCACTCGTTCAGCGGTCCAGGAAACACACCGACCAATTACATGCGTATTAAATCACATCACATGATGCTACTCAGCCAGTCAAATATGTGTATTGTGATAAGCATCGCGGCTTGAGTGAGATAAACACACACAGGAGAGACGGGCGGGAGACCGAGTAGTCAGAGAATAATACGGGGACGTTCTCCAAAAAGAGAAATGTGGTCAGAGAGACAAGAACCATTAACCAAGAATGGACAAACTCTTAAATGTTAATTCTTCACCACGGACAGTTTCAAACCAGTATGTCTCACATGTTCAGAGACCGTGGCGATTAATAAAAGCGGTAATGTGAACCAACACTACGAGTCAAAGCATAAATCTTTTGAGGAAACGTACCCACTCACATCTGAAATAAACCCACATATAATAAACAATCTAAGAGCCCAATATGATCAGAATTCTAATATGAATTCACTGCCCACAAATGATGTTAACAGAGAGGAATAGAGCTGGTTCCAACAACCACAGATACAGTCCCTACACACAAAAAAGATCATATCATGTTTTTTTTGGTTGACATCACTTCACCCTGAATGAACTGAATCTAAAGCTGCGGGACAATTCAGTTCAATTCATTTTTCTAAAATTAAGTACTTTATTTTAAGATGCACATTTTTCAAAAGCATTCTGTTTTCTAATTATTCTTCAATCCAGTTGTTATTTTACTTGAAACAAGAGAAGATCATTTATTTATTATTAGAGTATGTATTATTTATAATTGATCCAGTTCAATTTGAAATCTGACAAGAAATATTGGTGAGATATTATTCAATTGAACTTTCTCAATTTGATTTGACAGTCAGTTGTTGACTACATGCAGACGTTAATATAACTGTTGGCTACTTCAATATATATGGGACTAAACCATGAGCAAGTTAGATATTATTGTGATGTTCCGAACCTTTGAATGAGGAAAGTCTCTCTAAATGGACCTCATTGAATTTTAATTGAATACCCCTGCTTCAGATAGAGCTATTCGCAATACAATTGCCTAAGTAACTCTTGTTGGTAAAATACATGTAAGCATGATGGTGTCTCTGTGTATGTTTTTTCATAACTAGTAACCATAGAGTGCACTGGAACTGGAACTGCAAAACTGAAATGCGGGTTGCCCGCACCGAGACCTGTCCATCACCATTGATGATACCGTGGTGACGCCAACTCGGACTGCGAGGAACCTGGGTGTGACCCTGGATGACCAACTGTCATTCGCAGCAAACATTACATCGGTTACACGCTCCTGCAGATTCCTGCTCTACAACATCAAGAGGATTCGCCCCTTCCTCACTGACGAGATGGTGCAGGTGCTCATCCAGGCTCTTGTCATCTCCCGCCTGGACTACTGCAACTCACTACTTGCAGGAGCCCAGGTGTCGGCCATCAGACCTCTGGAGCTTGTCCAGAAAGCTGCAGCTCGCCTGGTGTTCAATCGCCCCAAGTTCTCCCACACAACTTCCCTTCTCCGTTCTCTACACTGGCTCCCTGTAAGAGCTCGCATCCAGTTTAAGACTCTGGTGCTAGCCTACAGGGCAGTGAAAGGAACAGCTCCTTCCTATCTCCAGGCCATGGTCAAGTCCTACACCGCCGCCCGACCACTTCGCTCTGCTGCCGATTGACCCGGTCACGGGTGTTTTCTGTCACTTATTGTATTCGCATTAGTTTGTTTCTGCACTGTACTTTTGCTCTGATTTATGCTGCGGTTCATGCTTTTAGATGCTTGTTTAAAAAAGGAGATGCACTTATGACTTCTGGTGACTCGTAGTTCTCTTGAATACCTATGTTGAATACACTTATTGTAAGTCGCTTTGGATAAAAGTGTCTGCTAAATGACTGTAATGTAATGTAACTGGTAATAAGTGCATGCACTGGAACTTGTAACAATGCATGCACTGCTAGTCATAATAGCATGCACTGGAGCCGGTCAAAATAGCATGCACTGGAGCCAGTCATAATATCAAGCACTGGGGCCTTCGTCACAACCTTACGCCACTAACAAAGTTGACAAAGAGTTTCCTTTTGTCTGGTGTTAGAGAGAGCACGGCCTGACCAGAAGTCAAATGTCACATAATGTGTATTTTCTCACCTTGCAGTCATCGCAGTGTTCAGATTTGTCTCCCTCTTTACAGGGACATTTGTCACAGCTGTCACAGTGCTGTAAGAAGACACATATAGTAAGGAAGAAATCTGGAGTCGGCAGAGTTAGAAAGGATGGTATATAAAAGGAACGACAGAGAGGACATGTGTAGAGGGCAGGATTGGATGTACGTATGTACTACTTCCATTTCAATGTGCAATGAAACTAACTTCAGTTAGTGATTTAGTTCCCATCACCACACATTGTTAAGTTTTAATTTAGGATTTCACATCACATAATTTTGTGAAGGTCTCTAGTTTTCTGACTTAGCTTTAATAACAACATCAAATTTCTCTAAATAATTTTAGACCTACCTCACAGAATTCACAATATGAGCACACAGAGCCCTTATGATAAGCCCCATCCTCGTCATCGTCATCGTCATCGTCATCGTCATCATTATCTGCACATGATATTGACAGTAAATGTATGAATTCTAAACTAAAATACATGAAAAGATCAAACTGTCAACAGTGCTTTATCAAAATTTACACCATTATGATAGTGTAAACATTTAGTGATGTGGTATATTTCTTTGCTGCTGGTTTCTTTTTAAGTCTATGAGAAAGATGAAAAAATAATAAAAAATTGTCAGAATAAAGTAATATTTCTGGATTAAATTGAGGGAAATAAGTTTTTTTGTTTTATTTTATTTTTTACAAATTTTCCTCAGAAGTATGACAATAATTTCAAATATCAAGAATAGCCCAGTTCTCTTAAACTACAGGCCAAATTCTGTGTGAATTACAAACTGAAAGTGTTTTGAATACAGAGTACTGAACACTGCCAGCAAACAGTCCGAACAACATTTTTCATGGTTGTTAATCCTGGTGGAGGTGTAAACACAGAGGCGCATCTGTGCCGACTTTTGACGCTGTAGATTGTGGTCTGGATTACATTAGAGTGGACATAATGTAAAAAGCACCTTTCAGTGCAAAACAGAATTACCAATCGAGCAAAGAGGACACCTTGTCAAAGGTTCTTGTGTCAGGATCTAGTTTGAAGACTAGAACAGGTTTATATCTGGAGCTGTGTGCTGTGTCAACTTTACATGATGGGTGGAAAGTTGGAGGAAGGATAGTTATGGGCTCACGGTTAACAATTTTGTGACTACTGTAAGGTAATTGCATCACATTGCATTGTGTTACAGGTGCTTCTATTTTCTGCTCAGTGGCCATTTAGCTTCATCTCATTCATTTCATTTTTGACTTAAAGCTGTAATTTGAAATGCATTTTCAATTTAAGTTCATGTTCAACTTAAACCAACAGTGGCGGAAGATGTATGCAGATCCTTTACTTTAGTAAAAGTACCTATAGCACAATGTAAAGATATTTAATTACAAGTAAAAGTAGTGCATTCAAAATGGCATTTAATTAAAATTATGAAAGTATTATCAGCTGTCAAATGTACTTAATTTATTAAAGTCAATGTACTTATTATGCAGCAGAATGACTCCCGACCATATAACTTTACTGTATATTATAATAGTGGAATATTATTACATTAGCTCTCACTCTACAAACACATGACTACTGACTGTAAGAAACAACCATCATAACAAAATGTTAACTTATTTCTTCTAGATTATAGAATTAATGTCATCTGAAAAAAAACTGATTTAAATAGTAAGTGGACTGTACTTGTTTCTCTCTTTTCTAGTCTTCTGACCACTCAAAGCTCTCTAACTCTACATGTCATCATTCACCCATTCATACACTGATGACAGGGCTACCATGTAAGGTACCACCTGCCCATCAGAACTAACTAACATTTACAATTAACTGGTAAGAATAGTAACAGTTATTGGAAAATTGTGTAAAACAAAATCAAACTGAGCACATGAGGAAATGTGTGTCATACTTAAACTATCTGTACCATTTTATCTATTAACACTGCATAGACTGCAATTGGATGCTTTTAACTGGGGCCCACCAGGCCCCCAATTGGTATTTATAAAAGCACTAATTATAACAGAAACAACAAGGATATTAAGTCTTTAGGAACAAAATGATTGACAAAGCCATGAAAAATTGAAATTATGATAAATGATAAAGTATACCTCTTTATCATTCTGCAGGGTCTGCAGGGGCTCCAGGATTAAGGTTAGGCTGCATTTTAGTGGTGAGGCACGTTTAACTATTTGACTTTCTGTTGGATAGTTACATTTATAACAATATATCATATTTGACATTAACTGATTGGTTTGGTGTAAGATATTCATTTGTAAAGTAAATACAGCTGTTAGATAGTGTTAGTGGACTATTAATCAAAGTGGCAAAGGAGGGAAAAATTAACTTTGTTCCACCACTGGGAAAAATTTACAAAACAAATACCTTGCCAATTGCTTTTTGACCCTATTGAAATTCTAATGTTTTGGTAAACGGACACATTTTGGGGGTATTTGCCATGCACAAAAACTCACCAAATTTTGGACACTTGTCAGGCCTGGTGAAAATAGCCATCTGAAAAAGGATGCATCTTTCTGTGTAAAAAAATGTCTCTCTAGCGCCCCCTACAAGTCGGACCGGCGACGGCCTCGGCCAGTATGTCCGATTTAGTTGAAATTCGACACACATGTCCGACTCCACTAGATCTACAAAAAAGCCTCTCAGACCCATAAGCTCCGCCTACTTAGATTTTCCACCATTTTGAATTTAGTGAAAAACACATTTTTGCAAACTCCTCCTACATGCTGGGTTTGATTACTACCACATTTGCTGTGGATCATTAATGGATCTTGATAATCAAAGTTATCAAAATCGTTTTGATATCTCTTTGCGTTTACAAGGTATGGACCAATAAACCTTTTAGGGCGTGGCTTATATATCAATACGCATAACTTCTCAACCGTTTGTCCTAAAATTACAAAATTTGCAGCATATGTGCACATTGCATCCTGTAACATACCCTGAGACAGTAAACCCTGTGCTTTTTGTCACTTTTTGCAAGGTACATTATCCAATCCGCACAAAACGTCTTACACATGATGCTACTTCAAGCCTGAACATACTTCAATTAAAAAAATTTCAATAACTCATAGCGCCACCTACTGGCTAAAGGAAATGTCATATTTTATACTTTTATTTATTCCTCCTAGCCAGGTGACCTGATGAGTCTCAAATTTGGTAAGGATAGCCTTAAGACATTGATGATGCATCATGAATATTGTGCATTTTCGTTGAACGCTGTTGCCGTGGCGACGCATCGTTCGCCATGATAAAGGAAGCTGATGGTTTAGTGACTTGGGATGCTCAAAAACTCATGCAACTTTATACATGCACAGGCCGGAGTCCCGCCGGCACCCCCGACGTGCTGGAGGATGCGAGGGCCCGTTCATTGCTGCTCGCAGCTTTAATTTCACTTGTTTTCAGCAATCTCAAATACGCTTTGGAAGTAATTTTTTACCAGTTCAGTTTTTATTGTCTTATATTTTCAGAGGTTGACATTATCTTTACTGCAGTGGTTTGTTGGAGATGGGTTTGTCCTTAAATCACCAAAGAAAATGTTTCACCCAGATGTTAAATTCTGTGTCAGGCTCTTAATTTTAATTAAGACGGTTGCAGTCATATTACAATAGTACCCAACTCTTAAATCCCCCAACAATTGCAATCTCCCAGACAAGCATTTTATATAACACAGTTCATATAGAACATGCTGTGGTCACAACATACTCACAGGTTTCAAATGTCTGTAGCTCAGCATTCTGGTCCTCAAACAGGTAATATGACATGTTTACAGGCTTCTGATTAAAAGTAATATTGCTCTCTATGCATTTATACAAGTCTTTGGTAACAGATTTGAATTTAGGCATTTTATGATCATTTGATTTATTTAATGAATGAAAGTAGGGTTAAAGACATATGAATAGTGGTGATTGTCATATTTTCCACAAATGAATGATCACAGTCATCACAAAATATTTTTTTGCCAAACAAGAAGAGAAAAAAGCAGACAACCATTTCATCTCTTCACATTTTGACATCAGACGGAGCTTTAGCTCTTTTACGTCCTCTATAGAAAGAGACATTTCTCTCTTTTCCCAAACACTCTCTCCCTAAAGGTCTGAAAAATGCTCAGCAAATCCACTATTGTAACATTTCAATTCAAATGAAGAGTTGTACAACTGTTCAGCTTAGTTTCACAAATGACTCAAATATTTGTATTGAATTACATCAGTGCCAAATAAGCATTGAATACTAAGGAGGAAATTCCATAAAACTCAAAACAAATATTCATCATTAATATAAAGCTACTGACATCTGCATCAAAAGTTATTATTTTATCTAATGGTTCAGAACATTAGTGTTTTAGAAAATAAAAAGAGGTATGATTATTACACTGCTCATAGATACATTGAAAGTTATTATATTATCTTATCTGTGTTTTTACAAGTGCACACACCAGACTTAAAAAATAAATTCTGTGCATCACACGGCTCTTTAACAGACAGCGGCATAAATGCTCCACAGAGAAAGAAAGAGATTGAGAGATATGGAGAAAGAGAGAAACTTCACATCTTTGTATTCTAAAATTTTAAATGAATGAATTTAGGTGGTGTCCCTCCTGCACCTCCCCTCGCGCTTTATTCTCCCACTGTCTGTTTCTTCAGCAACCCACCCCCCCAAATCACTGTCTCTCTTTCTTTCTCTGTAGGTTCACATAAGACACAAATGCAGGTCAATCTGATCTAAAACAAATGAGAAAGGAAGATCCTAGTGGAGGAACCATTCTTTCAAACGAAACACAAATCAAAAGATCTCAAACTAGTGACCCCAATGACTGATTTCCAAGTCAGACTTGGTTTGTGTGAAATTGTTTTTTTGTTCTTTCTCTCTCTCAAATCAACGCTTCTGCAGTCCCCAAGTTCATATCTAGTGTACTGTACGAAGGACTTCAGACAGTTGGACTTCAGATGGGCCAGTTCAATTTCCCCAGAGTGTTCATAACTCTAGTTAAGCAGGGAAAAGAACACAGTGTCAGAGACAGCAAGGGAAATGGACAGCTTGAAAGGGGTGGAGGAGGGATTTTGATTACCTATGAGCTCTGAGACATTAAAATAAGAACTGACAAAGAGATGATAAGGTTGTAAGAATGTCAACGAGAGGGGAGTGGCTAATATTGTTTTAGCTCCTCCCCTTTCGTATATTGTCCTGTAATGTACGTGCACACATTTGTACCTTAAACACATTGCCAACTACATGTCAAAGCATCAGCCATAACTAACACTTGAAATAAAACATTGTCGAATGTAGCATTTCTATCTGTACTGTGTTTGAATAGCTAATCACAGCCTAGAACAAACAGCTGATGCTTTAACAGTACGCAGTTTGCAATGTGCTTCAGGTGTAGATATCTGCATACATGTGAACACAGGAAGAGATATGAGAAAATGTAAACTACTTAATATTTAAAGTGACTGACCTTCATGATCATCATCATCATCGTCGTCATCATCATCATCATCATCATCATCGTCGTCATTGTCATGGTCGTTGTCGTTGTCGTTGTCATTGTCATTGTCATGGTCGTTGTCGTTGTCGTTGTCATGGTCGTTGTCGTTGTCATGGTCGTTGTCGTTGTCATTGTCATGGTCGTTGTCGTTGCCATGGTCGTTGTCGTTGCCGTGGTCATTGTCATGGTCGTTGTCGTTGCCATGGTCGTTGTCGTTGTCGTTGCCATGGTCGTTGCCATGGTCGTTGCCATGGTCGTTGTCGTTGTCGTTGCCATGGTCGTTGCCATGGTCGTTGCCATGGTCGTTGTCGTTGTCATTGCCATGGTCGTTGCCATGGTCGTTGTCGTTGCCATGGTCRTTGTCGTTGCCATGGTCGTTGCCATGGTCGTTGTCGTTGCCATGGTCATTGCCATGGTCGTTGTCGTTGCCATGGTCGTTGTCGTTGCCATGGTCGTTGTCATTGTCGTTGTCGTGGTCATTGTCATTGTCGTTGTCATTGTCATGGTCGTTGTCGTTGTCATGGTCATTGTCATTGTCGTTGTCATCGTCGTCATCATCGTCGTCGTCGTCATCGTCATCATCGTCGTCATCGTCATCATCGTCATCATCATCGTCGTCATCATCGTCATCATCATTGTCATCGTCATCATCCTCATCATCATCATCGTCGTCGTCGTCGTCGTCGTCGTCATCATCATCGTCGTCATCGTCGTCATCATCATCGTCGTCATCTTCATCGTCGTCATCATCATCGTCGTCGTTGTCGTCGTGATCAGCCATCAGACCTTGCTCATAGCGGAGTGGCAGATCCTGAGCATTGGCAGTTGGAGCCAAAGGGGTGTGGAAGGTGCAGAGCAGCGCCAGCAACACTGCAAGAATCAAACTTCTCAACGATGCCATGTTCACAGCCAGGACCGGGCCAGCTAATGAGGAATTAACCTGGAATCACTGCAGTAGTCCAGCACTGCAGCTCTTTGCCTATTTATCCCTAAAACACACAACCTCACAATTTCAAACCCACTCAGTGGTACACGAACTTTAGATGGCTAGAGGAAATGGACACCAATTATAATGGAATCCTTTAGACCAGGTCCAGTGCAAAGAAGATATTCCAAGCTGAGATCCAGACACTTGTTCCCAAGTCCTGGCAAAAATGATCCTTACAGGTGTCCTCCCTTTGAATCTGGGACACAAAGAGACAAGATGTCTTTTAGTCAAGTCCAGCACTTGTGTGATCAGTTAATACTGCAATAAGAGACTCAGAGGAGAGCTGTCCGTAACTGGTCAACGCCGGAGACACAGACAGGACTAATGTGAGAGCGACGGAAAAAGAGTGAGACCAACCTATGGGGTAAGCTGAGAGGAAAGGGGGGCAGTCAGGCTGATTGACAGGGGCAAATGCTGGTGGGCAGGCCTGCACTCTCCATAAGTTAAGTTACTGAGAGAAGAGGGGAGTGATTGGAGGGGGGGTATAAGGAACGAGTGGGACATACTTGCTTTGCGATCATCATCAAATGTTCAAGTTTAACTTTAGAACAAATGTTCAAGCTAAACTTTAAAGGGGGGCACAGCAGAACTTTGTCCAAGCAACGATGACAATATCGTGACATATGTTTTGAAGAAGATAGTTGAACATTAGCAGCAGGGCCGAGGTATAACGATGTTCGTACATCATTTGGGAGAGTAAGTTTGTCCATCCTTCCAATGCTATGGTCCAGAGTGAGGTATCTCAATAAGTACAGGCCAGAGTTCCGTGGCATTTGGTGTAGATGTTTCTTCTACCTGAGAATGATTATTAATGATTTTAGTGACTCCCATAGCAGTGTTTCCCAAACCTTTGGTGACCCACTTTGTGATAAACCGTCTTGACCAAATTCACAATAGGCCTTATCCATGATATAGATGTTTAATAAATCATAGGATTTTATGAATGAGACCAAATATATGCATTTGGAGGAGTTATCAGGCTCTTGTTTTTGTCCTCCCATCAGGAAAACAAACAGAAGTTATGCTAGCCTTTCATATTAGATTCAATGTTAGGTACAATTATAAAAACAATATGAACATTCAGGCAGCCTGTTGGTCAGAGGTGTACTGCAGATATAAATATTTGGTAAAAGACTATGGAAGAATTTCTGCAAATATATTTGCCCAACCTAATAAAATCTCCTGCGAACCACCTATGGGTCCCGAATGACTGCTCTAGAGTCCAGCATTTCCCTTAGATCAACCCTCCATTCCAGAACAATGTAACTCTTTGGATTTCTAGGACTTTTCCTTGGATATTCATGGTTGTAAGAAGATGAATCCTAATACTTTTGGTGATCCCCTGAATACTTGCATCATCACATTGCTGCTTCTTAGAGGACCATCCTATCCGTTTTGGAAGCATTTTTGCTTCCAAAACAGAAAGCATGGCCACAGTCATTCTCAGGTGAAAATTACAACTTAATATGCAAGACATCCAGCTCTAAATCACCAGAAAGGACATTGGTATTAAACCATTCTGCAAAGCCCTAGATTATGTTCACTGACAAAGTTTTTAAAGGTTCAGTGCCAACATTTTGTTTTTCTTAATTTCAAAATATCCATGCATAGCTCTTAAAGTTTGATAAAGATCATGACTATGGTCAATAAACTATGGTTAAGATATGTTAAGCTAAAACGCCAGGGTAAGATCATCGTTACAGTTAAGGTTACAAAAGGCATTGATAAAATTGATGGTTCATCTGTGATGGCAGTCTTCGGCATGGAAGTTGCCGTAGACTGCCGTAAATGCTACACACCCATCCACCACCCTAACCTTAATGCTGGGATGTGCTTGAAACAAACTACTTTAAACAAGGTGTCGTCCAACCATGCCTAAATGCAAAGTATTTTTAGCTGCTCCAAATGGACAGGGTGAAAAGCCTGCTGTCTAATAGAGAGGCAAAAAATATGAATTGATCAAAAGGGGATAACATTTCTCTCAATAAAAGTCCCTCCTTTAAGACATTCACGATGTTGCAACTCACTTGAACATATGGAAAGTAACAGAAGTAGTCATTTGTTCTGCATTCTCTCCAACACAATCATATTGTGAGTTGTAATGAACTTTGCAGCAAGTAAGTGCCACCAGTGAGGTATCAGACTTTAGGCTTCATAATCATTATTTAGAGCCACTGGACCATTATTAAAACATGTTTTTACAAATTCTGTCCAATAACTCCAGTATCGCCACCATGCTGATGCAGCCAGAGTGTATGCACGACCATGGGTATAGGCCAAACCTAGACACTGATCTCTAGCCCATCTTTTTGCCAGGCCCTCCCCCCTACGCGCTTCCCCCAAAATAAATGGATTTCTGCGGGGAGGAGTTGACAACCACTCTATTTAAAACCACACACTGTCAGAGTCAGTGTAATGTGAGCCTCTCTGGCTCTGTCTGTGTGGGACCAGCACAGTGTCCCCACCTCCCTGTCAATTCTGACCTACACATACATGAAGAAAGAGGTCAATGACAGGAACCTCTGAAATCACCTCCTAAACCAAACTTGACTAAAGTCAATAAATGCATGTACTTGTTTTTGCATTATTCTGTGATGCCATTGAAGGTATTCTCACTCCAGTAACCCCATTTTGTACAGATGCTAAAGAAAACACAAATGTTACTCACAAATGTTTGATCTTTTTAAATTCAAAAACAAATATGCTGTCACCGTAATTTTAATTAATTACTTATCATTTTGGCTCCCCTATTCATGGGTTTAAGTTAACATTACATTTTTGGGGTCAGTTCTGGTCCAGTTTTGGTAAAGGTCTCCCTAATGTAATTGTAAAAAGCAGTCCTGGTTTAATGAAAAGACAAGTTAATTACATTATAAGTACTGGAACATGTCACAGCTCAGACTCTCAATTCCAGTGGGCCAGGATACAAGGACTCTGAGAAAACGAAGACTTGTGAGCTGTTAGTGATTTGCTCTAGAACCTCATCTAGTCTCTCAATCAAATAAAACAGGGGCACCTGAGGATTGCCCAGCCAACAAATCCCAGCCTGGCACATTTGACAAAGAGGAGACATAACCTTGTATTAACCTATTCAAACTCCCACCATCACCATTATTAGTCACTATTTAAATCTTTAGCATTTAAATAGCATAATCTTTGGTACAACAGCAGGTTTGAGAACAAGTTCGTAATGAAGTTTCTAATGGTGATAGACTAGTGGCAGTGAGAAACAGCTGAGTTGGAAAGATCAGAGGATAAAATGAGAGAGGAGATCAGATCGAGATGAAGACTGCAATGTGGCTGAAAGTGGAGATGAGCTCAGACATGCCAAAGACATTTCTACTCTCTTACTTTGGACCACTGCCTGCCTGCAATGACCCACTTGACCCATTTAGTCAACAAGCTCTACTGTTTTATCCCTCCTCCCCATGCAGTCTTAAAGAGACTTTGGAGTTTGGAATAATAGCCCGTCTGCTTTAGCTTGGGGCAGATGTTGACATCTGAGTAAAGACCCTAACACAGGACCTCATTTAACTCTTAACATGTCTGGGTAAAAAGAAAAATAATAGGTGTTATTTATGGTGTCGGACAGGGTGTTGTGAGGTGAAGAGATGACAGCAAGTGCACTGCATTGGCCCATTCATCAACCAGATCTGACATACCCCAGCAGGACTCATTTGCCTCTGTGGATCTGATACAGTGCCACATCCAACCAAAGTTCTTTCCATGTAAGGGCTTTCTAAAGTAGGAAATCACTTTCCATGATACAGTTACCAAAGGGACTGGTGTGTGTGTGTGTGTGTGTGTGTGTGTGTGTGTGTGTGTGTGTGTGTGTGTGTGTGCTGACTGAAAATTATTTATTTTTTTCGACTGATACTTTTGTGTAATCATACTTGCAGGGTCTGCAATGGTAAACTCAAGGAAATAGCCATATGCTTTGACTATTAAGTTTGAAATGACATAAGCTCTCTGCTTTTCTTGTCTACTTGACTCTCATAGGTTACTAAACTATAACTGCCAGCCATATAAATTGAAGCATATACAACCTTGTCTAGAGTTACAAACTCAGTGCAATGTGCCAAAGTCTAGCTTTAAGCAGTGTGGGTGGTGACTGATTAAATCATGTTTCCCCTTGAGGCTTACCATATCTGTGTGCGCTTGCTGCTGAGACTACAAACCTGTACTCGTACTACAAACCTGTATACTCGTCTCAACCCGACCCAACGCCACTGTTGCTGATATTACCGTACAGACTCGCTGCCCTCGACACCTCCCATGCATGCCAAACTAACAGTATGCCAAAGGATACCGAAGAGGCTGACCGAGAACGTTGGGCTCAGATTTGTCTATATACCAGAGTCAAGACAGTAAACTCAGTTCTTGTTAGTCTGTTTGCCTGTTAGCTTGTGGATGTTATTCCTGCCGTATGTGTAGTTTGGGAAGACAATAGTTAGACAACTTTTGGTGCTGCTTAGTGTAAATAATTGTTTTGCATTTTTATTTTAATAGCATAAAATATTACAATTACTACAGTACGTCCATCTGTACCATCTCATGCACGTACTCGCAGCGTGCATGCTCATGCATGAACTGGTAATGGTGGATTGAACAGTAAGATTTTAAGAGTCACATGATGTTGCAAAACTAGGCAGAAGCCAGACTGCAGACAGCTAAAGCAACTACTTATCAAAAGAAACTATATTCTTTACTAGTTCTATCCTAATCTGGAACTAACTGTGGCAACATGCAAGCAAGACAATTAGACAACGAAGAAACTTGAAAAAACAAGATTTGACCATGGAAAACGGCCTGCAGTACAGGGCTCCCTCGTAACATGGTTAAAGAGGGCAACAAGTACTTCATTGCACAGGTAAAATCCGAATTTAACCACTCCAACACTGACCTGAAAACCTCTATCACTTCACTGGGATCACCGATAAGCGAAGTTTAACAGAGGGCAAACTGGAGTTGATGGACTCTGATGTGAATAAACTTCGCAAGGACAACAGGTGCTTGATGAACGAGGTTGACTACCTTGAAAACTCCAACCCACAACCCCTAATTGTTCAATACCTGAAGTACCATGACAGCGACAAGTCACTACACTCCACGACCATCATGTCAAAGGAAAAGGAAGCAATACTACACAATTAGAATTAGAACGCTTTTACTAATCCCCAGTGGGGAAACTCATTTGCCACCAAAAAACAATTCATACAGACAACAGTAGACATAGTTTCAACAGTGCACAACAGACAGAAAACACATTACAACAAATAAAGAACACCATGAAATGCCATATGAGACATGAATAACATCAGAAAGATGCTAAATCTAAAGGTGCTGGAACAAAGGACCTTCTGGGTCGTTCAGTAGAACACTGAGGAATCCTCAGTCGCTCACTGAATGAGCTTCTGAGTCCTTTAAAAACACAGTGATGGATGGCCTTCAAAATAAACAATTGTTTTAAACTTGGCCCTTGTTCTCTTTTCTACAGTGACCTCAAGTGAGTCTGGGGTAAGGCCAATCACTGAGCCAGCCTTTCTGATCATCTTATTGATCCTGTTTTTATCACAGTGATCCCCCCCCCCCCAGCAGAGCACAGCATAAAAAAGACACTAGCCAAGATCCCCTGATAGAAAACATGAAGAAGCTTCCTGCTGATGTCAAAGGATCTAAGCCTCCTCAAGAAGAAAAGTCTCGACTGAGCCTTCACAGGTTGGAGCTGCAGAAACCTCAGATATCACCGGCCTCAGTAGTTGAAGGGCCAGGAACACAAAATCTTCTCAACTTAGAGCAGGACCAGCCGACTCCAGCAGTGGGGGGTAGGCATGCAGACAATGTCAAAGTCCAGAGTAGAAGAGCTGCTTCTTCTGGATTATTATCTTCTGTGAAAGAGGCGTGGTGTGTCCGTGGCGGGAACAGCAAACCACTCCCATCTTACTTAACTGTATACTTTCTGTTTACCTTCTTTATCAGAATTAATACGTGTTAACTTACATAGCACATTCAAATCTTCCATATTTGCAGAATTATTGAAAAATATTACCAAACTGTTTTACATGAATCACTGAATAAAACCTATTCAATTGAATTAGAATAAATTAAACAACTACACAACAGCCAACTTTGTTATCATATCACATGTAGATAGATATGTGTACCTATATGCAAAGGAAATGAATGGGTAAGATTAATCTCAACATATCAACTCTAATGCGTCTCCTGTCCTGGTGAGAGGCAAGAGAAGGAGGCTGGAGTATCCTCATTTGTCTCTCTTGTGGACTGTGAGAATCTATGAGGAGGGAGAACAGTTCAAGCAAAACTATACGCTACTCATAAACTAAAACATTGCATTAGTGTTGATTTGAGTAGAATACCTAGCCTTTGTCTCTCAGCACTATTAGCGCCCTGGGGTCAGACAAACAGGTTCTGGAAGACGTTTTAATAATTATGATATAGGTTCATCATCATCCTCATAATTATCATCATCCTCATTATCGCCTTTCAATATTCTTCACCTCTCTGTCATCATCCGCAGCACAGGGATTTGCTATGTGGTTTCCATTTTGTTTGTTAGTAATTGTTGTATTGTTTCATTTTCTGATGGACCAATTTTAAATTCCACATCCATACTTAGGCTGTACATGGATAATGTAGTGATCCTTCAATGTTAATGGGCTTAACCAGGAGTGTTTCCAGGATTTGAGGACATTTGCCCACAGACCTCTCTAGGAAGGTCTGTGGGGATCCTCCCCCGCAATTTCCTTTGATAAACAAGCTGCATATTGATGCTTCTTTATGCACTCTGGCACCTTTTTTACATTCATTAATAAAAAAATAAAAACTGTTGTTTACATTCCAGATTAATTATGAATTGTGATGTTAAATATGTATTATAGTCATTAGTATTATATTGAGTAGAAACAATACTTCACATCTGCTATCACATTTATTGACTACAGCTGGAAATATAGTTATTTAAACGTCAACAGTGGTGGAATGTAATTCAGAACATTTACTCAATTACTGCACTTGATTTTACACTCTACACCACTACTACATCTCAGAGGGAAATATTGTACTTTTTACTGCACTAAATGTATCTGACAAATTTAGTTACTTTACATATTCAGATTATTTTAGGTTTTTAGATATATTATATTATTATATTAATATTTACAATATTATTTTAACGACTGTATTAAAGGATAATGTATTATTATAGATTAAACGACCCAGCAGTATATAAAGTTACTAAAATGAGCTCCACCTTTACCAGCTGCAACATTAAAGGGATAAACTTCTTAATGGATTAATAATTATGATACAATATTATGATATATTATTCTGCATAATGAGCTTTTACTTTTGTATCTTTGAGTATATTTTGATGATCATTTTTTTGTGTAGTGTGTGCACTGTTTACTCCTCCATCATCTGCTGTCTGTCTGTCTTTCTCTCTCCACTGTGACTTAAAGAACGTGCATTCGCAAAATTGTAAAAATGAGTCCTTCCCCATTTTAATTTGGAGTCAAGTCGTAGTGTAAAGTGGTGCTGTGCAATTTATGTTTTTAAAATAAAATCAAACGCCACCTACAATCATAAGAATTTATATTTCAGTATGATCATATTAGAAATCATACTGCAGGCTCACTAAGCCTAAACTTCCTTCTCTACAGAAAGATTGATTTGTTTTTCTCCCACTTGGACCTTTACTCTCTTCCCTCTGTGAGTAACTGATGAACGTCCCCCCCGCGCACACACAGTTGGTTTGGAGACCTGCATTTACTTTCAGGACTACACTGAAAGAAATATTAGAAACATTCGGGGCATAAGCCCCGGGAAAATGACCTGGCGACGCCACTCAGCTTAACAGTCGTGTGTCGGAGAACTACGGTGGCCTTCAGGTAATGGAAAAACGTGAAAGGCCCCTCTTGACTTGCCCATGCTAGGCTTTGGTATAGAAACATGGCTGTGGACTCCGTGATTATACACCAATGAGTATGTAATAATGAATATTATATTCCATTTCTTCCCATAAAGCTACCTTGATTCTACATTGGTCCTTTACAGTGAGAGAGAGGAATATTATCAATAGGCAATGACTGAATTCTGAGCTGCAACGGTAACCCGGTTAAATCCATCATTTGCCCCCAACTGCAGTGTATGAGCAAAACAGGCTGTCTCTCTTAACAGACTTCTGACATTACTGGATCGGTATAGCTCATTTTCAGGATATAAGATTAAAATGGACTACTCCCTCCAGGTGGTCGCCTCAGGGGTTCAAGTTATAGGATTAACACTGGACAAATACTTAAAGAATCTCCCATTTTTTGAAAATGGGAGATTCCCAAAATTTGAAGTGGCCCTGAACAGGTGGCTAGACCTACATTTTAATGGCGAATTAACGGCGTATCTGCTGTCAGCATTTTACCATTATTATATGATTGTAACCAAATAATTGAGTTTTATATGACACAAGTAGAGTCCTTAATTTGAAACACCTGGACTTTGTCTGTTTGGTCTAGAGACAGATGAAGTCACTTGAATGTATGACTTAATTTAGGACTACAACATGTCCAGTGACCTGGACAAAAGTGAGCTAGTAAGATGAAGTGGTGCAGGAGGAACCTCACACCTATATCACCTTTTATGTCATCCCAACATGGGCTTTAATTACAGATGCTTACCATACATTCTTTGCTCAACTTGTCACAGCGTTGGCACAACGGTCAAAAAACTATGTTGCTCCGCAGACTGATTAACCTCAACTGAGGGCTGTGACGTAGTCAGTAATGCAACTAAAGGAGCATTTCCACACATTTGTTACACAAATCATTTAAGACATCTTACTAAGTCTCATATGGCTCTTACACATGGTCTTTAGCTTAGTTTAGATTGGTGCTGTTGTTAGAAACTAGCTAATACACATAGACAGGAACAATTTGAAACAGACATTCATACTGCACTCGTTGATTTTATTGGTTTGTTTTCTCACTGTATCTTTATTTTGATATGGATTAAACTAAATGAGGTTGATAAAAAAAGAATGAGCTACAAGAGGCTAAAAACCTCTGACGAGCTGAGAGAAAGTACAGTTCTTTTTTTGTGACCCCTTTCACATGTTAGCAATTTGATACATTGTTAATATAGAACATTGATTAGTGCAGTTTAAAAAAGGTTTTCATCCTATAATACAATTTTATCTCATAAATGGTGATATTGTTCTTACTTAATGAACTTAGCAGAAATATTAATAAGGTAATCTACTAACATTTGGGGCATAAAAAAGCCCCCATCTGGCATCTGCAGTCGGACTGTAGCAGACAGTAATGCATGCCGGCACTACTGTTAAACATATCAGCATATTATTTGTCTAAATTAAAATGCATTTTAATTCATCACAGTAAAACAAATGACATGATTAGCAGAATAGCAAACATGGTGCACTTTGACACAATGGCCCTGAGTAAACTGTGTGTGAGTGAGTGTGTGAGTGAGTGAGTGAACGAACTCCTGGAGTTCAGGAAGTCAGCTTGGAGCCAGTCGAGTCAGATCTACAACCAAAGAAAAGAATATTATTAATCCAAAATAGGATACTCCAACAAGACAAAATATTGATTCTCTGTGGCGGCAAAGAACACAAAAACAATACAAGCTGATCCAGATGCTACAGACACAGCACCTCACAAACATTAATATGTGTCTACTGCATCTTATGGACTATTTGACAACATCATTATACAACAATTAGTTATAATATAGTGTTCATCAAAACGTAAGGGCTTTAACCTAGATAAAATAAGGCATCCATTGGTGCCATGTCATAGCTCGTCAGGAAGGCAACAATAATGCTACAACATTTGGCTTAATTTTGGCAAGGAAAAGAACTGCGATGACCATATTCACATTGGTCCTTTGACCTCTAACTTCAAGATATCTAAATGAAAATGGCTTCTTTGGGTATCCACAAGTCTCCTCTGTACATCAAGGCCCACTTTGCTAATCCCATGCCCTTTCGGGCAAAAGCCATGCAGTTTTTCTTTTGTTTTTTTGTAATCTAAAATACTGTATTTAAATAGTGAGTCCCTAAACAGTCTTGAAGTTGCATAAATTGGGTATGACTGGAAAGCTGAGACTGCTGTGGATCCAATGAGCCCAACCGTATCCATATGTGATGATGTTAGTCTGCAAAGTAGCCCATTCATTGCAGGCAGACAATTTGTTTTTAATTTGACGTCACTGTAGAATATAAACTGTTGTGACCTCTAGGATAATCACAAACTCGTGGGAAAAATGCAATTCCTTCAGAAATCTCCAAATTTAAAATGTTTTGTATCACAGCATAGATTTTTCTAGGGTGTTCCTTAAGTTCTTAGTGACTTAAGGTGGTATTTTGACCAGTGTTTAATCCATTCTCAAGTGGTAAATAGGGAAATTTTGCACCAAAATATTGCTGCAATAATTTATGAGACATGATATTGACATAATATATTATGCGAATGGCCATCAAATACTTCCAGCTTAATGTTCTAAGCCCTCTTACACTCTAAACTGTCAACATTTTATTGAGCGCCTAATGAAAACAATGTTTATTACAGATTTATGACAAAAAATCTTCAGGTTCAGATGACGTACTCTACTTCTATGTGGCATATACTGTTGACCTGCTGTCTCCCACTAAAGAGCCCGTCCCCACCAAAAAAGACAAAACCGAGTCTATTGTAGGTAGCAAGAGGGTGGAAGAGGTTATATTATTGCCTACTCATCTCAACACATCATCATATTAAAAACTTCAGAAGTTGTCCAAACTGTGGGATCGTCTGACTGCTCATGTTGCCAGTTCCCCTTCTTTAAAAGGGTCATAGTTAGATGTCCTGTGGTTTTACCTCTGAGGAGCAGAGGGGAGGTGGCCAGCCTTTATCAGATTACTCTGAGACAGAGCGTCTGTCATCCAGGAGAGGGCGCTGCAGCAGTACTCCAGCTGGGAGAGAGATACACAGACAGAGTTAGATGAGTGCTGAGCAGGCAGAGCCGACAGCAGCAGGGAAACCAGACACACTATGCACACACAGATATATATACTCATATCAATTTACTCATACATGCAGAGATTGTACACAATAAAACAAAGCACACATACTGAATTTTGACAAAATACAGTAGGTGGGCTGGCTCAACCAGGAAAATGTCATTTAGAGAATTTTTTAAATAATATTCTGGCCAAGATAAACGGCACTGACTTGGAGGTACAGATGGAAAACCTGTCAAATATTCAGTTGTGTCTCTGGGCTAAAGATGCCTCCTGCTATAGATGTTCCCCAGATAGATGTTTCCTTGTAAGAGATATCTCTAAACTAAATACAAATACTTTGTATAAAGAATTTATTGGTAAAACAACTCAAAATTTTCTGGCCTTCAAAAAAGCCTGGATTATGGTTCTAGGCTGCAAAAACTGATTATGACTGGTACAGATTAGGCTCACTAGATCTTTCATGTGCACTAAGATGTTGCTGACCTCTGTCTCCAGCAGCCGCAACCTTCTGTCATGGTCTCGGATCTCTGCCATTTGCTTTAGCACACTGTCCACCCTGTGAAAACAAATACATACACATAATCCCATTGCAAACCTCAGCTAGAATGTCAGTCTGAGTTCAGATCAGTTCAACACGATGGAATGATCACAAAAGGACTTCAGAAACTTCTATAAGTAAAAGAAAAATGTGTAAAAGTAAAAGTTAATGAAAGGTGTTCTTACATTTTTGGTCAGTGTCAGTCACATTTAATAAGAACACATAATAAAAACATTAGAAATTCCCAAAAAAATATTGTGGCCAAGATATTGTATGTAGTGAGCAGGGCATTTTATAATGGAAGGATACACCCGTCAGTGGACTAACACAGTAATGAAGACGCTGTTTCTAAAACATATGACATTTCTGACCTACATTATCTTTCATTGACCCTTTATGAATCGGCTGGAAAGGAGTCTTCCTTGGGGAACAAGAGTCTATGCGACAGCGAGTTGCTTTCGGGATGTCGCTGACTTTGGGTACTCCAAACAGAGACTCCAGCCTTCTTGGAGTCTCTGGGTGGCATTCTGGAAAGGGCAGCGACTGGGGACTCTATAGTTCTGCTCAGGGACTTCAACGCTCATGTGGGTAACGATGGAGAAACCTTGAGGGGGTTTGTTGAGAGGAACGGCCTGCCTAACCCAAGTGGTGCCTAGTTGTTGGACTTCTGTGCTAGTCATGGATTGGCCATAACAAACACCATGTTCGAGCATAAGTGTAATGGGTACCAGAACACTCAACGCCGAAGTTCTATGATCGACTTTGTGGTCATATCATCAGATCTGCGGCCATATGACTCAGGTGAAGAGAGGAGCAGATGGTGGGGAGGCTGCAGTCCTGGTTAACCCAAGCGTGTGGTGAGAGTGAACTGGTAACGTCTGGCTGAGGACCCTAACCGTGAGGTCTTCAACTCCCACTTCCGGCAAAATTTCTCCTGGAGTGGCTGGGGGCATGGAATCCGAGTGGGCCATGTTCAAAGCCTTCATTGTGGATGCGGCTTCTAGGAGCTGTGGTCGGAAGGTCATCGATGCCGGTCGTGGCAGCAACCTGAGAACCCGCTGGTGGATACCATCTGTGAAAGAGTCCATCAAGCTGAAGAAAGAGGCCTTTTCGGGCCTTGGGTCTACGGAAACGCCAGACAGGTACCCGTTGGCCAGAAGGCCTGCAGCTGTGGCGGTTTACCGAGGCATAAGCCCAGGTGTAGGAGGAGTTCTGGGAGACCATGGAGAAGGACTTTTGGTTGGCATTAAGGAAGTTCTGGTAAACTGTGAGACGACTCCGAAAGGGAAAGCAGGGCTTGGCTCAGGCTGTGTTCAACAGGGGAGGAGAACTGCTGACACGGACTGGGGAAATTTTTGCGCGGTGGAAAGAGCACTTTGAGGAACTCCTGAACCCGACCAACATGTCTTTGTGGAGGAGGCAGAGTTTGAAGACTCGGGGGAAGACTCATCCATATTCCTGGCAGAGGTTATTGAGGTACTCCTCAGCGGCAAGGCACCAGGGGTGGATGAGATTTGCCCTGAGATGCTGAAGGCCGTGGACATTGTTGGGCTGTCTTGGCTGACAAGCCTCTTCAGTGTTGCATGGAGGTCAAGGACAGTGCCTCTGGAGTGGTGGTTCCAATTGTTAAAAAGGGGGACCAGAGTGTGTGCACACTGCTCAGCCTCCCAGGGAACGTTTAATACAGGGTACTGTAAAGGAGGCTCAGACCGATTGTCGAACCTCAGAGCCAGGATGAGCAATACGGATTCCGTCCTGGCCGTGGAACAGTGGACCAGCTCCTTAACCTTGCAGGTATGTTGGAGGGGTCATAGGAGTTTGCCTCTCCAGTCTATATGTGTTTTGTGAACTTGGAGAAGGCTTACGACCATGTCCCTCGGGGAGTCCTGAGAATACAGGTTACCCGAGTCGTTGCTACGAGTCATCCGGAGTTCAAGTATCTCGGGGTGTTGTGAGTGAGGGTAAAATGGAGCGTGGATGGAGTTATTGGATGGATGGATGGATTATATTTTTAGATATTAGTTTACATAAAAGCCGGTACCAATATATTTAATAATTGTATGCTGATATATTGGCTGGGTTCTATATTTCACATTTCTTTTGTCAGTCAAATATAATTGTACATGATGAATGGTCAGTTCTCACCTTGAGAATCAAAATAGCTCTTACACATTCATATTTTTTAACATTTCCCTATTTCACAACAATAGCAGATGCAACTTACTTGACGGATGTACATTTAATTCGTACTGTGTCGGTTTCCCTCTGCTGCTTATTCTGAGCTGAGAGGTGGTTTTCTTTCTGGATAGCCTCCCATGTGTTGAGGCAGCTAGCCGTCTTGCCCCGCAACTCCAGAACTGAGGACAGAGAAGATCAGTAAAGTAACTGGAATGAGGGCAAGAGCAAAAAGCGCACTTGCATGCACATGTCCTCCACCAGTTGGAGACTGGTACTAAAAACAGGATCACGTGCTATGCCTGTGAGCCATTTTGGACAGATGCCTAAACCACCACAACTGGATCCTTTCAATGTAAAAGGAGCATGGTTCTGTTCTGAGTTCTAGTTATCCGAGCGTCATATAAAGCAAATACATGACAGGACTAATTCATGGATTGTCCCAGACAAAGACAGGCTTAGCACCCCTCCTGTTCTGAGCTAGTAGACTAGCTTGGAATGCATCTGAGATATATATATATATATATATATATATGTAAGTTGCTCTCCTTCAACAGAGAATTAAAAACATAATTGCTGACAAAGTGAAACGTGGTGGAGCCTCGCATCATCTGACAAACAACTTGACATGCTACCAAGAATGCGAGAGACAGCTCTCTGACCAACTGGCCTGGCACCCCAAGACACAGCTGTAGGTCCACTTCAAATTAACCAAACACATCTAGACTGAATGAGCCAACTCCATGACCTATACCGAGTAGTAGCGCAAGAGCTAATTCATGCAAAACGGTACATGTGTCCCTGCCTTTGGCCTTTTTGTCTTAGCTTTTCTTTACTGCTCCCTGCTAAATGCTTGTTCTCCTTTCCCTCATATCCTTTCTTCATGCTTTACTTCTCACCAAAGTGTTTGATTTTGACTGAGGGGATCTGGTAGTAGAATCTCTTGATGAAAAGGTGGAGGTGTGAGATGATGATGAAGGGCGGTGCCAGGCAGGGTCTTGAGTGATACTCCTTAATCAGGTTGTAACGCTGAAACTTCCAATAGGTGTCACTGTGCTCCTGTACCTTTGAGAAGGTGTGGCTGTAGACAGTAAATTGAAATCTCATTATGCAATATACAGAGAGCAAAAATGATTTCCTACTCTATGCTGTACAACATATAACATGTTTGGAATCTGTTTAATTAGAAGAACAGCACTGGAACTGAAGAAAAACATTAGAACTGCAAGGGTACCTGAACATAGCAATGAGTAGGTTGACCAGTACTATGTTGGTAAACAGCAGGTAGATGACAAGGAGGATGACAACCAGCCAGTTGGAGTAGGTGCTCATACAGGGCTCCTCTCCTGCTTCAATGAGTGTGGCGTTGTTTGTACAGGGTACTTCCACCAATTTATCAGCTAGAAGGAAAAACAATGAAGAGGTCCTTAAGAACATGAGGATCTACGCAACCCATTTACAAGCACCTTAAAGTGCAACATCCATTTGAACTATTAATGGCAGCTTACGGTTTGTATTGCTTTATATTTCACAAAGTATCATGAATAATCTGGCGTCTGAGTGAGTGAATGAGTACAATTATAAAAATTTAAAATTTGTAAAAGTCTACATGGTGTAAGTGAATGAAGGCATCATCATTAACCTTTTTTATACTGTTTTATTCACTATTATGCACTATTTTATTCCACGCAGAATTTGTTCATGTTGCAAATCGCTAAACCAAGTGGAAAGGTACATCTAAAGGAAGGCTCTGCAATTTGTTTTGTCTAAGAATGTCATGTTAATCTTGAAAGAAAACGTGTATATTAATTTTACAAAACTGAGATGATTTGAATGAAATAATGTTTCAGGGATTTAAATTGACTTCTTTCATATAGTTTAAATTAACTTGAACTTTTATCCATCCATCTATCCATTATCTTTAACCGCTTATCTTGCTCGTGGTCGTGGGGGGGCTGGAGCCGATCCCAGCTAAAAGTGGGCGGGGCGCAGGCTACACCCTGGACAGGTAGCCAGACTATGGCAGGGCTGACACAGAGACAGACAACTATTCACGTTCACACCTACGGGCAATTTAGAATCATCGATTACCCTAAGCTACATGTCTTTGGACAGCGGGAGGAGGCCGGAGAACCCGGAAAGAACACATGCTGATACAGGGAGAACATGCAAACTCCATTGACATTGAGGGAACCAAAGGTCATTGTGCTTGACAGAGATATGGACGGGTATATTGAGACTGAGTCGGTCACCATCCATTTCATGTATAGGTATTTGTCCAAAGATGTGCAGGTATGGTCTGTAGAACACTCGGCGGAATATCCAACCAGGGCGCGGATCATACGAGTAAAGGAGGGCCTGATTGGTCACTCCGTAAGCCAAGAGCCACACAGCCAGAAAGAAAAGGAAGAAGAAAACATCCTTCATCTGCGGGAAGCAAAGAGAGACCAGAGATGGATGATGTTATAGGATTGGCTATGTTGTGAGGTCATGAATAGGACTCATTTCAATCATATTGACTGTTTCTAGTACATTATATGCACTACCATCAACCACCATTAACAACAAACAGAGGGTGAGCAACATACAGTATATCTTTGTAAAAGTGTTTTCAAGAAACCCTAACTTTTAGTTAAACAACTCTTTGTATGTCTGATGTTACTCTTTCACATTGCATTTTCATTCATTTGTGTGTTGCCCATAGGTTGTTCTGAGAGTTTTGTGTGCACTCACCATTTTGCCAACGATGATGATCTTGGGCCCAAGCTGTTTGTGGACGGCAAAGATATGGATCAGACGTAGTGTGAAGACCATAAAATCTATGGCCATGACAGCTCGGCCAACATCATATGACCAGGGAAACATTCTGGAAAATAAAATAATGCATTCCTAGGTAATATGTCATGCAATATAATCACCTTTATTATGAACTAATACAACCAGATAATGACAAAATAAACATATTGACATGGTCTCTGCCTGTCCTCCAGCCTTTCATTGCGTTTCTCTGGGTACATCCCAAGTCTCTTAATTACATCCCAGTTTCCCTTACTTGGAACCCCAGCGAGGAAAGAGGAAACAAGGAAATATGTTTTAAGAGAAAAGAGATGTCCTTTCCTCTGAATCGTCATGTGAAGCGACGTCTGTTTCTGATGACGGAGGATCAGCTGTCAGACGGTTTTAACAGCTGGAGAGACTTTTGATGGAGTTTGTGTCTGTTCACATGATCGCTATACTTAATAAGTAACTAATAAACTGCATTGTAAATTCATACTGTGTTCTGTTTCCTGTTCATAAGCGCAGGACCGATTTCTGCCAAATTATTTGCGTGTGTACGTTTTGAAATTCTGATTGTGACGTCATTATTAATTCAATTATTAATTAACCTAGGATATGATTATGGTTTGGAATTAATTTATTAGGCTCCATGTTTCAGGTTAAACTTAAATGATACAACTCATCAAACCCGACACTCCGGAATGATCAGCCTCACGTGACTGAATGAAATGATGATAAATGATGTAAAAAGTGTTTAGTCTCTCCAGCTCTCTGACTTTAATTGTATCCATAATAAAAGTTATTCAGGGAAATATCTGTGACAAAGTTGCCATTTGTCCCCATATTACACTGATCTATAAATCTAACCATGCTTGTCAATTGTTTGTTTACCATACCCACCATGTGTTCTAGAGGTTAAAGGGGGAGGCACCCAACCATTTCCTCTATTAATACACTGGATGATGTCATCAGTGATGTCATTGGGTCAAACCAAGTATGGGGGCGGAATAGAGTATGTACATGTAGATTTGTAGGTTAGTTGTGATCCGTTTTACATTGTTGTGAGTGTATAGGAAATTGTAAAACATATCAAATTGTTGGCTACCTAAAGGGGTGCTGTAAGGTATAGCTTTTATCTGTTAACTATTGGAGTCAGTAATTGGTGTATCCTGCACTCATGGTAGGAACTAGATCCTGCTGATAGAAGATATAAGGAGATGACTTTGACTGAACAGGGGAAAGGAAGATCAGTGTGTAGCTGTGTGTACGTGATTATGTTACTTTATGATGAGTTGAGTTTTATTCAGTTAAGATAAGTTAACCGTTTGTTTGTATATACGTTTGGTTACACGTGTAGCCGGGCACTTAAATAAAACACCTTTTTGTTATCTGGACAAAGTCTCTCGTGTCTGCCTCCTACCACTTCAGAAGCCACTTCGGTCAAGCTTCAGCACAATATCAGATCATGAAAAGACAAATCTTTCTAATAAATAAAGTTGTTTGTGGTCCTTTTGTTGTTCAGACCTACAATGAACATATATTTAAATCAGAAAACTAATCAAATATAAAACTAGAGTTTAATCTGTGATCTATCTTCACTTTGGTATGAAACTCCAGTGATGTTGAGAACAATCAGATCAGTCCAATCAGCTGCATCTCATCATCTAATCAACTTCTGCAGTACATCAACCTTGGCTTCCCTCCCAGTCTACTTCAGATTGTTCCATCTACTACAGTGGTAGCTACATTCTTAGGACAAAGTAGATGTTGTGAGACTTCCTGTGTTTTTTGTAACGGAGTTAATATTCCGTTTCCTTGTACTCAGATCTCCACCTGGCTCCAAAATTACATTGGTCAGGGTGTCAGAGGAGTCACCTGCAGCACAAAGCCAAAGTGAAGAGAGTGATGGCTGTGAGGTCACACTTGTTCCACACATCCTGGATGTAATTCCTCATCCTCTGGAGCACAAAGGTGCTGCCCACAAAGAAGGTCTGTCAACCAGATAGAGAGGAGTCACATTATTATGTGGATCTGTGCAGTGTACAGTAATGTCAGTGAGAGAAATATGTGTTTTAGGTTAAGTGGTCACAAGTTAGCATTCAAACTGATGGGGTGTGTTTCCTCAGGTTTTGGGGAGAACATGAAATACAATCCAGTTTGAGTAACAGATGCATAAGTTTGAAGGCTTATCAGACACCAAAACACTGCAGAGCAGATTATAACTATTGTAAACAGTAGAACTATGTGGCAATATCTGTGTGCATGCTATTGTCTTAGAAACCAACCTGCCGAATCTCTTCACACACAAAGGTGAAAACCCAAAAGTAAAGCACAAATTCCAGAGTGGACGGGCCGTCAGGGGGTGGGGGCTTGAAGTCCACCAAAAGAACATAGGCAAACAGGTAGAGGAACAGGAAGTACATCAGCACGTTGCCAAGGAATGAGGTAACAGGGCTATACCAGAACTGTGTCCACCGTGACACAATAAATGGTCTCTTGGAGTCTGAAGTAAAGAGAAGTCAAATAATGAAAACAGGAATGATTCAAAGATGTCAACAAGTCATTGAAAACATATTAACAAATACACTCAGTGGCTAACACAAACATCTGTTTTTCAATATTTAAAAGAGAAACTTCAGTATTTTTAAACAGACCACATTTCCTCATGTCTTTGTATCTAAGGGACTAATGGGTTTCAGGATGAGAAGGAGGCGGAACACACATCAAGGTGTTTTATGTTTATTGTACAAGCATGGTGATAACTACAGACATCTCACTATTATGAATACAGACTATAATATACTTGCTGAAATCATATCTTTTAATAGATTAAAAGATATATTAGACAAAATTATACAAAAAGAACAAACGTGCAATTAAAGGTCGACTGATGTGGGACAACTTGTGCATATTAAGAGAACCAGAAAAAAGGTTTCTATGTTATTGGGCTTGATCAGAAGAAGGCCTTTGATTACATCTCCAGAGATTACCTTTGGGCTGTGATGAAGTCATACAGCTTCCCCGATGCCTTTATTCACATAGTGAAATGTCTGTATGTTAAATCAAGTATCTGTGTAAATGTAAACAGAGTTTTAACTGGAGCCTTTCAAGTGGCGAGAGGAGTGAAGCAGGGCTGTCCTCTGAGTGCTGCTCCTCGCCATGAATCTTAATTTAAAAAATCAACTCAGATCATCTAATCTCAGGTACACATGTAAGGTTACAGCCATCGCTTACGCTGATGACATCACGGTTATCATCAAAAATCAGTTGGGGATGGATGCTTTAACCAATAATCTAGCTCTGTACAAACTAGCATCTGGAGCTATATTAAATCATAACAAAACAGAGGGAGTTTGGATCGGAGATGAACGTGACAAATGTAATATTAACATGAAAGTTAATCAGGAAATTAAAATACTGGGTTTCAATTTTTGTAACAGAGAAAGTAGTGAAAAAAACTGGGCGAAAAAGTTGTGTGAAATTAAAGAAGAGGTGAAAAGAAAATGGGAAAACAAAAAAAACTACTTTTTTCATCAAACATTTTTCCTCCATCCAACAAAATGATAATCCAGTTGAACAAACAGTGTGTAAACTTAATCTGGGGAACAACCAGGGATATGTATAAAAGTAAAGATTATGGTGGGTTAGGCGCTCTGGAGCTCGGTGTTAGATTATATATTGCCTTTGTTAAAATTATTTCTGCCGCCATCTCCAGAAACGCTCTCTGGGAAGGAGATCGCTCCATGTGGAGAAAGAGGAAAGGGAGACTTAGACAAGGTCCTGAATATAAGGTAATATATGGAGATTGTATTACTCAACAAATACACCTACAGACTGGAATGGTCTATTGAGTAAAAATGTTTTGAAAAAGATCAATGATTTCAAATATGGTGGATTATTAAATACAAAAATGTAATCGATATCGAAAGTGAGGAAGTAATAAAAATATTAAAAAACAAAAACCTCTCGGAGAGCATCAGAGATGTCCACTGGCTCATATCGGTCAACAAACTCGCTGTAAGAGCCACTATTTCATGGAGTTATTAAATAACTAAAAAAAATGTCCCATGATTTATTCTAATGAGGACGAAACACAATATCTACTCATTCCATGTGAATTATGAATCTGTTATGTTTGCTCTGTTCGATGAGAAGATGCCTGTGAAACAACGAAAACTTTTCCAACTCATTGTCAGCATCACATGTTTTAAACTGTGGAAAACCAGATGTGTCGTGGTAATAGAGCAGACTGTTATAGACAGCCACATGGTAATAAAACACATACTCTGACCTCAGGAGGAGAACTCTGGATAAAAACCAGACCCTCCCGTGGCACACACTCAGCTTTTGATCCATGCACACAGCACTTTTTTTGTATCTGTACCGGTTTTTGTATATTATGCAACATAATAATTTTAAAACAATATTGTCAGTATAAATATAATTTTATAAGTACACACAGTTATCAAATATACAAATGTGGACATGCAACAGAGGGGTACAGTAGCCACTGAGTGTAAGTACCAAAAGGAGAACAGTGATCCAAACCCACCTTTCAGCTTTTCTTTTCGAGCCCTCAACTCCTCGGATTCTTCCTCACTGTGACCCCAAACAAAGAATAAGGGACTTTTGTTACAACTGAGAAGGAAAACCGTCATACAACACTATCTGATTTATGTTATCTTATATATTTGTATTTACTTTTGTATGTCAGCAAGGGAGAAGACGGTGGCATCATTTCCATCCAGACTGTCAGCGTCTCTGCCGTGGTGGACCTCCACAGACTTATCTTCCTCCTCTTGTGCTCTGAAACATGAATGCACACCACAAGCTGACATGTTTTCTTTTCTTAGCAACCCATTGAAAAAAATTTGTTAAAAAGGAAAAACTGTTACTTTCTTAACTTGCTGATTTTTATATAATAATAATAATATATATATATAATAGTAATAATGCTGTATGTGTTACTCTCAGCTCTCGAGTCATCCGAGTCAACATGGAACAGATTCAACAGTGTGCAACAATGTGTATGAAATTGTGCCCTTATTTACAGAGCTCGGGATATATACATATCAAGGCCACGATTTACTAATTCAATTAAATTATTAAATTATTAATTAATTTACAATTGAATTTAGTAGTCCCCCTTGTTTGATTAATGCATGGGCACAATTTAAATCAAATAGAGATCAAATAATTTTGGAAGTGTGCAAGGCCCTGTCCTTGTATAATATGCTCAAAGACCCGTAACTGAACTGAACATTTTTTACCTATGAGTGTGTATTAAATAACAAGTGCGCTGTGTCCTCTGCCAAAGCATCCTATTTATCTTTCTTAATAAGAAACGATAAACACAATCGTAGTTCTCTTTTTGACACTGTAGCTAAACTCACTCAAAAACACCTGTATGTTAGCTGCTTGCAATTGCAGCTTTCTAGATTTTTCTGCAGAAAAGCCGATGAAATTTAGATATAAAATGAGTTCCTCTCCAGCTATTTCTGTATGATGTGCGGTGCAATATTCACATGTGGGATCCCAGTTAGTCTCAAAATGTGTAAGGACAGAGACTATCTTCCTTAATCATTGTCTAAGATGATACTAGCTTCTAAACCAACTAGCTGCCTCCTCAATCAGCTAAACATATTAACAATTTCTGGCCATTTCTGACACCTCCCATTCTAATTATTGTTAATTTGTCAATTAAGAACTTAGTAGCTTAAAGACTGCGGTGGTTAAACCTCTATTTAAGAGATTACACCTTGATCCAGGTTCTTTGACTCGTCTGAGAAAAGCACTGGAAAGAGTGGTGTCTAAACAGCTCTCAGACCATTTAAATAGTCATCTTTTCTCGCCTTTTCAGTCTGCTTTCAGGACCTGCCACTCAACCGAAACTGTGCATACTAAAGTCGTAAATCTTTATATTGATAAAGAAATATCAGTGCTGCTTTTTATAATATGGACCACTCGAAGACTGACTGGAAAATCGATTTGGTGTCTCTGGCCTGGCTCTCACGTGGTAACAATCTTACTTAGCTATAAGATTACAGTGTATTTTCTATTACAATATTATATCATTTTTTTCTGACGTGAAATACGTAGCACCACAGGGCTCTGTTCTTGACCCCATGCTCTTCTCTCTTTACATTTCACCTCTTGGCCAAATTATACACAGACATGGAATTAATTTCTGCTACTACGCTGATGATACCCAGCTGTATGATCCTGTAAATGCAGATGATCATTCCTACAATATTCAATCTGAGGCCAGGAACACTTCCCCTTTCCCATACGATATAATATCATCGTATGAGTCAGTTGAAATAAAATACTTACTGGTTCCTACTGGTACTTAAATGTAGGTACAGCAGAACAAGGGAGTAACAATTGGTAATTTTAGAGAAAAGGAGAAATAACTGTTAGAGTTTGTGTACTTACGGGGTTATTTCCCTGCAGGAAGATACTGATCACCGCAGTTTACTTAAAGCAGGTGTCTTCAACGTTTTTCAGACCAAGGACCCCCAAACTGATAGCGAGATGGAGCAGGGACCCCCTGCTTTATATATTTTACACAATTGTGTTTTATATTAAACTGAGCCTAGTGCCATGTATAAACATACCTCTTTATTGTGCATTCAATACTAAGCTATTCAAATAATACACAGGTTCATATATTCATGTTTTTATTTTAAACATGTGCAAGGTACAGTGAGTAGGGAGGCCGTACCACTCCCATTTATAGACACACCGTGTCAGCTGATACCAATGCCAATATCAACATTGTCTGTCAATTGCATGATAATCATGCATACAAATTGACGTTTTTATTTTAAACATAAATGTGGAAACAAAAATGAGTGATGGGCCATTAGTGCCACTGCCATGCATAAACTATAAATTCTTTTTTTTTTTCTTCTTTTTTTTAGAAAAATCAAATCAATTGCTTTTTCAGTCCACTAGATGGTGCCGAGTTATTTTCTGGTGAGGACAGCAAAGGTCCCGGGTCAGCGTGGTTGGTAGGAAGTTGGTCAAAACAAAGATGGAGACATCTGGCCTCACAACGGGGTTAAATCTGCCAACAGTAGCCAAGCTCATGGGGAGAGTGCAGCGCATAACTGTCTCTCTGCCCTCGACGTCCACGCATCGCAAGTTATACTGAGTTATATAACTCTTATATCTTACTTATATAAGTTATAGTTCATATACTGAGTCTACACATTTGAATTTAGTTAAGTTGGACTATGTAGTAATACAAACAGTTCAGTTTGTCAGGTTCATGCAACATTTATGACATTGTTGGTCAGTCTGTCTGCTTGACAATCCTATTTTGCTGCAATAAAAATGATTGAAGTGAGATGAACAGACTGAAAACTTTATCTTATTAGATAAAACATGTTGACACAGTTTTCCTTTGGGAACATCATTTGAAGTTGAAAAAAGTAATAAATCGCAATACTCAGAATATCGCAGTATCGTGATAATATCGCAGTATCGTGATAATATCGTATCGTGATCCAAGTATCGTGATAATATCGTATCGCGGGACCGCTGGTGATTCCCACCCCTACTAAACACTACTCCACTACATCTCAGGATGTTCTACATTTGTCTGACAGGTTTTGTAAACTTTTCAGACTGTAGAGGCTGATGAAATACAAATTATGTTTATAGAGTTGTAAATACAATAATTAAAAATGTGTTCAAGTCAAGTTGCTCAGATTGGTTTAAATTCACTCCATCATTCTATTACAGACAATGTGTGTTTGATACTCAAACTTCTTGTGACAAACAGCTCAAACAAACTCTTTGATCTTAATTGATTAAAACATGATCTGATCATATTTAATCATACTGTTGTGTTTACAGAAGAGATATAATATAGTTGTATATAATATGAGCAACAATTTGGACCTGCTGAAAGATCTGGAGTGACGTAAAAGCGCTCGTCAAAGTAAAATACGAGCGCGGCTGTTTGATTTTCGCGCGCGCATGGATCCCATTTGCGCTCTCGGATTTTGACAGTGATTTGCCTTCATAGTCGCTGAATGTGTGCATTTCTGACTGAAAGATAACATCTTCTGCCTCCACTTATCCATTTGCTACAATATATTGGATTCATGTTAATGTGTATTCAAAGACATTTAAATTCGTGGAAAAAAATTTGGAAAGAAAAATAATAATAATAATAAATAAAATAAATAAAAAAATTCTAATCAACCAAAAATTCCAGACCCCCTGTTGAAGACCTCTGACTTAAAGGATAGACTGTCATATATTGTATAGACTGTAAAATCCATATGAGGCAATTTGTGTCTGTGTTTGGGCTATTTATATAAAATTACCTGGGATCTTGTGACAAGTACGGTTTAGAAAATATTTCTATTGATAGACAGTGAGGAGAAATTCAAAAAAACAAACATGGAGATTGCATTAAGAGTGCAATTTTCAAATCCCATTTTCGCTTTTAAAAAAAAAAAAGTCACTTTTTGGCCCTACGACACAAACCAAATATCTGAGCCCTGAAACCAGGATGGAGCAACCCGTTCCTGTTCCCAAAATGTCAAGTACCGTTGCTCGGTCAGTACCCCTCAGCGTCTGATACCAGCGCACCGAGGTACCCTTTAGTGTCTGTGTGAGAGGCTTTATAATAACTCTGTGTAAAGTAATCCGCAGAACTGATGCAGTTTAAATAGAGAGAAAGTGCAAGTAGGGTGGATGTGAGGGGAGGTTGGATGGGTCAAACAACACAGGAGACAGCTGTTCGTGTCTTGTGTGAAACCACGTCAGCATTGAATTATTTTACCATAGTTTAAGGGGTACCTTGAGAGCCATAGTTTGAAGCTTAGGACTTATTGATCAAGCTGCTGCATTTGACTAGTTGGCAGTGAGAATGTGTTGGATGGAATCCCATTACAACACAAACTCACAAATAAATGTACACAATAATTGCTCAGCATAGCACAATATTAACAAAACACTGACCTGAAGCTGATAAGGTTTGTGTAGATGAGAGGGGGCAGGAAGAAGGTGAGAACCAGTTTCCAGACCTCAGTACTCCTCTCCATGTCACCCCACCAGATCTGAGACAGCAGGGACTACAGAAAAGAGCAGCCCTGTCACTACAACAGCTACCAACCAACATTACACTCACTGATGACATATTTTTATACAATGTGCATAGGTCTCAACTGTCATTTTACTATTCAAAGCATGGATTGAGTCTGGCATCTTTACAAGTCTGTTCATTCCTACTGTTGGCAGGATTTAACAACAGCATCTCTACCTGGACACCATCGTGGCTGAAGAACTGGCGGGCGTCAGCCGCAGTGGCCATCTGAAGGCACGTAGCTCCGCCCCACACTGGAGACTTCCTTATAAGGAGAGTAAAGGAGCGACTCTCGTTGCTCTGGTAACACTCACCAAATACATCTGAACACACAAACAAAACAGAATACACAGAATGATACCATTCATTCGTCTTCTTCATAATGGCTGGATATAAAGATTGCTTTTCTAGGTTGCTAGGTAACAGGGTATTATCTTACTCTTTATTTTTGGGGGTGGGGGGGCATTTTGTGTTTTATTACAGACAATAGAGGCATGACAGGAAATGATGAAGACAGAGATACAACGAAGATCCTGCCAGACTCAAACCACAACCTTATGCCATAGAGATGCCCTGGTCTTCAACCTTGAAAGTGCAAAAGAATTAGACAGTGGTGTATGGGGGTTATTATAACACAGCTATTACCCAATCACATTGCTTAATTTAACTGGATAACTGTAATATAAATATCTAAATAATGTACTGTGCATGTGAAAATGTATGTGTGACCTCACATGTTATAATGTAATGCCATTTGTGCTGAAATGCTAACAAACACTTTTTGCATATCAAAGTCAAGTCTCAAGTCTTTGAACTAGAATTCAAGTCAAACTTCTTGCCTTGAGCTAGAGTCCAAGTCAAGTTTTAAGTCTTTGAACTCAAGTCAAGACTCAAGTCTCTTATGGTTGTAATGAACGTTCTATCATCTGCTGCATACCATTCGGTCTGCATAGAACACTGCATAGCTATATCTTAGAAATTCATTGCATGTACTGTTTCATCCTTTATCTATTAGCACACAGTCTCAGTATTGAATATGTTTTTAGATGCAAATAAAGGTTCAAATATTCTTAACTTTTAAGCACTAGGCGCAGAGTCGCACTGATCGTCAACGTCACACTTGGCTCTAATCAATCAAGTCTTTATTACTTTACCACTGCCTTCCTGTTTTGATGCTGGTAAATGTGGTAGGGCTAGCTAGCTAGTTAGCTGTTGGGCTATGAGAGAGCTACGGTGTATGTTAGAGGGAAGGGGAAATTGCCGCTCCATAGGCGCACCAAGCCATTTTGCCTGACCTGCTTTGCCAAGGCGTTTTTGAAGCAACTGTGCCTGTAGCGACACATCTCGGTGTGATCATCCCCTTAGTCTGACAAGCTGTCTTCTAGGGTGGATTTGCTAACGGCTGAGCTGGCCCAGATGAAGTCGCTCCTCCTGATATGGGGAATACTAGTGAACCCAATCCACCCGAGGCTGAGTTGGTTCCAGAGGAGGATATTGTGGCAGCTTCAGCCACTCTCTTGAATCAGTATGCTGTCTCTGGGCCTGGCTCGCTTTCCTTGGCTAAATTCCCCCGATTTCAGCTCTATCCCGTCTTACATCTGATGGCCAAACCCTGGGGGCCATGCATGATGCGGCAAAATTTCCCTACATGACAGCTATGGACCCTACCATTGCTTCCTTCATAGTGTCCCCTGATTAAGCTCTAAGGTTGGAAGCCAGGTACCCTCGACCCCATAGCAGGTGACAGACAACCTGCTTTCTAATGCCTGATTCCAATGCGTTCCATGCAGGTTGTTGTGGGCACCTCTCGTGCGCCAGGCATTGCGTGAAGCATGTACTTCTTTTGCTTATTTGGACCCACGGTTTTCAAATAATTTGTCGGGTGGTGTTTTATTTGACAGGCGTGATTCAATGGTTCCATATAAGTCTGGCCCAACACAACTCCACAACTGAAAATAAAATTATGGAAGAATTGGATAATGAGGAGGAACTCAGGTGCTTAGTTGTTACGGACCTGTGTTACTCGTTCAGAAATCCCACTTCCTGGCTCTGTCAAAATTCTGCGTCTACAGTGCCTCGCACGTAGTGTTCTTTGTTTCAGACTTGCAGTCACCCTTGTCAGAGACATGTATGAGGAACCTTAGTACTGTCCCAGTGGAACCGGGGGAGCTATTCAGATGCTCACAGGTGCTCAAGTGGATTGTCCAAGCTAATAAGACTAGGCAGCAGGTCTCAGGTCATTCACAGTCACTTGGAATCTTGCGAGAAACCTTTCCAAACATTCTGCAGGAATGATCTCGTGGATGATACCAGCACTTATGTTTATGTTTACTTTATTCAAGAGGGAACAAAGCACATAATTTAATACGCGCCATGAGCCACCATATAAATGTGCCAGATTGACCCATGCAGGAACATTTTCATCCACAGTCCCTGGCAGGTTGATGGTATTAAAAAAAAAACCAAGAGCACATAACCACAGACACATAAGCACAATTAAAAGCACATAAGCACAGAAAAAACTGTAAGTACATCCATAACTCTCGCTTTAAAAAGGAACAGGAAAAGTTACCGCTCCTGAAAAAAAACACTCGGTGCATTGATGCAGTGAAGAACTTAGAAGCAGCCTCCAGAATCGAGGCTTAACATTTTCTCTTTTCGCAGGGCGATACTCCGAGGTGAATTTACTGCAAGTTAAATTATTTTATTTAATGTAAACTCTGATTATTTCTGATAAGTTGTGTGCAATCATTGAGTTATGAGATTAAGGCATTTACGCTACATTGGCTCGAGTCCACACATGCGGAGAACAGAGCTGCTTGTGGTCTGACTCACCGTGTGCCAGGTTCTCAAACGTCTGTGCCAGTTCCTTCATGGCTAGCTTGGTCTCAGTCTCACTCTCAAGCTTAGAAAGCTCCCTCAGCATCTTACAGCCACCCAGAGCGCTCAGCACTGACTCCCCTGCCTGACAAGGAAACACAGAAAAACATGGTGCCAATAAACGCCTGTTCAAATTAAACCAAATTTGATGGCAACCCTAGAAAAATGGCAGCTTTGTGACCTCAGCGACGTTTACAGTAGTGTGCTAATGCTGGTCAGCCTGTTTCACACAGCACCTTAAAATGTCATGTGTACTAATGTTGACAGTGTCATTTGAACACAGCCAATTCCTTAAAACTTCAACTCCAAAATAAAATGTCTTCAGTGAGGTTGTGGAATATCACAGGTGAGTCTCACCATCTCCCAGAAGTAAATAGCCATTTCACGGCGGTTCTGCAGGATGGCCCAGATGAAGAGGGCTGCCCAGGGGGAGAGGCAGCGCTGGTCCTGATACATACACTCCCCCAGCAGCATCTTATTGACTTGCTAGAGAAGACACAACAAGACAAGACACCAGTGAGGAAGTCAGATCCAAAGAAATATATCATCTATTTTGAATTGTGCCAGCAGCTTTTTCTGATGTTCTCAGTGATTTCATATGCAGTGAAAAACACATTTTTATTTGAATCCCCTATAAGATGTGAACTTTTAAAAGGTTAACTAAAAAGAGTACTCCACCAGAGCTATCCACTCCCTGAACTGTTCTTCCTTGTCAAAACCTGGTGTACCATCATTCTGAACGGCCGCCAGTTGTTTCAGAAATTTAGAGGTGTAATAGCAGCAGCTTATGTAGCCTGGAGCCTCTAGCCTCACACAGAGATGAAAAGCTCACTTATTTTCATTCTCACTACTTTATTTCAAACTGCAAAAGCAACAAAAGGAGAGAGTTTCCAACTCACTGACCTTGAGAGCCTTCCTAGTGCCGGTGCTGGGGTTCAGGCCCAAAGGTCCATAGTAGAAAGGCTGACAGACATCACCCAACAGGTCCCACAGCAGGCGGGATACCTGCAGCATCACCAGACAATTCACTACTACTGTATACAGAGCAAGGGTGCTTTCGTGTTATTACATTTGATATAAAGCAAAAAACAAAAACAATTACAGTTCACTGTGTTTCAAAACTAGTTAAATCCAATGTATGAGAGTCTGTTTACATCAGATCAGAATCAGAAGATTTGCGGAAATTAAGTAAAGGGAAACGGGTACACATACTGATCAGCCTGACACTGTTGCTACATACAGTGACTTCTTAAATCACTCTAGTGACTTTGTTTCTCAAAAGTGACAAGTTGAATATTGAAATAAAATGTCTGAATAACTTAGTGTAGAAACATAATGCTACCTTAGGTCGCAGGTCTCACTCAATGGTTTGGTGAGAAACAGGGGAGATTTAGTGACGTATTACCACCATCTCTCTCACCATATTAGGGAAAATGTTTTGGAAGAAGCGTACCTTATGACAGTAAGTGTAATTCATGACAAGGAGCAATGAAGCTGTTCTAGAGGCTTGTGTAAGCAGCACTACGACAGTTTGGCATTTTCCTGACCTTAAATGTCTCTTGGGAAATTATGGTGGGAGGAGAGGTGGAAGGTTCCTTCAAATGATTTAGTTAAAAGAGATCAGATCATCAGACCATATTTTTGTGCTTCTGCTGCCTACTTACTCCCAGCGGATTAAATCAGAACGCATAAAAAAAAAAAAACAGTTAAAGTATGGACAGGTGAAGCTACAGCTGCTCTACAAGACTGTTTTGAATGTACAGACTGGCACGTGTTCAGGGATGCCGCCAGGTGAATGACATCAATCTCGAAAAATGTTCATTAACAGTGACATCATTTATCAGCATTGATGATGTGGTGATCACAATGAATAAAAAAATCATTCCCCAACTAGAAATCTTGGATGAATGGAGAGGTGAGGGCGATATCCAGAGACAAAAAAAGCTGCTTTTCAGATGCCAAGGAAGCATACAGCATCGCCAGAGCAAGACTGAAGGCTGGCATCAAGGAGGCAAAGCATAGGTGTCAAGAGAGACTGGTGAGAGACCTCAACACCAACAACACTACAGATACGTGGCCACGTTGCCAGATGAGCTAAACACCTTTTAAGCTCACTTTTATCTTCTCAACAAAGAGTCAGCTGTAAAGTCTGCCCTGCGGGATGTGGTAAAAACGGTAAATAAACTGTACTTGTATATCTCTTTTCTAGTCTTCTGACCACTGAAAGCGCCTTCACATTACATGTCATCATTCACCCAGGGTACATCCCAAGGCTCTTAATTGCATCCCTGTTTCCCTCACTTGCGTCCTTTCCTTGTGTCTTAGTCCCTCCCACCAGGGATGCATGGAGACGCAAGGAAACCATGCGAGGAGAGAGGAAATGAGGAAATATGTTTTAAGAGACATGAGACGTCCTTTCTTCAGTTGCGTCACGTGAAGCGACGTCTGTTTCTGATGACGGAGGATCAGCTGATCACAGCTGGATCAGCTGTCAGTCGGCTTTAACAGCTGGAGAGACTTTTGATAAGTTTGTGTCTGTTCACATGATCACTGTACTTAATAACAGTAACTAATAACACTAATAACTAATAAAGACACTTCATCACTGTTAGAGTAAAGGTGTGTTCTCTCTGTAGCCTGTTACCTCTAGAAAAAACTGTGTCCTGTTTATGAGCTCAGGATAGATTTCTACCGGCGGAATGCGTTTGTCATATTTATGAATTATTTGCATCTGTACGTATTGAAATTCTGATTGTGACATCATTATTAATTAACCCAGAATATGATTATGGTTTCTCTTGAACACTGGAATAAATGTATTAGGCTCCATGTTTCAGGTTAAACTTAAATGATATAACTCATCAAACCAGACACTCAGGAATGATCAGCCTCACGTGACTGAATGGAAATTATGATAAATGATATGAAAAGCTCTCCGACTTTAATTGTTTTCATAATAAAAGTTATTGAGGGAAATATCAGATCATGAAAACACAAATCTTTCTAATGAATGAAGAAAGTTGTTTGTGGTCCTTTTGTTGTTCAGACTACATTGAACATTTATTTAAACCAGATGTTGAATCAGAAAACTAATCAAATATAAAGCTTGAGTTTATTCTGTGATCTGTCTTCACTCTGGTGTTAAACTCCAGTCAGTCAGTCCGATCGGCTGCAGCGTCCAATCACATGACTGATGAACAATGAGGGGGCGTGTCGGCCATTAAAACACTAACATTCTGCTGTTTCAAGCTGCTGGACCTGATAACTCTCTCTGGACTGAGTAGCTCACTCTGCAACTGGCTATTAGACTTCCTCACAAACAGACCCCAGGTAGTTTGGATTGGCAGCCAAACCTCCTCCACTCTAGTTGAAGAGCCCCCTGGGTTGTGTCCTCAGCCCCCTCCTGTTCACGCTGCACACCCATGACTGCTACCCCAAACATGAAGAGAACTCTGATGGGAGGTTTGCAGACGACACTACCATCATCGGCCAGAAATAAGTCAGATCAGTCTCAATATTAAGGAAAGCACACAAATGTATTTTGTAATTTAAACATATCATATATTTCCGAATCATTATATATGAATGCAAACAAAATCCACATATAAAACACAAGATTCACAAATATATTTCTGATGAACACAAATATTTCTTGATTTAAATAAATGTAATACATTTATGTAATAAATCCACACAAATGTATTTAAAAGGATTTGAATTTTCATCAAACACATATTTGGCTGTTACATTTCAGGCTCGTCTCCTCCAGCGTACGTAGCAATGGACAAAAAATAATGCACCGTAATTTGTAGGTATATCCCATGAAATCATTTCAACCCAAACAAACACGAAACCTTACTAATTATTTCACTGTCTATTCCTAAACCTAACCAAGTAGTTTTGTTGCCTTAACATAACTGAGTTGTTTCCCAGAAGCCTGGGAATGGGTGGAAATAAATCTCCTGGAAACGACTCAGACATCTTGGGTGAAATGGTCCAAACATCTGATTTGTGCTCCCTAGACAAGTGTTGAAACAACCACACATGGGCAGAAAAGGATCCCCAAAACAATCCAAACAAAGTGATACAGCAACTAAATTGAAGGTCATTCATTATCTGGCAAAACAACATATAGCTACGCTAACGTGAGCCAACATTCGCCAACGCTGGAGAGACAGCGAGTCCGATTACTGACAGTGGCAGGTGAGAGGTACAGCCGTGCTAATGCACTTCGCTCAGCTGTCACATTACTATTATGAATATGTCAGCTGACTTAGTCTGGCATACTGTGTATAACAATTCATTTTGGTTTAGATAAAAGTTGAGGTAGGGGCCCGTGCCAAGTTCATGTCAACTTTTACAGAGGAGCAATAGAAAGCATCCTGACTGGAATCACTACAAACTGGCATTGGACATGCTCGACCCAGGGCATGAGGGCTCTACAGAGGTTTAATTAAAACAACCAAGAACCTCGTTGGTACCCATATCCCGAGCTTCAGTGATATCGGTGACAAAAGGTGCCCGCAAAGGAACCCAAAGAATATTAAAAGACAATACCCCCCCTAGCCACAGCCTGTTCACCATGCTGCCATCTGGCAAGAGATACAGAAGTATCAGCTGACGTACCAACAGACATCAGGAACAGCTTCTATCCTCAGGATGTGAGATTCCGAAATTCATCCTCCACCATATAATACAGTTTTGCTTTTTGTTTGCTTTTCTTATTTAGCAAAATGAGACTACAAAATGTGGCGCAACCCTGTTGTAAAATGAAAATGAACCCTGTGATACAGCATAATTGTGACTAAAATAGCACTGAATGGTATTTAAATAAAGTAAAAGAAATACATATAAAAGTAATTATCATTAGCAGCCTCAACACCATCATTACACAGTAATCATTAACATGACGCTAACACCATCATCCATTCACCTATTGTACACCACTAACAGTATAATTAAACCTGCTATTTATCGGTCTTATAGGTTCCTTCTTGCAACTCCTTTCCCCATCCTCACCTCATACAGGTTGAGCTCCATTGCTGAAGCGGGTCCAGTTAATGCACTCTGAAGACTCTTCAGAGGCACCGTCTGAGCTCCATGCAGGTTGGGCAGGGATCCACCCAGGCTCTGCCTCTCGCTTAGATGCCTCTGGAGCAGAATGTAGGCCAGTGAGCTGTCTGACAGTGAGCAGTACAAGCTTTCCAAGTGGCGGTATGTCAGGTAGTCCAGAATATTCAGTCCATTCTCGCAGAAGAGACGCACAAACTGGGGCTTGTTGTTGATCAGTGCGTCTGTCATGGAGTCCTCAAGGTCCTCATACTTAAAATATAAATCACCACATCAACAGTATGTGATTAAAGCATGCAGAAATACATTTCTAACCGCTTTCTGTAGCATAGCCCTAGGTTTTGTACTTTTCAATGCATTGAGTGAAAGAGAAATAAAGGCACTGCCAAACTAAGCTAAGCTGTGTGTTGCACTGATCAACATGTGTGATCAAGTAGCTATATTTAGCTTTTGAAACTTTAACATTTTGGTGCAACATTTGGACGTCTTTGAATTTCTATTAAAGGAGCCCCGATTTTACACATCAAAGTCAGTTCACTGAACTTGAGGAGAAGTACTTAATTAGTTTAAAAGGGATTTACCGGCAGGACGGAAGGATCTAATGGCTCCAAATACTAGTGAGGCTGTAGACTTTTAACATTCTTTTTGTACCTTATATATATTCCAAACCTTCTTCATGTATAATGTATTCATCATGTATTTGTCATTAAGTTTGACTCTGACCTTCCACTGTAAGTCTCCATTAAAGAGCTCAGTTTTGGCGATGTCCACTCGGTTCCAGGCCACGGCTAGTTTTAGCTCCTCAGTGTACTTCATGGCTTCACTGGACACACCTTTACTAGCTTAACACAAACACAAAAACACACGCAGAGCAACATTTACATGTGCTGTACAACAATGGAGACTGGATCAATTAAATTGGACAGCGTTGTGATTTTGCGGGTCTTTCGTTGTCTTAGTGTAGGGGGTATGTGGGTGTAGGGGGCAGTGTCAGAAATGGTGTCACACACTGGGGAAGGTAAAGGTCTAGATAAGGCTGATGGAAAATACCTGGAGAATATGAAAAGACACACCAAGAATGTTTTGTAGAGACATGGTATGATATATACTGAGCCTCAAATGTGTGTCAGTCTATTCAAGATCTCACAAACCTGGTATTAAAATCTAAAACAGCTTTTATTGAACAAACTCAAAGTTACACACACAAAAAAAGGATAACAGCCTTAAAATGTTGCAGAATTGTCTGTTTTACATTGCTGCCAAAAAACAAGATGACAGATAATTTCCTTGAGTTCAGCCAGTCTTGCCCCTGATAGGCCTAATGAAAGGTCTCAATAGGATTATTCACGCTTCTATTTTGTCCCTTCTTAACTATTGTACATCCCTCTTCAACTGTCTTAGCAACACTTATTGTCCAGGTCATCTAAAAGGTTGCATGACAGCAATCCTAATATTTCTAAATTGGCTCCCCATCAAATTCAGAATTGAATTCAAGGTACTCGTGATCACTTACAAAACTCTGCAAGGTCAAAAAGCTGTGTACATTAGAGGCAAGAGAGATCTATTGCAGCCCCATGTCATCAATAGGGCTCGAAGCATTTCATGACATTCTGCTCTTTTACAGTGCTATATAAATATACATATATGTTTACTTACCTCTAACAAGAGCTTTGAGGAGAACTATATCAAAATCATCAGAGCCCTCCTTTTCCCCATGGAAAACAGTAATGAACTCTCTGTTCTGATAAATACTCAGAGCCTAGAAACACAGAGGTAGTGAAAGAAAATGAGCAAATTAATGTTTGGAAAAAGTTTAATTTCATACATCTCAAATATTTACAGAACCACACAGACTCTGGGCAGATCAAATAGAATAGTACTGGATGATCTTGGCAGCATCTTATTCAATTCTACCATGAGCAATATTAGAATTATTGGAGCGGTCTGACTCACACTATCCACCAGTTTCTCCAGCTCAGCTGCAGCTGGGAAGTATCTCTGAACCTTGTCACGGACCTTGTCGCGGAGCTCTGCGCTGAGACCCTCAGCAGCCTCCCCCTCTGCTGGAGGAGAGGAGGTACTCAGGGAAACAGAGGAGAGATTGTCCAGCAGATCACTGATAAAGTCTGCAGCAGGACCAGAACCAGCAAGAACCAGCCAGGGTGTAGCTTTCCTCAGAGAGACATCTAATCTCTGAGCCAGGGAAATAGGTACACAGTATAAATGACAGGACATTTTCAAATATACAGATTTTAATCAGTATGTCAGTGAGATGGCTATATGTTTTTTACAGTCATTTAGGTACTTTATTTTTCAAAAATTACAAAGATCATATGCCATGAAATATTAGACATTGCTTTATAATCAGTGGCAGAACTGCCTTCACAATAACATGAAGACAGGTAGGGAAAAACTTGAGTGCTGCTGTGGTCAAGCGAAAAGAGTGAATTTTGTCAAAATTAGATTTTTTGAAAATGTAAAAAAAAAAAAAAAGGCAGACTTTATACAAACTACTGATGAGCTGTATTTTGATGTTGTTTTTACGATACCAGCATTTTCAATTTCAGAATCTTTTGAATTTTGAAACTCGGCTAAATAAAAAATTCAGAGCAGATCTATGATGGAGGGATTGCCTCCACATGGCTCTGAACATTGCAATGGCTAAGCCGATGGCTAGTCGCTAACAGTACAAACAGTGCAAACAACAGCAACAGTGCTAACAGAGCTAACAGTATAGGGGTGGGTGTAACACTTCCGCAACAACAGATGCCTCTGGATTGACAGGAGAGTCTCTTTGTGTTGAGACTGTGATCTACAATGATTGCTAACCTAAATAAACTGAAACCAACATCAAGTTCAGTGCACTATTGGGAGAAGAGGACCGGACCAACCAGCCCAACAACTCTGTTAAGTGGAGAGACATAGTCGAACTCGCCAGGGTTAGGTAAGGCCTGCATCTTTCTGTAAAGAAATCCCGCGTATGTTGTGGCCTGTTAGTCTGGCTTATTGGTAATAAACTATCCTTGGAAAAATGTATGGTAAAATCAAAAAACTATCATAGTGTGTGTAGAGTGAGAATGTATGTGACAGTTTCCTCACCTCCAGCATATTGGCGTCTCCTGAGATGAGCATACACAGCACAGGGATTTCAATACTGCCACTACCTGGTATTGGCCCAAGATAAGAAGTTAGAAGAAAAAGCCAGCTTCTCTACAGAAACATTACATTAAGCAAAGAAATAAAACCTGAAATGCTCTCCCATAACCTCAAACAACCTCTCCAAAAGTGCACAACTACTACCTTAACTTAAGCAGTAGAGGGCAGTCAAGTACTTAACACAGTCAGCCCACATCATTTTCTCAAGAGTTCCTTTCAGACATGCACCTCACTCTTTCAATTTCATGGCAACTCAAGATATCATGTTTGAAAGTCCAGCAAGCAAAATCCAGCAAAATGCTTCAAAACTATGCGAGTAGAATATAAATGATCTGAAAGCCAAAACATGACTTTCATATTGTAATGTCCTCATTGCATTTACTAAGTAATATAGTATATAGCACTCTACTGTCTAATAAGATATTACAGCAATATAACAGTCCATGTTTGAAAGGGGCTGCGCTTAACATACTCTGGGACTGTCTCACCCCAAATGCCAGTGCGCTGATGGGAAATGTAGTCCTCCAGACTTCCACAAAAGGCTGTCTCTCCCCCTCGGCGGCCAACAGTACCATCATCCACCAGGAGGAAAGCCTGGCAGTTGTTGTCCAAGCAGCAGGAGTCGCGCGATGTGTTCTGGACGTAGTATCGAGCAGGGAAACTGCCCTTCAAACAGACAACACAAAAGTTCATGTGAGTGAGTTCATTTCCAGAGAGAGATGGAATCTTCTCTGCTGATCTGATCTCAGCTGGAGCTCCCAGCTAACAGTCCATCACCCACACATCCGCTCAACCCTACTGGTATTATTTTTTTTTTTTTCTTTACTCTGTTGAAGGCAGACGGGATATTGCAGGGTTTGTTTCCAGAGATGATGATCCATTCACTCTTCTCTCCACTTCATGTTCTCCATTAGCTCTCACTGAAACATCATCACTACAAGAGTCTCCATCAAGTGTTTAGTCAGAAATACAAGGATGGAGTCTTGAGTACTTACTCTTACTTTATGATTCCAACAAGATGCAAAAGTAAGATCTGATCATGAAATATTATATATGTGACTTTTGGAAAACGAAAATTAAAGTAGCCATCAGAGGCTTAGTCGGAGTAGTGAGAGTTCAAATTGAAAGAAATGATGACATTTTTTGCATGGTGTAGATTATTTATTTTTTATACATAGCTTTGTTTTTTTTTTTTTAACACTCAATGGCTGAAAGAGGAGAAACAGATTTGTGAGTTGGGATTTAACCGTGGGATTAAACTCTTTGTCAACAAAGAAAGGAGGATGGAGTTTGTCTTTAAGTGAACAGCATTTGGTAAGTCAACTGTTTGTTTTTTTACATCTAATATCTGAATGGCCCTTGAGTGTGTAGCAGAATGCGTGTTGATGCAGGTCTGCTGGGTTGATTTGTTGTCATATGAATATATGTGACTGGTTCTTGTGAGTTTGTTGTTGTCATTGTGTTAATTATATAGATTTGGACTATATGCATTGTCCGTTAATTACGAAGCATACCGTCATGCGCGGAGTTATTGTTTGTTAAGCTAGTTTAGCGTAGCCTCCCAGAAGTGCGGTGCCTCAGCTGTCTTTTGTTGCGTTTTTTTTTTTGTTCCGGGTTCAGAGGTCACAAAGCCCGTTGTCTGCTACGTGAGCGCAGTCCACCGAAAACATTATATTTCCCACAATTTAAGCTTCTGCATTTTCCAAATGCACTAGTATTATTCAAACGTATTGTTCGGTTCGTAAGCCTCGTACCGAACGGTTTAATACGAATACGTGTAGTTACACCCCCAGAAACAAATAACTCTAGCTGTGGCGTCATAATGAGATTATTAGGTGGTGTTTCAGCTGCAGGACAGCACTTCACTGCCAGGTGTAAAATGAACGGCCCGCCACTAATATATATTGCTGCTTACGCAAGACATGCAGAAGTCAAACACACCAGCATAGAATTAGTAGAATTCACCTTCGAAAAGGATACATACAGTAATTCTTCAAATTAGGATAAATGTATTCAATTAGAGCACATTAAAATCATCACATGCAGTTTAGTGGTGTGTGTTGCTCTTTTACTGTGGGTTACAAAATAACAGGAAACAAATAATACATTTCTCATGTAAAATAGGGTATAGAGGCACAAAGACTTTTTTTTTTTAGTATCTATTTGTATTTTGGAGTGAACCTTGTGCCAAAGGTGCAGGCTGTATAGTGGACTATCTCAGGACAAGCCCATGGTATGCATACTGCCTGAAGAGTACCTGGGCATTGACGAGCTGCTGCCTGTTGTGCACCAGGCCCCAGGGTGCCAGCCCCACAGCAATCACTTTCTTCTTGGAGATAGCTGGAGCCGCGGACCCGTGGTCCCTCACCGCCTCACCCACACAGCGGGTCACGCCTTCCCTCAAACCCCCCGTCAGAATCCACGCCCCTGGGGAAGAGTAGGGAGAAAAGTGGTGAGGTGGTACACATACAATTTGCTTTTCAGTTACACAGCATATACTGTATATATTCCACATTGAAGTGATGTGTGAAAGTAAAGACAATATTTCTCTACTTCATCTACTTATGAATAATGTACCCCATTTGCTCCAATTTTAACACGCTCAGTTCCCTCTGCTCTGCACTCCAGGAACAGCCTTGCTCTTAATATCAGGAGGGCCCCACTTCTTAACTCAAAGGCTATTCGGATCTGCTGCCTCTGTCGAGCAGACATTTTCAGCCTCAAACGCATTAAAACCTATTCAAGAAATACAACTGGGGAGGCTCGACTGTCTTCACTGGCGTCCATGAATCGAGAAGGACTTCTTACTGGAACTAAAACGCACGGATGTACTGAACAACCGTGAGATTAAACTCTTTGTTAACAAAGAAAGGAGGAAGAACAGCTAAATAGTGAACAGCAGCTCTGGTAAGTTAACTGCAGTAGCTTTAACTGCCATACATATGATCTATGTCATCATTTAATATGCTTGTTTATATTATTATTTATACAACTTATATGGATTTTCGTTTGGTTTTATATGTGATAGGAACTATTGTTACGTCCTATGTTGCGCGGGGGACACATTTAGCCGGTGCACAGCAACAAGACGACGCGCGAAGCGGCAGCGGTCTATATACTCTGCGCAAAGTGTTAAAGTTAAAGTGTTAAAGTTAAGTTTTAAGTGATCTACTTTGAAGATTCATGCGTTTTCAAGTGGACTCATTTTCCCTCTCGGTGTTGACAGACAAATAAATCCGTCAGTAACAAGAACTATGGAGTCGTGTATTTCCTGGAGGGAGTGATAGGAGAGTTACTACTCTGTTAATTTGTCTATCGTGTCGTTTTTATGATATGGGTAATATTGTTCCCTCTGATATGAATAATATTTGAATGGCCCGTGCTCTTGAGTGTGTGGCAGAATGCGTGTTTTAGCTGAATTGATTTTGACTCATTGTTCGTTAATGCCGCCGCATCCCGTCATGCCGGTATTCATGTACTGCACTCATAGTGTATTTGTAGGTGTTGAGCTTCATTTTCATGAGTGCAGGCCCAGGTATAAAATGCACGGCCGCCACTGGTTTAAGCGTATTATCCAGGAGTCAGCTGAAGCAATTGATTACAACAACAAGACATCAATCAAACAATATTCTACAATTTCTGAAGTTTTCGTACAAAATGGTTCCAGTTTGGATTCTCATAGGTTTCTATTGACCCTATTAGTAACTCTGGGTTCTTACCTGTGCTCTGTGCAGCCCTAACCAGCCCGTTTCTTAGGACATCTCTCACCCATGTTTTGACCTTCTCATGGCCTTCACCCCCCACCACCGACACAACTAAGTTGGGTAAGGGCAGGCCCCAGTGAACCGTCATCAGGGTGTAGACAATCTGAGGTGAGGTGTCACATGACAGCCGCAGAAACTAGACAGAAAAATAAATGCATTTATCAAATAATTTATAATGATTCAGACAAAGATGTATTTCAACAAGAAATTTTAACATTCTTATTGTTTATCATACTTTAATGTACATGGGAATTAAATCTATGTCCAGAGGGCCACCACAGGCAACACTCCATCGAAGTACACTAGATGTTGACTAAAGTTTATGAAAAACAATAATATTTTACCATTTCTGCCTGGGCCCTTTAAAAGTATTGAATTAATATTAATTTAATTTAAGAGCAGCAGATACAGAAATACTTTATGTAATATATAGGCACTCCAGTTAACGACTGTAATGTTAAACATTAAACTGTTCAGTTTTCTTTGTTTTTAATATTGTACTTTGGCCCATGGGGTTTTCTGGTCTAGAAACACTGATTTGCATTTAAAGTATCTGGTTGAAAACTATTGAATTACTATTTGGCCCCTGATATTTTTCACCCCTGCTCTAAAGGGTGGTTTCATCATCTTGGATTTGGTTTAAATTGTGTGTGGTGTAGATGAGTGTGTGTAGGAGTGCGTCACTCACATGACTGTGTTTTCGTCCAGCGCCGGCAAACTCCAGTTCCCCATAGGCGTCGGTGGGACACTCTGAAGAGTGCTGCCTGCTGTCCCACTGAGTGACAATGGCTGCTCCAAAGAAGTCTGCCGTTGCCACAGAGTCATGCACCTCCCGCACACCACCACACTGACACAGCGCTCCATTACTGACACACAAACCCATACAAACTTATCTGGTTAATGGCGCCTGAAATGCCCAGGGTCATTTAATTTCAAAAGGCATTTGTGTTAATGATACAGTTTGTACAGTAAGATACTTTTGCTGGTTTCATCGATGGTACAACCCTAATCTCGCTCTAAATTGAATTTCAACAGGAAGGTTGTTCCAGTTTGTGGGATTTAAAAGTAATGAGTGAAACCTTAAATCAATTCTTATATCAAATGGAAGCCAAAGCAAAGAGGTTAAAATTGAGGCTACGTGATCTCTCTTGTCTGCTCCAGCTAGTTATACAGAATGCTGCAGCCCCTCAGGTAAAGACAGAGTTTAATCAATGATAAAGAAGAAGAAAGAATTAACAACTTCCTCCAAGTCAGAGAATGGTAAAAATGATAACATCTTTAAAACAATATGATAAAATAATAACAGGACTGAAGTACTTTTTTAACTGATAATCAAATGAAAAACCAGGACAGCTCCTCGATTTCTGTCACGAGGCTTAACAGATAATATGATAACTGTATTAAATGTAGAGCTTGAGTTCTGTGAAATCAGGGAAGACCCTTCACCTTCACCACCACCATCAGAAAAACATTCAATTACAGAATCACACAATCAAAAAAAAAAATAAAAATGTATTCCTATGACACACATTGACTGTAAGAAGTGGACATACTCACACGTCACCCATTGGTTAGTGCCAACCATTTTGATGCCTCGAGTTTGGCATTTTGGGCGTGGCCTACTTGTTTTTTTGCAACCAGAAGTGACACTGAGCTGAGCGCCTCACCCTATCTCTAAGGCTGAGCCCAGCCATATGAAAAAAGCTCATTTCGTCCGCTTGCCCATAGGTGAGGGTCTGAACGTAGATGGACTGGTAAAGTGAGAGCTTTGCCTTCAGTTTAAGGCACTTTTGCATTGCCTTCACTTTTCAGAACCGGATGTTGGAGCCTGCTTTCACATCATTAAAACCCAATATTTTTGCATTTTAGAGAAAACAGAGGAAGGAGTAATTACCTGAAAGAGTCTTCAACAAAAGTGGTGCACACTCGCTTCCTGAGGATCTTGGGAATCCAGCTCTGTCAGCAACATAATACAAAGAAACATTGTTGACCAAGCACAAAAAAAAATTGGATTCAAGAGGGTGCAGTGGTAGATTTTTAAGTACAAACTATTTGACAGCAGCATTTTGAACATCATGTGAACTTGAGTTATGTCACCAGTTTTGGGAGAGCAAAGGGTGTTTTCTTTGCCATGCTGCCTTTAAATTTGCAAACATGTTTTTCCAGTTTGCAAACTCCAAATAAGTCTGAACAAGAAGGAAATTCTCTCTTCAATCATTTTACTGATATAATTGCAACACGCCCTCATAACGAAACAACAGGTCGTTTGCCATAGAATCCCAAAACAACGTAGAACCATTTCATTTCACTTTGTGAAACAAACGCACGGTGGCAGATTTGAAAAGTGACCATTCTATTTAACCTTGTGAAAGGGTAGCAGTTTTAAACGTATGGGTAATGTTGTGAAATGTAACTACTTGGTTAGGTTTAGGAAGAGATCATGGTTTTGGTTAAAATAAATGTTTGTTGTGATGTGGTTACATGCTCCTAGATGCCCTTCTCTCTGCATTGTGTTCTGTTGCGTGTCTTGTAGAGATTGACATGCACTGCAGCAATGGTGGAAGAAGTACTTGGATCCTTTACTTAAGCAAAAGTAGAAATACTACAGCCTAAAAATATTCCTGTAAAAGTAAGTAAAAGTCCTAAATTATACATGTTGCTCAAGTAAATGTACAGAAGTATTATCACTTAAATGTAATCAAATTATCATTTGATTACTCATTATGCAGAATACAATCTGATTTCTCCGCTAGCTCAATGTTATTTCGGAACCATGCCTTAAACATGGCTCTTGGAAACTCCCCAGGATGTTGCATCCTGGTTTGCATGTGCGAGTCTCTTGCTTGTATACATCAGTTGGGTAAAATCAGGGTTCCCCAATTTTAAAACTACCCCGATCACTAAAACCATGTGTCTTGTGTACATGATGCTTAAAAAATATGAATAAGCCAGCAATATACCAAAGACATAAATGCAAGTAAATGCACCAATACACCGGGCATTGGGTTCTGGATTGTGGTTCGGTAAGTTCCACTTTATTTTTTTGACATAGCACTTCATTTAGTGTTTTGTGAAACAAAATGTATCTGAAAAGATAACTAAAAAGTAGAAGCAGCAGGAAGGCTTCATCCTGCATCATGTCCACTTCACACCAAAATCAGGGGACACACCGTCATAAGGTGTTTGATTATACACTATTTGTGCTGTATTTTAGCATGAAAAGTGGGTCTACTACTCAGATCTACAGTCTAACATCTCAATTATCACTTGACATTAATAAATTAGAGGGATGAGTAGCTTTAGATAACATTGTATGTGTTGCAGGCATTGACACTACAATTACATTTCAGGACAGTGTTGTCACGATCAGGCTTTGCCTTGTGTGTTCTGTGTCTTTGTGTAACTTCACCCTCCTCACTCAGTCACTCCCCCAGCATCAACCTAACTCCCTTCACCTGCCTCTAATCAAGCACTCCCTCCTCATCAGCACAACTCCCCTCACCTGTTCAAACCACTTTATAAACCCCTGTCTCTCACTCACTCACTGCCAGGTCATTGTTCATACCTACACACCCGTTTTTGCTCATCCTGTTCCTGGTTTCCCAGTCTGCCTGCCCTGCCTCGTCCTGCTGGATTTCCCCCCTCGTCTCTTGTCTCATCCTTGGATTCCCTGTTGTGTTCGTATTTCATTAAAACCCTTTTCTCACTGCATCTTACTGTCTGCGCTTGAGTCCTCATCATGCCCACGTGACAAGTGTTAGATAAAATGAGGGAAGTTACAGCTTCCTGCTGCTACAAAAACAGTGAGAACTAAAGTGTCCTGCTAATATTTTGCTTCTTCAGAGAGTTTAGTAAAAGACCAATGGTGGAGGAATAAAAGGATTCTAGATCTCGTACAAACATGTAAGCAATTGTATGTAATAAACGTTCTAGTCTGGTTCGATTGAGTAACTTAAAGGTGACATAATGCTCAATTTCAGGTTCATAATTGTATTTTGGGTTTCTAGTACATGTTTAAAATATAATTTTTCTTGCATCGTCTGTCTGAATATACTGTACCTATATTCACCCTCTGCCTGAAATACTCCTTTTTAGCGTCTGTCTCTTTAAGCCTCCCTTCTGTAAAAGCCCGGTCTAGGTTGTTACGTTTCTCATTTTGTGGCCCAACAAATACCAAAATGTATATGTAAAGGTTATTCTGGTCAATTTAAAGAGAGGTTCGTAATAATCATTGAAATGGGTTTTGCTTGAAGTATACATACTTAGTTCACACTGGCCAATAAAAGATTCTTTCATAACATGCTTCCAATGGAAGTGAACTAAATCAAAAATATATGTGCAAAAATATATTCCAAAGTTCATGTTAAGACAATGTAAGGCTTCAACAGTCTCAGACAGCATATCAAGTGGAGATCTTTCAAAGTTTCAATATTTTAGTGCAAACGTCTGTCTCTGTTACTATCCCTTCACAGCACAAAGACACTGTCAAACCGTTGGGGGGGGGGGAAATAGAATTTTGTACAAAAAGAAAAATTTTAAATGATAACTTTATTATGACGGTGAAGGTAGTCACATGGACAGTCGATTTGTGACAAAATACTGCCAATTAACCTACACGCAAAGCCAGCACAAAGATCCAAACTTAAACAGCTGAAGCCTCATATTAGCTGAACATAAGCCTGACTCAGGACATGTGATTTGGATGTTATTTGAACAGTCCAGGGCACTGAGCTGGTTTCATGTTTAACTGTCGAGGGAGTGTACTCAACAATCATGTGATCACACAGAGAGGATTAAGCAGCAAACAGCGAGCGACAGACAGGGGAAGCAGATGAGGGCTCAGCTGTTTGAAAGAAAAGAACAGAAGTGTTGGAGGAGGAGACAGAAGATGAAAACCAAGCAGAGAATGAAAGAAATGTAAGGAATAAGTGAAGAGGGATTCAAGCTGAGGCATGACAGGGCATTCCAATGTCACAAACTGCTGGTCACACTCTCTGAACTGAGTTGGTAAACATGGTTTCCAACTCCTTCAAATCTAGAATGAGTTGTTGCTTCTAATTCTAATTGAAACATAATATGTCAACTATGAGAACTGGTTCAACCTGTCTGCCAAAGAACAGGTACTGTATGAGGCAGTGGCGGGCCGTGCATTTTATACCTGGGCCTTCAGTGCTGTCCGACTATAGTTGAACAATCTCCTAATAACCTCATTATGATGCCACAGTTACGGTTATTATTTGTTTCTCGGGGTGTAACAATACACGTATTCCTATTAAACTGTTCGGTACGAGGCTTACGAACCGAACAATACGTTTGAATAATACTAGTGCATTTGGAAAATGCAGAAGCTTAAATTGTGGGAAATATGTTTTCGGTAGACTGCGCTCAAACTGGCAACCCACATGACGTAACAGACAGCTGTCTGACACTCCGACCCCAGAAGAAACACGCGACGCTAAACTAGCTTAGCGGAAAACAATAGCAGCAAACACGCTACACTCTCCCCGCAGCGTTTAGCTGTTCCCTACTGATTCAAACAGGGCTAAAGCAATCGCCACACAATCCCCATTTCTCCAGACCATAATTATTGCTTTGTAAAAGAAAACAAAAGCCCAAACAGAGAATCAAATATCCGACCCTAACCCCGCGATGACGGGATGCTTCGTCATTAACGGACATGTCAGAATCAATGTAATTAATACAATGACAAGAACCAGTCACATACATTTATATGACAACAAAGCAAGATAAATCAATCCAGCAACACTGCAGCGCTAAAACAGTATTCCACCGCACACTGAAGAGCACGGACCATTCAAATATTTTCACATCAGAGGGAACAATATTAACCATATTATCAAAATGACACCATAGAAAAATGAACACAGTAGTAACGATACTGCAGATATAAAAACAAAGCAGTTCACTTACCAAAGCTGCTGTTCCCTTAAAGACAAAGTCCATCCTCCTTTCTTTGATTACAAAGAGTTTAATGATGCGGTTGTACAGAGCATCGGTGCGGTTCAGTTCCAGCCAGAGGTCCTCCTGTGAACGTGTTCGTTGAGTTGTAGATCCACTCGGGTCTCAGCAAAAGTTTTCAAAAGCACCGTAGCTTGTAAGTGTCCTGTCGTGCTATGGTGTCGTGTTGCTGCCTTGGTTAGCCAACTCAGGTTAGCGTCGCTCCAAACACCAAGACGCTCAGTTGCAAATAAAACGCATTCCCAGCCATGAAATGTGCAACGCTTCTCCGACGCTGAAATACCGTTCGTACAAATCCTTTTCCATGCTGGGTCAGGGCTGTTAGCTGTGGGGTTGACCGACCCTGTCCAGCTTTCCTTCTTGAGAAATCCGTTTCTCCTCTTTCAGCCATTGAGTGTTAAAAAAACAAAGCTAGGTAAAAAAAAAAAAGACTCTACACCAAGCAAAACGCTAAAAATGCCACGTCAATGTCATAACTTCTTACATATCTTTCAACTTGAACTCTGACTACTAACTTCTGCTAGCTAGCTTTCAGCTTCAAAACAGTCACGCTAGCTCACTGACCAATCACAGTGCACGTTAATGCTGACGTACTTGTAGACTATCTAGAAGGCTCTGACGTGTCAAAGAATACGCCCAACATGTCAAACTAAATATCTGATTGGTTGAAGACTATGACAATCAACAATATCGACCCCATTCACTTAAATTGCAAAGGGATTCACTTGTTGTGAGTCTGCAGGCCTCGGGCCTCTGTTCTACCTAGAGACACAGAGGTGAAATCTGATTGGATAAAAGCTCAACTTAAAACAAGCTGCACTGGAAGCAGAGCAACTGAGGAAGACAGTAGCTGTGCAATGAGAAAATAAGATAATGGGAAAAATGTTTTTACTGACTAAAGTACTGACTAAATTATAATTAGTGCTGGGCAAGTTAACGCGTTATTATCGCGTTAACGCATTAATTAATTGACGCCG